CGAGTGCTTCCCTCGACCTCTGCAATAGCAGACGTTTCTGAGTCAGAAGCAATGTGCTCTTTTTTTGCACGAACTGTCACTGCATATTATTTTATCCTACCAATAAAACATCAAAAACAAAGATAAAACAAGAGCAACAAAACAGATGTGTTGTCTCGTTTTTTCTTTAGCAATCATTTTCTGCTACACGTCCTCATCCCATTTCCACTCTCTGGTTGTTACCCACGTCTCTTTTCTTGTCTGCAACTTTCATCCATGCTATTTTGGGGTGTAAGTCATCTTCATGATGTGCTTAACCACTGATCTCTATGTCTATTTGCTGGATCGCGTTTGACCAGCTCCGCCTATGGACCGAAATGCGGTCACTGGCGGCCATCTTTAGGTAGAGTTATATCATCTCTAGCCATCATAGTAATATGGCGGACAGCGCAATGGCGGCCGGGTGCCATAAAATAGCCGTGGATCTAGTACACTGTACCGTGAGAGATAATTCGTGCTTGATTCAAGTTGTTGGACGACGCAGATTCTTGAAACCCGGCATGAACGGTAGCCTCATCTTTGAGGGCCCGGAGAAAGTTCTACAAAAGCGCAGCACCGGGGGAAAGCAGCGCAGCTCGCATCAAAAGCAGACTCTGTAACGGCGTCTGCTTTCGATGCTTCCTTCGATGCGACTTTTGATGCGAGCTGTGCTGCTTTTCCCCCGGTGCTGCGATTTCGTGAGACTTTCACCGGGTCCTCAAAGATTGCGCTACCGTTCACGCTGGGTTTCAAAAACATGTTTCGTCAAACAATTTCAATCAAGCACGAAATATCATCCACCCTATTTTGACGGCAGCCTGCCACCACGCCTGCCCAAACGCTGTCTGCAGTGGCGTAGGCAGAGGGGGGGTTTGGGGGGTTGAAACCCCCTCCGAAATGCCAAAGCTAGCTACCCCCCCCCCCCCCCCCCCCCCCCCCGGCCCCCCCGCCTTCCTGCTCATGCAGTCGGTTTTGCACGAGGCACGGAGCAACGGGGGAGCGCGGACCATCTCCAACCTATATACTTTCGGGAAAATTGTTTGTCGGGCAGAGAATGTTAAAATTAATAAAATATGCAATATTTCTTCATTCGTGTTTATTCGATGCAATGCGGAACTTGATCTCAGATGTATAGAGAACGGCTATTTCGAAACATTCGTTCGGTGAAGGATGGCAATTTCAAGGCAAAGTTTAACAAACTATTTTCACTGAAGTACACTGTTCAATCAAACCAAAGTGAACATAATAAAACGAACACACGGTGATGATACAAAACAATGTCAGTGATGTAAAGAATAATAAATCAATTGTAAAAAAAAAAAAAAAAAATTGCACTGTAAGCAACGGGTGGCGCTGCGCTCACGCGCACATTTCGTGATCAGAATTACGTGCTTTCGACTAGAAATTGCAGCGAATAAAAAGGTAACTGTGACTAGTTGTATTAAAATGCAATTTACAGGACCCTGTAAATTGCTTTCCAAGCACCCACACATTAAAATGCAGCCGCCTGCGTTCACGGAAAACAATATCCAGGACGTCCTCCGCTTGAACTTTAATGTCGCGGTGAACATTCAAAAGCGCTATACTTCGTTTCAGCTTAGGTCCAGACACAGCCGATGCTACAAGCGTGAGCTCCGGGCTTTCAGCGTCCCTGCCATGCACGCACGTTCGTGCAGTGCAAGCACTGTTCAGGGCCACATGCTCGCGCCTGGAGCATCGGCTGCGTCTGGAAGTCGAGCAGTCGCTCATTCGAAGTGGACGGTCTCAGGTATGTTTTCAACCGTCGTAGTGAAGAGGATGAGCGCTCAGTTTCCGCTGTTGTTAAGGGCAGAGTCGCTAGGTTCTTGAGGAGACGATGGACGTTCTGAAAAATGGGCCTCCGGACAGAGGGCGACCGCGTATATACAGCTAAACCCGTTTAGAACGAACCCACGTACAGCGAATTATTGCCAATATCGAATTCACAGAAAATTTAAACAAAAATTCATGTAAAAAGTATGTTTTATGAAGAACAACATATTGGCTATATCAAACTTTTTTTTCCCCTGGGAAGGCTACCAAAAACGCACAAACAATAGTCCTCTAGCCTGTCCCTTCCCCAAAAAAGAAGTAGGAAAGAAAGAAAATTCCAAAAGCTCAAGTTGCGAACAAAATTGAGCAAAGAGAAGCGATTCAAAAGGGGAGAAAGCTAAACAATACATTCTGCACGCATGCACAGAAAAAGAAAAGGAGAAACTTTTCATCCCAAAGCGTTTGCTCACGAAGAGAAGCGATTTAAAAAGAGGGATAAGCTAAAAGAAACAAATCTGCACGCATGCAAAAAAAAAAAAAAACTTTTTAGCGCATTGTTACAAGGCGGAAGTGAAGAGATTAGAAAGAAAGAGAAGCCCTCGCGTTACAACGAACTCATCGTGGAAGTTCGTTGTAAATGTATTTTGCTATATCGAACTGATCGTAGTGTTTCCTGCTGTTCGTTATAAACGGGTTTGACTGTACCGCAGACCGTGACGGGCGCTTCACGTCTCTCCCTCTTGCATTAAACGCCTAAAATTTCTTATTTTTTGGAGAAGTTTCCCTCACTTTGCGAAAATCGTCGCTCACGGATACGACGAAGTCCGTCTTGCTTTCTGCTTTGAATGTCGAGGTGGCATCCGATGCAATTCCTTATTAGCTTAATCTCTTCGTTGCACGATACATCAGAAACTCCGAAGAGACAAGCCATCATATTCTCACTACGCATGGGCGCAAAGGTAGTCAAGTTCCTTTCAACGTTCGGCGTGTAGTTTCTGTGTGGTACGTCTTGCCATTTCTCTGAGTGACGGAACGACGAGTTCGGACTGACGACTTCTCCTTATACCCCGAGGATATGCTGCTGCTGCCTTTGGACCACGCTGCAAGATAAAGCGGCCTAGCAAATAAACCTTTAACAGATAATAGATTTTCGTTTCGTGATTGCTCAGAATTACCTTCGTCCTAAATTTGGGCTTCTAGTGATTGTGCTCCAATCGTTCCAATTTTTCATCGTTCAGTTGCTCCAATTTTTCAGCGTCAATTTTTTTTTTTTTTTTTCGATTCTTTTTTTTTTTTTGTGAAAGTTTAGCTATTTTTGTGTTTTGTCTGGCCTTCACGCCTTGGTAATGCAGTGCTACCTCAAAAAGCGGAAGGAGTTGTGTGCTGCGAGGACCGCGAGTATGACGACGGTAGAACATTGAGCCACCATGCCCGTATTCCTGTAAATGAAGCATATGCTCTGTTTTGAAAAATGACAATGCAGCTTTACCCATTTTATCTTAATAGCGCTGCCTGAGCGTCTGTGTCGGCGAGCTCACCCTGCGTCATTGAGGGGGGAATTGGGGGGGGGAGAATGCCGTTGAACCCCTCCCGAAATAAAATCCTGGCTACGCCACTGGCTGTCTGGCATGGATGGATTACAGTGGCTGCAGGAGCTGTACCTTGGCTAGAGGTAATATAACTCTACCTAAAGATGGCCGCCAGTGACCGCATTCGCAGAGCGGGCAAACGCGATCCAGCAATTGTCATTGAGATCAGTCTGCTTAACTCACAACGAGCGAGTGAAGGTTGTTCTCTAGTACGTGACAGAAGATGAAAAAGTCCACCAATGTTTTTGGCTAGAGTTGCGGGAGCAACCTCCAAAACAAGCTGCCGCTGAAAAATGCAGCACTCGGTGCCTTCATTGCTGACCCCCACCTGCCAAAGTGGGGAGCACTACTGACATCTAACGGCTGTTGTGCCAATCAGATGCCTTTGGTTAGCACACGGCTGCTGTAGGTAGGGATTTAAAGTTTTTAATTTCTAACTTTTTGTTCAGGTAAGTTCATTCAGTTAAACTTTTATACCCTTAAAGAGCCCCTGAAAAGAAAAATGTTCTTTTTTTAACAGTCTGGTTGGGACATACGTGTCAAGAAATTTTATGTGAAAAAAAAAAAACTTTTTTAGAGCAATATTGATGGCGCGAGATTTATTTAAAATTTTGCGCACAAAGTTATACACTCTTCCACCTCTACGCGATGGTCATACACTCTCTCCACCTCAACGTGATGGCCAAGCCAATCCACCTCTCCTCCAAGTGCCTGCCCAAAATGCCGAGAGAAAACAAGTGGAAAGGAGGTGACTACCGACTAAATCGCGTCTCGCGCCATCAATATTGCTCTACACAATTTTTTTCTTAGCATAAAAATAATTTTTCGACACGTGTGCTTAAAACAAACTGTTTAAAAAAAAAATTTTTTTCTTTTCAGGGGCCTTTTAATGCACATTCGTCGGCCACCTTTGTGCTAAATCTTAGCTCGATACATTTGGAAACTGAGTTATGTGGTCCCTTCAAACAGCCATCGATCGCTTTGCTTCACGCTGTAGAAAGGCTCCCTTGAACCATAACATTTAGAGCAACTCAAGAGTGACCTAGTGACAAGGAAGACGGATGGATGCATCCATTTGTCAGGGTGCACTTCTGCAGAGTGCTCCATAACATTAAGGAATTGCATGCGCATTAATATAATAGCTTTGTTCGATTAACCAGCACCGGTGCAGAAAGGTGTAGGGCAGTGTACTTACGGTATGTGTATTGAGATACGATCGGAAGTACACTGCCCTACAATTTTCTGCACCGGTGCAGGTTAATCGAACGAAGTTAATGTTTGCGCCGTTACTCGAATTTCATACTTTGGGCACTACACACTGCAAGATTTTACTCTCAGCAGTGAATTAGTGCAAGGATCTCAGCAGACTGTGTCATATTTTGAATGCCTTACATTGTTGGCTTCAAGGAAGTTATGAATATACATACTATGCACAGAGTACATATGCTTGAGTTGTCTAAGCACACCCCCAGAAATAGGAAATAAGCTCTAAATCTACAATGTCCACTGGAATAAACATTGTGCCAACTCCATGTTTTTTTTTGTAGACTTGGGTTCTCAGAAAAACATATGCAGAATGATGCAATAGATGAGAGAACTCACTCTTGCAATATGTTGTCTGGGAAGAACGAAAAGTTGTGGTGAGCGACTGCAGCGAACCAGCGACCGAACGCACAACGTTTTGGGCCAGACTCGCTTCTTTAAGGTTCGACCCATGCCTGCCCCCTTGCTGGATCACAGACAGCAACTGCTGACAATGGCTGAACAGCTGTGTAAAACACAAGCAAACAAAGCCACTGTTAGGTACTTAATACGCGTCGGCTACTTCCACTGTTGTGGCAGTTTGCAGCCTTTTTCTAAGGTGCTTCTTGCAGAAAACATACAGAAGGTCGGGAGCTGTTTGTGGCATTATCTGAAGGACGGATGCACGTCTCTCACCTGCGTTAACTCATGCGTTGCCTGCTCTATCTCGTCTTCTTCAAGTGAGCTCTCGTCAAAAGTGGGACGATTCAAGTGACGGTCGTGAAGTGCCGACAGGTCTTTCACTGCAATCCGACAAGCACGATTTCAATGCGGAGAGCAAGTCGTCTGCTTCTTGCACAGGAGATGCGGTGACGTCACATTGACGCTGAGCTCTGACTGGCTTTTGTTGAAAGGATAGTGGGTAGAGCTCAATGCTAGATGCGTTGAGGTCGACCCACTATATGCTTCAATCAGCCAATAAGGGCTCGGCGTTCTGACACCATCGCAAGTCCTGTGCAAGAAGCAGACAAACTTGCACTCCGCATAGCAGCCACCCCTCTAGCTGAACCAAAACCTCGGGTGAAGATGCAGAACCTACTTACATTTTTCCTTTATCTTTGTGATTTGATAATTAATCTGCGCGAGAAAAAACGATAATCGAAATTATTAGCAAATATCAAGTAGATCGGCTATTCATATAGACGTAACCGAGAGAGAAAAGATATATCAAAAGAAAACGTACCTCCTCCAACGCATCGACCCTGCGAATGGATTACAAAAATATGGTTAAAAGAAACGAAGTCTGCAGGCTAATGGATCTCAGGAAATGCAAGGAATTCTTACCATCTCGGCGGTTCAGAGGCATCCTTATAAATACCAAAACCCCTTTCAACATCTTGACCAACTAAGGCCACGGTGTCCTCTTGAACCTGCGAGAGATCGCGACAAGTAAGATTTTGAACTAAAACGTTCGAAACACTTGACTAAAAAGTCTACATAGACGATAATTTCAATCATTCCTGTCCACACGGTAGGCAAAGCGGGCACATACAAGAATCCGAGGATGGTAAATCAAAGCTCACTTGTTCACCGAAGATATGCTTGCTCTGTAGGGCATTGTTGCGCATCAATATGAACGCTTCTGTAAGACTTCTAGTTGCCATTTCGACTACATAAAACAGGTAACTTCACGCAAGTACGCAAGCTAACGCTGTGAATGTGTGTTAACTTCAGTCATAGCTCGTCGTAAGACTTTTTTTCCTTTTTCTTTTTGTCTTCAATCTTTTTTGCGCCCCCTCGGCGGATACGTCGCTTGTCGCACTCGCTCGCGCTCGATCCAGTCCGCAGTCGCTGGCCGCTTCTGGTGGTCATGTGACGTGGGTCATGTGCACAAGGTCACGTGAGATTGCGCGCGCAGCCAGCGCAGCTATGGTGGCGCAGCCTCATACACGCTGCATGCCATGCATGCACGAGCAGTACCCCCATCACTCACTACGACACGCCTCCCGTCGATCGACGCACCGGACGGCTGCTTTGGTAACTGCAGTGTATCCTATGGGATACGTACGTTTCGAAGCGCAGCGTCTAGATGGCGCTCCACCGTATTCTGGGTTCTGCACACGTTCGTAAACGAACATCTAGGTGACGCTTCGAACGACGGGAGGCGGACGGAAGCAACGTTACTGGATCGCATAAGTTGACAAGCTCTGAGAAAAAAAGTGACCCGTGGATGCATTGTGAAACACATCGTTGTTGTTGGTGAATGGTGATGTATCACGTGGGCTGAATTCCTCCTTTAACCATTTCGTCGTTTACCCTGAGACCGGGGTTTTTTTTGAAGAGCAGAAGTAACAGAAAAAACAGACAGGCGGGTTCTGTTACTTCTGCTCTTCAAAAAAAAAAACCCAGTCTCAGGGTAAACGACGAAATGGTTGACTTCCACCAGCTAGCCTGTACTTTGACTCTTTTCTCGTTCCTCCTTTAGTTTCTTTTCCTCCTTTTGACGTCATTCAAAGAGCGCTCCGAGGACCACCAGAGAAGGCGGGAAGGGGGACCTCCCCTCTTATCATGATACTCTTTTAGGGGCGAAGCTCCATAGGGTCTATCCTTGTCTGTCTGTCCGTCCGTCCGGCGTCCGTGCTCGCATAAAAAGAAAAAAAAAATGTTTGCACAGTCGACAGGATTCGAACCTGTGCGCGGAGCAGTGGCGGATCCAGAACTCCGTTTGGGGGGGGGGGGGGGGGGGGGGGGGGGGGGGACGGAAATATTTTAAGGATACTATTCTTCCATTCTTTCTTGTACAAGGGGGCTCCACGCATGTCAAATTGCCCTGCGAGAAGGGGGGGGGGGGGGGGGCGGCCGCCCCCGTCGCTGATCCGCTAGAAGAACCACTGGCTCTGCATTTCACTGACCATAAAGCAGTAATAATGAAGTCGAAACGCAACCCGGAACTCAGCAATACCTATGAGCAATAAAAAAATCAGCACTATGAACAATAAAATCAGTATTATCAGCACCACCAGAGCTTCGCCCCAATCAACATCATTCACCATGTGGCATAGAGATCGCCATGTGGAGATGCAATCATTATTTTGTGCCTCTCAGATTTGCACAGACGTCGTCGACTATTCTCCTCCCAGAAGATTATAGAAGAGTAACCCGTCACTCAAAATTCTTACAAAACCAGCTTCCCTCTCCTCCTCTTACAGGGTGGTCAAAAGTATGCGATGTGACGTCAGTGCAACCCATGTTATATCCGATCAATAAACTCAGTTGTAAGTCAGCGCTGCGTCCGTGTTACTTCTTCGTCTTTTGCGCTGTTTTTAATCCCGAAGTATGTCGTACCAACTCGCCAAAGGCATTCCCTCGAGTTACGCCTGATGACGTCATAGAAGTGTCATGCTGTCGCCAGTCGCGATTCCGGTGGTGTCACAGCAGTGGTGGTGGTGATGGTGTTGTATGTGGCACACGGGCAGACGCCTGTTCTGCGTTGTGTCGTTCTGTTCTGCTGCAGGTCGCTCTCCAGCTTGACAGTACACGGAAGCCTCGTAAGCCAGGAGTCTATATGCCAGAGGGCCAGAGCACACCGTGACCAGGGCTATGTTCCAAATCTTACCCGAGTAACCTGCCTCTTTACAAAATGGAATCAGCGCGCAAACAACGAAGACACAAGGAAGAGAAATTGACAGGACAAGCGCTGGACTTCAACTGAACGTTTATTGAAAAAATTGGTTTCCAGAATGCTAGCGGTGTGGGAGTTGATAGCTTCTTGGAACTTCTCAGATTTTATCTACAGTCGACCTTCATTCTCTTTGACGGCGTGTACTACTTGCAGAGACAGGGCATTTGCATAGGCGCATGCGTAGCTCCAGTGTTGTGTGATATTTTTTTGGCGAAGATAGACAAAACCATTAGCGAGAATTTAGATTCGAGCTTGGTCACCAAGGTATTTAGATACGTAGACGACTACCTGGTGATGATCAACAGGCCTGAAGGGAACTCGGGTGACATCGTTGTCAATTCAGTGTTGGACGTTTTCACGCGTCATTCTGGGGGATTGAAGTTTACGCATGAGCGCCAAAACGGCTTGTTTCTGCAGTATCTTGATTTGAAAATGAAGTTCACCGAGCGGCACGTGTGTTGGCTTTATCATCCACGCACAAAGAAAGGGCTCCTGCCATTGATTCCGCACACTCCAAGTTGGTTAAGAGGAGCATCGCGTCATCTTGTTTGCAGGCGGCCTTAGCAAAATCTTGCCCCCACACGTTGCAGGAGAGTTTTGAAAAGCAGATTGATCGGCTTAGCTCCGCGGGCTTCCCAGCGACAGTTCTGTTGGCGGTAGCAGAAAAGCTACTAAGAAAGGTAAAGACGGGACCCCAACAACCAAGAGACCGGCCAAATAGGAGACCGCAAGTAATCCCATATTTACACAAGGTATCCCACAATCTAAAAAAGATTGCGGGGCGCTATGATGTACCGGTTGTCTTTTCGGCGCCCTGCAAGATGCTGCAGCTATGCCCCAGAGTGGCGGACAGGGGAACGGGAAGGAATAGATGTTCCGTAAAGCACAGAAACAAGTACGTCGAGTGCGCGATGGGGGTAGTTTATAGGATCCCGTTAAGCTGTGGTCGAGTATACATCGGCCAGACTGGCCGATGTGTTAATGACCGAGCACGTGAACACGCGCTTTCGCTGCGATCAACCTCGGGCGGTCACTTGCCTTTACACTGCAGCACTTGCTCGTGCGAGCCGATATTTGATCGCATCTCGATTTTGGGAAGAGGGGCTGATAAGACAGCACGCGAACTGCTCGAAGCATTTGAGATAGGAAAGGAAGGTGACCAATGCGTCAGCCAAACATCGATTTTTTTACTTAAGAGAGAGGTAGCTTTTTTGAGCACGTTTTGATGGGGTGATGATTTGGTGGTTTGTTTGTTTTCCTCGTTAGTTTCTTTTTCAATAAACGTTCAGTTGAAGTCCAGCGCTTGTCCTGTCAATTTCTCTTCCTTGTGTCTTCGTTGTTTGCGCGCTGATTCCATTTTGTAACGATGAACCAACTCGCCTGCATTGCCACTTTGATTAACCTGCCTCCTACGTCAGCGGGTAATACCACGTGACATCGCGAGTAAACGATCCGCGACTCGATTTTGGAACGGCCAGGATAATCACCTGGATACTACGCGGATTGGCTTCGTCTTGGGCAACGGCAAAAAGAAAACACAGCAGCGATAGCAGAAAATAGCAGATGATCCTTTTGATCATAAAGAAAGGCACCCGAAGAACGGTAATATTAATGACGATGCCGTGTTTTTTTAGGTGGATCCACCAGATCCTTTTACTCACCTTCGTTTTGAGCTGTATATTGATATAAAAATTACTTACTCCTTACAGCTAGACATAAAAAAATGTGTTTTTATTAATCAGCGCGATCGCTGCAATTCTAGTCACGGTGCCCTAAACGCATATATTCCACGCATTGTAATTTGCACCGATTATGTTTTGCAGAAATATATTCCACACGGTGTAGCGGTACAGCGCGAGGGTGCTTTCTCCAGAATGATATGAAACTGACGTTCGCTTGGACGCGAATGCGATTGCAGTGAAATTTTTGAAGCCTTCACTGCTTTACAAACGTTATCCTCTCATTACACACACTCTGGAGGAAACAAAAATACTACATTATCATATACTGAGTTTAAACATTTTCGGCCTTGAACGTGAGAATACGGCATTCCCCCAACGCCGAGGACGAGGATGCGGAGAAGCTCCTGTTTACGCTCGCACTCAGATGATAACAATTATACCTTCCCGGGGAAGGTGGACGGTCTGGATGTAATGCAGTCAGTTCCTGCGTTGAAAACAGCAAATCGCAATAACCACACATGCTGCAGCTAATTCTTCGTCATTTCAAACGTCCGCCACCAAAACCAACGGAGCAAGAGAGCTTTGACGGCTGTCGGCGCAGAAAGCAGACGACGAACAGATCACGTGACGTATTTACTCGATTTGATCCGACTTTACCCCCCGATCGAGGAGGGTAGCGCGAGTAATTACTCCGGAGTAAACAACCCGCTTCTGGAACGCGAGTTCTGACGTCATCGAGTAAGCTCGAGTAAGTTTTGGAACGCCACGGTACGAAACTTTTACTCCGGAGTCGGATCGAGTAAATTTTGGAACACAGCCAAAGAGTTAGGAAAATGTGGGAATCACGAAGACAGCGACACTCACGTCCTCTCGTGCGTTGGCGAAAAGCTCGTGCTTTTCGCCAACCAGAGGGAAAATGCTAGCGAAAAGCTCCTGCTTTTCGCCAGCATTTTTACGATCAACCGTCAGGATCGCGACACGCGACAGCAGCATGACACCCCGGCTTTTGTGACGTCATGTGTTGCCATTTCGGGACCACTTTCGAATGCATGCGAAAGACAAGGAGAAGTGGAAGACTACACACGCTACACAGGACAGGCGCTTACTCTCAACTGACGTATTAAATTTCAATTGACGCCACTGACGTCTCAACTGTCTCAACTGACGTTTGGCGCGCGCGCCACCTGGCGCGCCGCCGAGCAAAGCGCAAAGTTGGCAAAGCGACACTGGCGGCTGCTGGCGGCACAGCAACGGCACAAGTGGCGCGAGCGGCGCGAGGAACTGCAGAGAGAGGAACGCGCCACCAAATGTCACTGAACCGGCACTGCCGGGGCGTTTGCATCCGTACCATCTTCTGTGCGGTCCGTTTTTCTGAAGCGGTGCAAAAATGCTATAAGTGTCAGTGAGCCGGTGCCTAAATTCCCGGATTTTTAAGTTTGTTTCCCTTGTCCTGCGTTCAGTTTTAAGGAAGAAGTGCCCGGCGAAAATGTCTGCAGCGCAGCGAGAGCCTCTAAGCATTGAATTCTCCGAATCTACAGAGTGAGTCTTTCGTATTTCTTACGAGTTGCTAGATTTCTTCCCACTAATGTGTGTGAAGCCATTTTTGTTTTTCACAAATCACTGTTGCATTCACTTTAAGCTGATTATAATTAGTTGAAGGTGAACGCGTTGTTAGAACTTACGCAATGTTTTAGCCGGTGGAATGCTTATGCGGGCAAATGCCAAGCGTTTTCCGATGTCTAACCGTTAAAAGATTCGAATCGACCAGTGATTATGAATAAAATCGCATGGTCACAGCGTCACAGCCTGTCTGGCTCTCCTCCTAAACCAGTGTCACGGGCCCGGCAAGCTTTCAAAACCGGTCCTAATAGTGGGCGGTGTTGCGTTTTGCTCCCCTGTGTAATTCATTGCCATATCAGGGTCATACGCGTTCACTGAACTTTGGTACGCAGACGAAATCCTTCGACTAACGTTTGATAGTCTTTTATTGGACATACGCGCACGTATTACTTTCGCCTTGCTCTATCGTGTGCCGATACCGACGAGCGTATATGCACTTTCGAAAAGGGATGGCGCCAACCGTTGATTACACCTTCTAGAAAATTGCATGTTATGCATTACTGCCGAGTGGAGGTGGCAATGTTTTATCGTGTTTGTGCTTCAATATGCCCACAAAATATCCTCCCGAGTGGATTGTTTGGACGGCGCTCCCGGTGACATCGTTTTTCTGGAACTTGCCCAAAACATTTTTTTCGTCCTCCCTCTCCGAAAGTTTTTTTTCTTCTTTTTTTAGTTATGCTTGGAATTTTAAGAACTCTTTGAGTCATGTATCTCGGATACCTATCTAGAGCTTCTGATAAGAAGGCAAAATTCGGAGTGCTGGTTGACACCTTCTTCAATCGTGCTTTGTTTTGTTTAATTTTTATCGCAAAAATATTCCAAAAGCCGGGAATCATAATGATAAAAAAAACTGCTCTGACTTTACTCAACAAGTTGAGTAGAGTCGGAGCAGTTTATTTTTTATCATTAATTTTTATCGGCGAGTCGAACCGGTAATTATTCAGGTTCGGTTCAGGTTCAGTAGCTTTGCATTTTGTTCTGGTTCAGTGATGAATTCCAAATAATGGTTTCTTTACTGGTTCCACCAAGCGTGATCCAGTACAAACCGGTAGTCCACATTTCCCAGTCGTTAAGAAAAAAGAGTTCAACACGACGTCATCTGCAGTAAAAAAGAGGTCATTACAAGCCGTGCTGCGGAAACAGACAGGAAAACAAATACTTGCTTAGTTTTCTTTTGTGATCTTGATTTTTTATCGCAAGCACCATTCTACACAAATTAAAGGCCCTCAGAAACAGTACCAAAGTACAGTACTCACATGTGAAGTCAATCATCCGGCACGTACAGGGACACAGTGACGGTAGTATGCATCATACTCTCAAACTGCCCTCCTTGCACGCCCAAGCGCCATGCTCGGATGACTGAGTTAAGAGGACAAAGACAGTGAAGGGCGATCTGAAGATGATTAAAACAAAAATGGAGATAACAAAACAGCCGACATGCTACCTCTGAAGAATGTACACACACACACCAAAAAATTCTTCAAGCAGTGACCAGGGTTGTGGGCTGCACTGGGCGATTGGCATCCAGGCAACCGGCACCGCGGTGTTGGTCGTGCTTGACACGGCTTTGCCTCTTGGCGCCTTTAGATTTTGCCACCGCAGGATAAACACGCCGACAGCCGTCAGCTTTTTGTTTTTATTTTGATGTTTGTTTGCCTTTTCTCTCCTTCAGGAATATTGCCAGACACACAAAGAATAGCTTTTTAGCCTCTTGGCAGCGTTAGATACTCTGTTTCACCTTAAAATGTACCACAATGAACGCCACGAGCTACCCGCCCCAATCCATAGCTCGTAGCTTGTCATGTGACTTCACACTCCACTACGTTGCACCGCCCAAATGGAAGGGCACGTTGTAGCATCCTTTGTGTTCCATCGTAAGGCGAGACAAGGTATAGAAGTATATGCGACCGCACCAATGCCAAGTCATTCTCCTCGTAGACGTGAAATACTTTTGTTTGTTTCAATACTATTGAGCTGTCTCCACGTCGCTGCAATTTGTTGTCAAAACTGCGCCACTGACACCACCGTCACAAATATTTGTGTGACTTCGTGCCGCCACCTGCAAGGAGGTGCGGCGTTTTCCAATCAACCGGTAACCGCCACTTAAGTCTTTGGTTCCGTTCCTGACTAATTCAATGTTCAATGCTTATTTTGATTACGGTTTTATTCTGGTTCAGTCAAAAATAACGGTTTTTTGTTCTGGGTCGGTTCAACATCCTGATTTTTATTCGATTCTCGGTACACCTAGTGACCTAAATTAGATTAGACAGGCAAAATACTTTTGTCGCCTTCATAAAACCAACAATAACAAATCTGTTAAAAGGAGCAACGAGGGGAAGAAAACGGTGTATTCCAGTCTGTTCCTTTCTATTATATTTTGTGAAAGAAGTTTGTTGTTAGGCTGCAGGGAGCGCAGTTTTCTCCAGTCGATCGCCTCATTTCCGCCGTCCTTGGGAGCTTGTTCTTTTCTCCTTTGTGTGTGCGGGTTTTTTTTTTTTTTTTCCATATCAAGATTACTTTATCTTGTGGCCTGTCTTGCAAGTGCCATAAACAGCTTTTATCAGAGTTATCTAGACAAATAACCTTTAGGTGCATGGCCTATAGGGCTTGGGTCAGTTGGGATGACGAGCCTGTTGTTTTGGGGAGATTGAATTGAAAGTTGCTTCTGGTCTTTGATGGACCATGTTCTTAAAGTTAACCCGTAAAATATAAATTTTGTTCACTTTTTTTTGTTTTTTTGCTTGTTCAATTAAATTAGCTTGCTTGCACGTTGTATTGGTTGCAAAAGGATACCCGTTTGTCCATGTTGCTTTGTTTCACTTCTGTGCTTTTCTGTGGGGTTGGTGTTTGACCCCAAGCCATAATGAAATGTAGGTTAAAAAAATCTGCACACCAATTTAAAAAAAAAAAAAAAAAATGTTATTTTTTTTAATAAGGGAGATTTATTTTATTTAAATTGCTGTAGCTAGAAAAACCACTAGATGTATTTTCAACGCGACAGATGGATTGATCAATTCGTCCGATTATTGATAACAGTGCATAAGAACTACCGTAAATGTAAAGTACACGGTCAACGTTTGGCTTATAATGAATGAAATTTACGGTATGTACTGGCAGTTCTGAGTGGCAAAATGCAGTCCAAAATTTTATCAGGAACACTTAGGAAACTATTGTTAATTGACTAATCTAATACCCAACATTTTTCTTCAGTAGATATGCAGCAGAATGCCTGGAAAATGTAGCTGTAAAGCTAAATTCTCAAAAAGTAAATAATTTTATTATAACATTGCGCTAAAAAATTAAATACATTTGTTGCCTTTTATGTTGTCAAAAGCTTGACATCTTTTATAAAAGACACTTACAGATTTAAAAAAAAAATATATATATTTTACAGTTACATTGTTCATTCAATTCCAGTTCTGAAAAACAATGAGTGAGCCTTTCCCTTTGTCCCGTTACCAAACAAGTTTTTCTAAAGTAAAATTTATGCCAAAATGTGGAACCGAGAAAAACACATTCAAAGTGCTTGAACCTCTACCTTTTCTTTAGCAACGATGGACCGAAAATACTTTCTGGGAATACTACTACATGTTGGTGGATGTAAATATGGCATTTTTCAAAATCAATTTTTTTTTTTTTTGGGGGGGGGGGGGGGGGGGGGTAATGTTTAAACGTAACAACTTATTGTTGTAAACCTCACCATGCTAGAACAAAAGCAGCTTTTTTTTTTTGCTTTTTTTTTAGATAAACACCTTTAATTGATTTAACTTTTGGGTTCTGACTTTATTGCAATAGGACATTACTCTTCTAGTTTTCATTTATTGCTTTTGCATTTTGATTTTGTTGCAATAGGACGTTACATACAATTGAAGTGAAAGGTGGGAATCAAGCTCAACACTCCGATTTGCTCAGAAGAGCACTTGTTTTTGTTTGTGTTCCGCCTGATATAAATATTTTTCTTGTGTGATGATTCTTTGATTTAAAGCAAAGCAAATGCAAATAGAAAGCATCAAAAGATAAACAAACGGGAAATGAAGCATATTTGGGTGATTATTTTTGCGGGAAAGGTTTGATTTCAATTATCCCAGTAAAACCGGTTTGATTTAAATCGGGATTTAAATCATCTTGATTTTTATTCTCTACCCAGCACTAAGGTACTTTAATTTTGAATTGTTAACATTAAAGTTTCTAATTGAGAAATATTTAACAATGACACAGTCAGTATATTTGTTGTTGAGACTGATTCTGTTAGTGTAAATGCTGAACTTAATCATGTTGCAGTCAGCAAGACATATTGACTTTAGTAACAGGACAAGAAGTGCATGCTCGCTTCCCCTAGCACAAGGTACTGGTTTCGGCAGTGCATTAATTGCATGTGAGAGTGGATGGTATGTATAGCCCAGTGGGCTCACACTGGCAGTAGACAAAACAAAAGTTCTTGTCCCAGTAGTGACTATAGCTCGACTCTGCACCTACTGCCGATTTGCTTGGTATTGTAGGCATTATAAAATCTGCGGGTAGTCCTAATATGGAATTTAACTTTTTTTTCTAGGCTTGAGAAATACCTGCTACCCTACAAGGGAGTCAACCAGACTGATCTCCCACCATCCCTTGTTATTGAAGATGACCTGCATCCTCCGACTAGCTCTTCCAGCAGCAAACCTGCTGCAGATTTTCAAGATGATCTCGACTTGCTCAGCTCCCAGGCTTTCAGTGGAGAAACTCTTCTTCCGCACGAATTAACCAAAGTTTTGAGTGAGAGATTGGCTGATAACAGTGAACAAAGCTTCGGTAATACTAAACCTTCACAGAGTACTTCTGTTGATGCCAACATAAAAGGTGCTACAGCAGCAAATTTTGATTGTGCAGCGCAAGAGAGCACGGTCGAGGAATATGCGTTTCCAACATTTCCAGAGGTTCCTGATATGCAGGAAACTTTGTTGGAACTTGCATCTGCAGAGCAAGCCAGTGAACAACACCAGCAGAATGAAAATGGATCAGTGAAGAGTGATGTCCTAAATGTTTTTGGAAAAGAAAATGGTCTGTGCAGTAGACATGGAGCATATGAATCGGACGATTTCGATGAGCACTATGTGAAAATGTTAGATGCACGGTTCAAACTACCCACAGACCTTCAGCAACCATTGTTATGCAGCTCATGCTCGCAGTCGATGATGCAGTATGTGTCTGCAATCCAGACACTTCTGCAGCAGCTCACTGTGGATATTATTATAAAAGGAAAGGATCCCCCAGCATGCAGCTGGTGTGCACGAGAGAAAATGGATCTGTTAAAAAGTCGTTGGACTTCAAGCTCTTTTTTGACAGATCCTTCGTTGGATCATAATGATAACCAATCTTCAAGAGGTAATGTGGCTATTTCCAGAGGACACCAGACAATGCAGAGCCAGAGTCCAAACTCCCAGCTTCATTCAACTCCTGGTCCCAAAACTAGCAAAGTTTCACTTCCGTCTGGAGCTCTCAAATTTGTTCAGAGAGAAAGTGAACCTTCTACTAGACGACACAGTCCAAGGGTAGAAGATCCAGAATCTGAGGTATACCAGGAACGCTCAAGACATGCAGCTTTGGTGCAAGTACAACAATCGCAGGAAAACCCAAAACAGTCAGCAGACAATGATGGTCAGCACAGTTTGCCAAAACTCCAGGGTGTAGAAAATAGTTCCTCCATTTCACCTGCAGAAAAGACACTCCAGTGCACTCCTGACGGGTCACAGGGAGGAACCAGATCTGCACTTGATGCAGATGCCATTGCTGCACATCTATTGGAAAATAACGAGGACACTGGTTCTCATTTCACAGAAAACGTCAGCTTGCATGACGAATCCCTAAAACGACCATCGGAGCTTCAGTTGCACAATCTTGGTCCAGGTGCAGCATCTTCAGAATATAGCAGCAAGCAAGATCAATCTTTGCAAAAGAAAGATACGAGGAGAAAGTCTTCAACCTCTGACTGGATGACCGAATTGGTCCAGCCACTGGTTCCTGAGCCATTGGAACCAAGCGTGCTCAATCAAGCCTATGTGACAATGGCGAATAATGACCTGAGTTCCATGCTATGCATGGTGCTTGGCAATTCCCTCCGGCTGTCTAGAACTTCACGGTTTCTAGTGGTGCTTGTCAGCGATGGAGTGTCTCCTGCATTGAGGTAATCTGCTTTCTTGCCCACCTGCTCCAACAAGAGGCACTGAAGCCCATTTTACCCACTTCCTAAAGATGTCTTGTAACTGTGGGAAGACTTAAGGTGCTTTTTAGTTTTGTAGAATTTTCTGACCTTTTTTTTCTTTTTTTTTTTTTTTCAGGAAAATTAAGTATCCTGAGAATGCATGAAAATAAAAGTTAGGATGCTGCTTGTAACTGACTAGAAAAATTTAAAAAGTGTTGCTTGAATTCTATGCCCAAAAATCGATTAATAGATTATTTTTTGCAACTAAGTGCCCTTTAATTCTCATGTTATTTGTTTTTAGAAGCAAGGGTGATACTTAAAAAGGAAAGTCATTTAACTGTGACTCAACAAAAATCTCAAATGTGTGCTTGGATGTAACTGAGGTAAAGTAAGGTGCAAACTAGAATGCAACTTTCAGTGGAACTTAAGGGGACACTACCTAAAAAAGTGAATTTTTCAACCACTTGTCTGATTTAAATGACATTTACAGGGCTTGTTTCTGTTGATGTTGAGAACATTTCTGCCAAATTTGGTTAAGGTGGGTGAAGTACAAAAAAATGCAAATGTTTAAAGATGAAAGTGGGCGTGTCTGCGTAGAAAAACTATCGTTTTGAAAATACTTATAAATTTGTGGTTTTCATGTGTTATGTTGCTTTAGGACAGTCCAGAGCAGATAGCTATGGAGCTATATTTCTATATTATACCATTTTTCATGACAAAAAAGCCACATAAACTCAAATACTGTTTTTTAATTTCCACTCTTTGTCCAAAATTTTCATCCTTGAGCATGAAAAATGACAAAAATAAAAAATACAAGCTCATAGCTATCTTCCCCTTTAAATTTCACTCTAGAAGAACTCATAAAAATGAATTCAATTTACGTAATAACAAAACGATAGTTTTCCTAAAGTGAAATTTATGCCAAAAAATGGAACGGAGAAAAATGTGTTCAAAGTGTTCCAACCCCTGCCTTTTCTTTAGCATTGGAGGACCGAAAATAATTTATAAAAAATTTACTATGCAGTGTAAACTAATGAAACTTTCTAGGAATACCCTCTAGGTGTTGGTGGATGTAAATATGACTTTTTTTTTTTTTTTTAAATCGACTTTTTTTGTTGAAATTGTTTTTTCTGGGTAGTGTCCCCCCTTAAACATTTAGTCAGTTCACCAGCTGAATACTTCTGGCAGGAGTGCAGGTTTTCTTTTTCTTGTATATGCTCACCCCCCTCAGCTTTAGTATCCTCTACTAATGCATTAGGTTTGAATAGCGCCTAGTTAGTGCCTCACATATTCTGCTCGGCCAACAGGACTTATTGGAGACGATTGTGGCACGCCAGATGATTAACGGTGGAGCTCTATCTGTTTCAGGCACCTACTTTCGTGTGTCTTCAACATAGTCCAGTCTGTTCGTTCCCTTGGGACTCACGGCACAACCAAACTTACCCTTTTGGAGCAGCCAGACATTGGGGTCTCCTTCACCAAGCTTCATGCTTGGCGCCTTACACAGTTTTCCAAGTGTGTCTTCTTGGATGCTGGTGCTTTGGTAAGGCACTTGGAAGAATGTGTTTCTACTGTTTATCTTTTTTGTTTGCAGGTTCTGTTTATGTAGTTCGGCACTAATACGGGGTAGCACACTCCACCATATTTCATTAATCCTGAAAGGTGTAAATTACTTGCAATGTTGGGGAGGTGGGGGGTCTTGAGATTTCAAATCGTGACCGCCTTAGCTCAGTGAGTGGATGGAACAGTTCATACACCACATGCCTAGGTCGATAGTATGAACCAACGCACGACATTACACCATAGCAACAGTATTGCCGACAGCATGGCACTCGTGCAGACGCCTCGTCTCTCGCAAAGCTGGTTTCTGCACATGTGCACGCTTGTTGTAAATACGTAGTAGGTGTATAGGAACTACTGTTTAAAGGGGCCATGAAACAAATTTTTGGCTGAGATAAATGAATTTAGATTGGGATTTTACTAATAGCATATCGGTTTAGTGCGTCAAAAGAAAGAAGGCAGAAAGTCAAAAGCCTGATTTTCAGTACGAAGATTTAAAAACATAGCAGACTATTTCATACCTCCTTCCCTTCGAAAGATTTCTGCCTTTTCACTGTGATATATTTTCGGTGCCCAACGTCACCTGGCCCCGATGCACGTCACATGACACCCAACCTCACTATATTCCCTTCACCCCTAAGCTGACATTGCGGTGGAAGCTACGCGCTTGCCGGACCAATCAGCCGCCTCCCTTTCATCACCTGACCCCCTTCACTTTGCGTGGGTATGCGCGAGGGAGCGTGATGACGTGGCAAAAGATGGAAATGTGGCTGGCCCAACGAGCATGTAACTTCCACAGCACTGTCAGCTTAGAGGTGAATGAGGTGGGGAAAGCCACTTTTGTCCACATTTTAAGGAACAGTCTAATCTTCTGTGTTTTTTCCAGCTTAAGACGCAGCCGACGCTACGAGGTAATGGGACCAATCAAGCAGTATCAAAAGCGCAAGTCACTGGGCCTTTTCTGTTTGATTGGTTAAGCGATGATAGAAGGCTTGTAGAAACCTGAGGAACACCATGATGTTGCACTTTTGAAGATATCTGATTGGTACCATCAGCTCCTAGTGTTGACTGCATCTGGACTTAAGGCGAAACAAAGTCTAGGGGGAGAACGATGATGTTCGGGTACACAAACGAGGGTCCGAGCAAGAGGGGAATTCCTCCTTTCCTCTTCTCGAACTGTTTGGTACGCTGTGCAATTTGTGAGTTGAGGAGCAAAGCTAAGATGAAAAAAGTTGAAAAATTGTTTCTTGGGCCCACAAAGACGTGCTTTCTTTGGACGCTGCCGACGTCCGTGACTTGTATTTCTGCTAATTACATTTTGCTCTATGTTGAGACGGTGTCCTTACACCATTTTTTTAATCCTTGATTTAAAACTTAATGCTTGAGCTACTTTGAAATAAAGAGCAATTTTGTGGTAACCCCCTTTAGAATATCCCACTTTCTGTTGTAGAACTTTATCACGCATATTTGGTATGATGACTCGAAGGTTGTACCACTGCTGTAAAAATTCGTAAATTTCATTGTTATTCCTTCTGTGATGCCTACGAAAATTAATTTAATCCACTTGAAACCTATTCAACTACTGAACATTGTTTCTTATTGCAGACACCTGAAGCAATTAACCATGTTGTGAACATTGAATGTTTAATATCTTCGGTGAAAACTGTATGTGCACACAACCAAACAACAATGTATACAGTTCGAAGCAGACACTCATATAGCAGCGTGAGCAACATTACAGTAAAACTATGGAAGAAATTTAGAAAAATACAAAGTGCACCAATTAGTCAAGTGATGCATAAAAATGCTGTATGGAAAGACCAATTTCAAGTTTTATCTAAAACTTTGAATAAAGGATACCAATGAGACCAGGTGTTTCTTTCTTTTTTTTTTTATTTTTTTTTTATTTTAGAAGTTGAATTGGTAGTGATAATGACAAAATTGATGTGCCATTTGAGCCAAGGTGCTTACCCTTCTACATCCTGCTACCTTTTGCCAAAATTTGCGGAATTTGTGCCAACATTGCACCAAAAGTCAGTAACACTTATAATACTTAAACTCTATGGTAAAATATCGTGGAAGCGCCCACTATTAACATTTCCCAAACTTGGGAAATCTGTAAATTATACATTAGGCACTCGATTTGACCGGACAAGTGCTTATGCCTACATTAATCTACCGTAAAATACCGAGCCTCTGCCCATTCCATACTGAGCGCCCACACCCAAATTTTGCATCATTTGTAAAAATATGCACAATACATATATAGGTAAAATTGATGACCTAACAAGTGCCCATTCCCAGATTACGGTAGTTTTTAGTGGAAGTAGGGTGGGCGCTTCTCCTGTATTTCATGGTAATAGCTCAGGCCCCACTACACTGCCAGATTGCTACGATTGGCTTGTGCAAATTTTCCGAGCTTTCGATTATAGCGTCAAATATTGTACTATTTTATTTTATCTAGTATATCAAACACTGTCAGTACTCGGAAGTTTCGCAGTATTTGTCGTGTGCGTGGTTTGTTCTTGTAGGTTATCTTGCTTCGGTGATTGCGGTTCTCACCGCACACTGGTGTACTTCAGTAAAGCGTAAATCGCAATGGACATTGCAGTTTTGCACATTTGGTTTTGCCATAGCGCACCCGCGTGCTAAGAGGAAAGCACCCTTCCAGGGCAGTACGTGACATGATTTCTGAATAAAGCTGTGGCTATTATATATAGTATAATGGACTGCAACATTCTGACAGTGTATTTTTAAAATTCGATATTTAGCAAGGATAATTGAGTATTGCTGAACGATTTGTATGGACTGCTGTATAGGTTTATTTTTTGTCAACTCTCTTGTTTAGTTATTTCGTTGATATGGCTCTTAATTGTTCGATGGCACAGTCAATAGAGTGCACTAAAACTAAATTATCTGGAGCAGGGGATGGAAGCTTGGAAACAACCTTAACGAGTTCAGTGCGATTGTTTTTATGAAGCCTTGTATTTATCATTCACATGGCAATTTTTGTTGTTACAAGCTCTACATATAAAATGTTATTGATGTACATAATAAAATACAAAAGCTTTTTTTTTTAATCTGGTTTAAGAATTGCAGTTTTATTAGTACCTTTAGAACTTTAACAAAACATGAATTGGGTCCACTAAATTATTATATTTTAACATTATTTCAGTGGAATATACTATTTGCTTTACCCTTGATTCTGTATAGAAAATAAGCACTGCAGTTCACACTGTCATTCATCAGTCAACATCCTGTTGCTATGTTTTTGCTTCTATGCACAACCAAGCAGTGTTCTGTATTCAAAGGAATCAAACGTGCCATGCAACTGAAACAATATTAAAATATAATAATTTAGTGGACCCATGTTCTTGTTTTGTTAAAGTTCTGAAGGTACTAATAAAACTGCAATTCTTAAACCAGATTAGAAAAAACAAAGCATTGTCTTTCGGTTCATGAGACCAACACACGAATCTTAGCATAATATTTGCAGTAGTGTAGAGGAAAATGAAGTGTGTGCTTATGTTATTTTTTCTGTTTCAAAATTGCTTTGACCAATCACATCACTGCAGTCTTAATATATACCTTTGGGGGTTGGATTAAGATTTTTCACCCCTGCCTCATCACAGTGCTCATTCTGTGGTGTTTACACTATTTCCTGGCATTTGCTGCTCTGGGCACAATACATTTTTTGTTCGAGGCTGAACTCCCGAAATGAATGCTTCAAATGCTTGTGGCAATATAAAAAAAAATTGAGTGCGCATACATACAGATAGCTCCCTAGCTGATGTGAGTCTACCAGGAAAAGGCTTGCTTAATTTCCTTGTGTAGGCTATAATTCTGGTTCAATGTTTGGCTCTGTTACAGGTGGTCCAAAACTGTGATGAACTTTTTGACCGAGATGAACTGTCCGCTGTACCCGACATCGGCTGGCCCGATTGCTTCAACAGTGGTGTCTTTGTGTATGTCCCATCAATGGAGACTTTCTGGGACCTCATCAGCTTTGCAGAGCGCCAGGGAAGCTTCGATGGTATGTCGTCTATATCGACTGTAATGTTCCAATATATTTCGGAGTGCATTACATGGAGATCCACGTTGACTGGCTATCACCTGTTGTCTGTTCAGGAGGAGATCAGGGACTTTTAAACACATACTTTAGGAACTGGTCTTCGGACATCAATCGCAAGTTGCCCTTCATCTACAACTTGATGGCCAACGTTAGCTACACCTACAAGCCTGCCTTCAAGCAGTAAGTCTGCATTTAAATGTTTATGAAGGTGCACTAAAGATGCACGTTTTTATGGATCTAACTCGATCCGCCTGCTCCGCAAAGTCCAGAAAGTCACACACTGTCTGCACATGCGTCCCACTCCTAAAAGCAGTCAGTCTCCCACCCTTTCTTTGATGGGCACCGAAAAAAGGGATGACAATGCACCAGTTGGTAAGCATACCACAACCTTGCGTCAGTCAGAAGTGCAGCCTCCAACTGACTCACCTTGCAGCCTGAAGAATCGCCGATCAACATTGGTTCAAATGCCATGTCCATCATGTAGGTCTTTCCTTCTCGCCATCACAAATTAAGTATTTACTCGCACAATGAACGCACCCCCCTAGTTGGCTCTCAAAATTTCGACTTTTTTTTTTCACTTGCGTAATAAACGCCCCCCAACTCGGACGTCCAAATTTTGACCCCCTCCCCCCACGCGCGCGAAATGAACGCACTTTTCTATCCTGGTGCAGCGAGGTCGCGAATGCACGGGCAGCGTGGGCGAACAAAACGCCTTGCAAAAGGCGTTAAAAAAAATTCGCAAAGATCCAACGGAAGCAAGAAAAAAAAACATGGAGAGGAGCTTTTTTTTTTTTTTTTTTTTTTTGCACAGCGCAGTCTGGATTTGGGGTTCGCGCGCCGCCGCGCACAAGGAGGTAAGAAAGAGAAGCGGAGAAGCGCTGTAAGCGAACGAAACAGCTTGCGAAAGGCGGCAAAAAAAAAAAAAAAAGAAAAACCCACGGAACTAGAGAAAACGAAAACAAAGAGGAGCTTTTGTTTTCTTCTTTTTTTTTTTTTGCACAGCGCAGTTTGGTACGGGGGTCGTGCGTCGCGCGCAAGGAGATAAGAAAGATAAGAGGAGAGCACTCGCCTAAGCAATGCCTAAGCCAACAAAACAGCTTGCGAAAGGCGGCAAAAAAAAAAAAAAAAAAAAAAAAAAAACCAAGGAACTAAGAGAAAAATAAAACAAAGGAGTTTTTTTTTTTTTTTTTTTTTTGCACAGCTTAGTGTGGTTACGGGGTCGGGCGCCGCGCGCAAAGAGATGAGAAGTTACTTCGATTTTTCAGGATAAAAGGTCCGTTCATTATGCGAGTAAATACGGACGCAAAAATTTTACTTCGCGTAATTACTTCGCGTAATTGGTTTATTATGTGGTGTAGCTGGGCTGCACTATTGGTTTAATTTTTATGTGAAATTGCTTGTTTAGTTACCACCTCTAGATAGAGAAAGTGTGTGTTTGTGTGTGTGTGTGTGTGTGTCTGTTTGTGCATGCATGCATGCATGCATGCATATATAGGTATATATATACCGGGTGTTTTCGCAAAGACTTTCAAAAATCCTAAAAATTAGGGCGATTGAAAAAAGAAGAAACTCTCTTTGGGAACAAACTACCAGCCACGGCGGACGTGAGGAATTGCCAAAAACCTACTAATTAGCCAGATAATTAATTAAAACTTGTTAATTAACTTTTTAATTAGGGGAAATAGACATATGGTTCCAATTAGAAAGTTGCTGAGCATTATTGAAAACCACTAAATCAGTCATTTTCAGAAAGACTTTGAGCGTGTGAGACGAGTAGTAGCGCACTAAAATTACCACTCGTGGAGCAGGTACAAGGCTAGCGGTTGCGGTAAGGCGCCCGCGCGATTTTTCCGCCTCTTATCTAGCCCCAGCCTTGTACCTGCTCCACGAGTGGTAACTTCAGCGCACTACTGCGCTTCTCACGCGCCGAAAGTCCTTTTGAAAATGACTGATTTAGTGGTTTTCGATAACGCTCAGCAACTTTCTAATTGGAATCATGTCTTTTTCCCCTAATTAAAAAGTTAATTATCGAATTTTAATTAATTTTCTGGCTAATTAGTAGGTTTTTGGCTATTCCTGACGTCCGCCGTGGCTGGTAGTTTGTTCCCGAAGAGAGTTTCTTCTTTTTTCAATCGCCCTAATTTTTAGGATTTTTGAAAGTCTTCGCAAAAACACCCGGTATATATGGAACAGGAAACTTGCATTTGGGTTTTTCTAGCTTGGGGCTGCTAAGTTCGGGACCGTGGGGGCCACTAGAAAAGAGGCAAAATTTGTTAGTTACTGCTAATTAATTAAAAAGTTTTTACCAACTTTTTAAATCATCAGTTTCTGGGGCATAATGTGGTTGGAGAATTGATGCTTGACCTCCTTATTTATAGTCTCACTGTGACGTGACATTTTGTTTCAAAAGTTGGTAGTGGGCACTATGGGACAGAAAATGCCATCCTTGTACACAACTTAAAACCGAAACTAACTCGCCAAAGCACGCCTGTGACGTCGAACCCTCTGCTCCGCACTTGCATCACACTGCTAACGTCAACTGCGACGGGGACACGTGGGTTGCGGAGAGTTTGAGTGAATCAAGCCTTACTGTGCAGTGGATGCTAGAAGTGGTTGCACAGAAGTGGGAAGGCAGACAAAGCATTATAGCCTTTTGTTCGACAGGCCAGTACGTGAATCTTGAGACAGTATTTGCTGTGGAATCAGTGAGGATGAAGTGTCTGCTTGTGTTCTGAAATAAACTTTCGGCTGCTGCAAAAGGTGCTCTAAACTAACTTGAGCCGATCACATCACTGACATTCTTTAAATGATTTCAAAAGTGCACAAAAGATGAGAAAACAAAACAGCGACTTGACTTTCAGAGGACAAAAATTACTTCGAAGGAGGCTGCCAAAGTAGAAGAATAATTGAAAAGTGGCTTTCAAAGTGAAGTGACCCCAAAGGAGCATGAAAGATAAAAAAACAGAATAGTGGCTTTCTGCCCTGCTGGAAAAAAGAGCTGAAATCTTTTTTCATTTTGATGCATAAACTAATGTGCATATACTGTTAACAGAAGAAAGGTTTAATGTCATATTTCACTAAAAATCCACAATTTGAATGTAGAAAGTGAGACAACAATTGAGTGGATTTTAATGCCGAATTGAATGTGCATAAATGAGAAGCCGTATGAATAAGCAACTATGTGTATCTTGAGTAACAGTTAATGAGTATCAGTGAGAAAAACAAAATAACAGTAGCCGATTGAGCACGAAACAACTTTTCTAGACACCTTAGAGACTACAGTGATAAGGTTTTTGCTTGATATTTGAAGGGCAGTATGGATACATGCACAATTTGAAGAGGGTTCAAATACACAGTGACACATACGCAGTGACACATACACAGTGAGCATCCAGTTAGTTACCAAGTTGTGCAAACCTGTGTTTTTCTCCAGTGGTTTAAATTAGATTCGTCAGTAAATTTGTGTAGGATTACACTGATCTCCAGGAAGTGCACCCAATCTGCACATTTTTGGTACAAAGTGCCTTAATTTTGAAGTTTGACATTGCTTGAGATCTTCGTAAAGTTGGCTTCACCTGGATTAAAAAGTACCCCTTTTCCAGGATTTCAGCTTCTCTGCAATGTTTCTAAGGACAGCAATGAGCAACCTACATGCTCATTGGTACCCATAAGGTTTATCTCCCCTAAGTTGGCTTCACCTCAATCAACCTTTTTCCCAGATTACCTTTTCTGCAATGCTCCTAAGAGTGTCAATGTGCAAGTGGTAAGTTGTGCACATTGGTGCTACTAGGTGGAATACTTCACATTGAATCTCATTGAGCCAGAAGGGTGAGGAAGCCTGAAATGAAACAAAGCCCGAGTGGTTTTAAAAATTTATAGACACTTCCCTAACCATTTTGCACTCTCATTTTTCAACTGCAAACTTGTTTAGGCACCGTGGGGTAGGTGATAGACAGCGTAGTAGACATTTTGACTTTTAAACAATTTGATGGACAGCATGAGTGATATGGCAAGACTGGTTCATACTTTACATGAGAAATGTAGCTAGTGCAGTACAACTAGTGCAGTACAAACGCCAGTGCAATGCTTACACATATCGAAACATTGGCAGGGGTCAGACGGGTTCTGCAGCGCAAGTTTTCACTTTACATGGACTTGAGCTGCGATACGCTAACACACTCGGCCACTGATTCTCGCCAATTAAGCTGCATTGTTTGACATATCATAAAGATAAAATTGGTCAAGTTCAGTCAGCTTTGGATGGGGTAAATTGATTATGGAAGCACTCAGTGCCTACTTTGTTTGTGGGCCTTTTATGGCCATCTAATTTTGCAAAAGAATCTTGCAAATGTGAGCACCTAAATTATAAAACATAATCTTAGAATGTTTTCATATAGGTGTATGAATTTGGAATTCCAACCAAACTTCTTCTGTTGAACAAGTAGTAATCTTGGGTTTTTGGATCACCAATTATCTTACGAGGAATGTGTTAACAAATGTCCTATGTTTCCTTCTATAGAAACAGTGTTAGGGTTGTTCACGTTTGGGTTGTGTGAAATTCCAAGACCTTTGCTTATCCAAAAATGATGTCTAAATTTAGAATTTTTGGGAAATGGGATGCAAGCGTTTTTCACTGCCCGCATGGTAGTGGGACCGTACAAGATAGCATACACTCTAAACAGTTTTAAATGGATCAGTGATTTAAAATAGAGTTTACATCTAGTAGTTTTAAGGAAACAAACTTTCAATATCAAATGTTCAGTATTCTCCACGTCTACCCTTTTAAGGCATGTTCTCGGATGTCTGTGCCACCATTTATTCACCCGAAAATGTTATTGTATGTGCGAATATGAAGTATTCCACCCTTTTTCAAACAATTATAAAGGGCCCATCATATGGCCTAAGTCTGGTGGCCTTTGACATAGGCCATTTCCAAGGGTAACCACAAATTTTCTTAAAATCTTGGGTGCTAAAAAGCATTTGGAAGTGGCTGAAAGCTGTCGCATCCATCCACCTACAAATTCATTCATCTGAAAAAAGGGTGGCACTTGTGTTCATGAGAACAGGTTTATAGTCTGTCCGGTTCTTTCCCCAGGTTTGGTCGGAATGTAAAGGTGGTGCAGTTCTTTGGGGGCTACAAGCCGTGGAATGTCAAGTTCCACCCGCCAACGGGGCTGCTCTCGCCAGCTGCTGATGTCCACTCGACATATGTCCAGTTTGTGCAGTTCTGGGTGCAGATCTTTGTTAAGAGGGTGCTTCCTCTCTTCTCCCTGGTGAGTAGCTCCCAACTTTCTCTTGTTTGTGACTTGTGGTGGCACAGAACCAATCTTTGTTCTTGCTCGCCACATATGAGTGCATGGGCAACAAGCCTGTAGGTGCAACGAGCCTGTAGGTGTAGTTTACATGATGGGTCTCATGTGGCCACATCGAAATTGGAGGGGGTGTTTTGGTTAGCAAAAGGAAATCGCCAAAACATTCCGCAGGTGTCCTTCTTACTGTAAATTGACAGTGTCATGCATTCAGTGACACATTATACTTTTCTAAGCTGCTGGCAGAATTTGTTTTGCACATGTTTCATACTTTTTCTACCTGCAGCGAGGGTTGAATGGACCCAATTCCACTGAATAAATCTGCTAAATGGCTGTGTGGTGAATTTGTTTCATGAAAATATGAAAGAACAAACTTGCTTTGATCGAAAGTTACAAATTAAAACCACAATTTTTCTACAAACCAATATGGACTTCGGTCTTTTTCATGCCAATGTCGAAACATTTTGTCATGGATAATGGGACGTTTGATTTAAAGGGGCCCTGCAAAGACTTCTTGACTGGTTTTTAATTTGCACTGAACCTGAGCGCACTGAACGTAGTCATAGGCAAAAGTCATAGGCAAATTAAAATTACAAAAACAAGCAAAAAATAACCTTTATGACGCCCTGGTCCTGGCTTGGGTGGCCGTCAACTAGAGGAGGGGTAGTGAGCTCAGCGAGCTCTCACGGCTGCCGCACTCAGTGTCGACGGCTCGAGAGGGCACCACTAAAGCATGTACTGGATAGGCTGGATGAAGAGGGGCTCGCATTGCATTTGCTGCACGACTAAACATTAATTCGGCATGACACTTCATTGGTCACAAAAGACAGCAAACACGGGTAAAGATCAGTTTAGAAGGGGAGCCACTTCGTGCTGCCAAACCGCCAAACAGCCAAACCGCAAGCTAAACCTGCCCGCCAGAAACCTTCGGAACGCTCGGAACCGGCCGGATCCTCCAGCCCATATGACCGCCGCCGCGAACATTCTGGGCCTTTCTACGTTCGCCGCTTCACAGCAATGCGTGGCACGCGTCGGTGCCTGATTCCACTACCCCTTTCTAGTATGCATCGCCTTTTCCACCGCTTGGTGGCGGGTATGTCGACAAGTCATTTCTTGCCTCCGTGCTTTATTAACTGCATTTGTTTCTTTTCCAATCTAAAATACTGAACAAAAACTACTTTCATAAATAATAGAAACGGTTCGCGCCACTTATTTTTTTGTATTTCGACTAAAACAAGCATTTCGCAGCTTTGACCATTCGTAAGGTAGTAGCTGGCCAGGACCGACAATGTCACGATGTCGTCGCATGCTGCACGCGTTCGGTACCACGGGGCGCCCCCATAGGTGGAGGAGGCTTCTGCGTCTACTTCTGCGTCTATTTTATTTTAAGTTGAAACCCTCATTGAGAAAAAAAAAAACTTTTAAAAAATTGTCATAGGGCAGATATGCATCTCATATTTTGAGGTAATGACGCTTCCTGCAATATTTACATTTGAGTTATAAGAAAGGCTCGAAATACACCTAAGCACTTCTTATGAGTTGTGAATGTGAAAGCACGCGCGCTGCCCTTCGCTCCCTTCTTTAATCTGCGGCATACAACGCGCTGACCTTGGGCGTGGAGCGGTGGAGCCGCTGCCTCACGGACACGCAGCGCCATCGGGTGAGCGATCGTTCAAACTGTCATGTGCCTTGCGGCACGGGGAAGGAACAGACAGCAACATAGTTCTCAGCAGAACGAACCCCTTGGTTTATTCCATGCGCCGTAGACATTGCCACGTGCCATACTACCGATAAGAGGCGAGCAAATGCAGTGATTAGTGATAACACAAGTGTGATAACACAGTCAGGATGACGTCACACAAACTGGCGTGCAGCAGCCAATCGGAGCCTTGTCGACAAGCGCCAGCCAGTGGGACCAAAGTGTAAAAGGTGCCGTTGGCTAGCTTTGCACGTGGTTCATTAAGGGGATGCTGAACCGAAATCTGGATTCCCCAAAACACGCAGCAAAAGCGTGCAACGGGATGCTACAAACACCAAAACATCTTTCATACAGCGAAATCTCGAACGGATGACCGTATTTTTAAAAAAAAGAGGCGCATTTGGCGGGAATGTTGACGTCATGTTTCTCCGAGAAGGAGAGGGAACGACCTCGCGTCTTCTCCGCCTCGCGGCCTTGAGGGAGCGAAGCGGAGAGAAGAGGAAACTAGGTATCTTGATATACGTGACTCGTCGGCTTGGTTCAATCTCGACGTTTTCCAAAAATACGGCCGTCCATTTCAGATATCGCCTTACTAGTAGTGTTGTAGGGATTGTAGCGTCCCGCCTACATCTCCAGCATTGTTTTTTTTAAATCCAAATTACGGTTCACCATCCCTTTAAAGTGCTGTTTTGCATGGTTTCAAAGCTGATGACGTCGGCTCACTCCATGAGACAGTTAATGCTTTCGCATTAAAACTAGACAGCCCGAAGTCCCACATCCCCTGCTTTATGCAGATACGTTTTTAAAAATGGTGAAGCATTTATAGAGTGTGAAATTTTGTTTGCGTTTCTAGCATTGTGTTTTGATTTTAGCTCTTTGTGTTATCTGTAGTGTCTTGGTATATGCGTGTATTACGTTTGTTAATTTTGTAGTTAGTATTGATTTATTTGTGCCTCAACAGAGAAATGCATCTTTAATGTGATTGTGATTTTGTTTATAGTGTACCAATAAGTAGGCCTTCGTGGCCGTTTTTGGACACTACCAGAAAATAAAGTATATTATTATATTATTATTATTATATTCAAGCAGTCAAAATGGTGCTTAATAGCTTCGATTGCCTAACGAAGAGTGACATATCTTCTTATGCAAGTATGTAAAATTGTCCCAGAGCGCTGAAAGTTTGCACAATACACATACATTTGATGTTAAATCTCTCCTGCAAATTTGATTCCAATCAGTTGAATAGTTCAGAAGTTAAATCTCTAGCCAGTGTCCCCCCTTAACAAGAACGGAAAGGAAAGCAAAGCAAATCCTTCCAACTTTGCTGTTGTTCCTGGTTTTTCCCAATAAGATGCCTCAAACACCTTTTCACTTCTAACCTAAAAGCTTAACTCCATACTCAGCCATCGAAAAATTTTAGTTTTTATTTGTAACTTTGATATTTTCACGAAACAAATGCACCACTTAGCCATAATTTGTGCAATAAATTGGACTGTCCAAGATTAATTCAAACGGAGTCAGACCCATTTGGCCCTCTTTGTATTTATGCTTATTGTACTCACAAAAGAAAGATTTTGTAACAGCTCTAAGTTGCTTTGCAGAATTGCTATAGTATATGGTGTGCAAGTTTGTCTGCTCCTTGCACACCTTGCATGCTTGTTTTACCCGCCAAATGCACCCACACGCTTATATTTCCCCCCTACCTCGACCAGTGATGCGCGTCATGACTGCCTCGTCGTCGCACATTCACCGCGCAATCTCTATGTTGCCTTTTGATTGGCGTGCCCCTCTTTGCGTTCGGCTGCACCAAAGATGCATTTTGGAACACTCGCTCGCTGCATTACATCTTTTTCAAACGTAGGCAAGCTGCCGTTCATCTGTTACATGGCTTCTACAAAAACCCCGAAGGTGGCTTCGCTCAGTCTTGTGAGCACGACCGTTGGTGATGCGACAAAAAAATGGGCATTAGAAAGCACCCTTGACGCGGCCCGTTTACTCAAAGTGGTAGACGGACGTGATGGGAGGCCGACGTCGGGCAGTCGCACTCGAGTTGCACAAAAGGTTCCCCTTGCTATCCTTTCCCGGAGGATCTTCCCCTCTCAAATATAGCTTGTCGTCCAATTTTTCATACACAACATTGGAAGCTATCTCGTCGATGCACCACATTGAGCTTCATGATTGTTTCCCTAAGCAGCTATAATCCAGTTCTAGGCTGCTTCCCATTTTCTGCTATTTGAGCGCACCCTCTCGTGGGTATAAAGTTTATCCGCGAGGCTCAAGGCCCATTCACACACGTGTGACTGCTTAGGATTGTGTGTCTTGAAACCCTTTACAATCTCTTGCAACGAGAGGACACATTGGGCACCATCTATCGGGTAGCCGTGCAACATGTGGCAATCCCGTATATTTTCTATTTTTTTCTCGCCTTTTTTTTTTTTTTTTGTGGTTAATCTTTTTTTAATGTTAGAAACAACCATTTCTCATAGATGGTACTTACATTTAATCTCTCAAATACCACAAAACTTTTGCTCTAGGGGTCTCCAAACTTTTTGGCCAAGGGAGCGGATCGGAGATCTGTTGCCGTCTCGAGGGCCGCGGAATTAATAATTAAGTATTAAACGAGGAAAAACCAAATAAATAATCCTAGACAAACGTTTAAATACAAAATTGAATGTTGGTAAAAATTTAAAGTGTAGAATATGAGGCGGATGAATACATCTACTTTATTTTTAAATTTAATATTTAGCTACTTATGATGTTGCACGATAATTGGGACCCAGAAAACTCGACGGGCATAAGTTCAAAGTGCGTGGGAACTTTGGCACATTCCGACAGGGCAGAAGACTAGCAAGAATGATAGAACTGATGCCGACAATATGCGACAGATACGACGGGCGACGCTAAGCGCTATATAGGTGGGAACACAAAGGACTTCTAACATACATAGTTACGCAGATATGAAACGGACTAAGAATGGTGATGCTGGTGATGACAGTGTCCAACGAATAAAGAGGGTACACCTTACGACAGGTAGTTTTATCTAATTTTTTTCTGGTATTTTTGTTTACGCAGTTGGTCCGCGTTGCACCACCATTTCACTAAACGCGCCTATTATTGCGCTAGTAGCAGCGGACCTGCTGGAAGTGGGCCGGCATTCATCAAAAGAACCGCAACCAGCCACAGGCCGGTAGGAAGTACCTGCGCGGGCCAGATTGGCCAGGGTTTAGACCCCCCTGCTCTAGTGAAATGCAGTTCCAGGGTCGCTGCGTAGATGATGCCAGCGTCTCCTTTCGTCGCAAGAGATTTCAAGAGGTTTTAAGGCACACAGTCCTAAGCAGCTTCAAGTGTGTGAATGGGCCTTCAGAGTTATCAATGATGCAACTGGTCCGAGTCATTTTGGAGCACAAGTACTCTTTTCATTTTCGTTCCTACCACTGTGAATATTATGTGTGTTGTTCTGTCCATCAAGACATTTCCTAGTTTGCTTTCTCACTTCTGTGCAACCTTTTGTTAGCATCAATGCATGGCAGGTTTTATCTCCTCAAATGCCTCTAACTCAGAACTAGCTAGCATTTTAGTTGCATTTAGAAGCACCAGGCACAACAACAATATGCTAAGTGATGAAGAACAGTATGACCTGCTGTGAATAATTGTTTTAGGTACGGAGCCAAAGGTAAACAAATTTATACTTCATGGAAATAATGTTTGAACAGAATAATATTGAGCAACCTTTCCAGCGGTCTTATTCAGAACTCTTTTACTGCAAGGTGGAGTTGTTACATCAGCCCTTATCGTTTTTTTTTACAGCGGAGCTGTTAAGGGGCTAGGTTCCCCAGGATCATGTCCTTGTATGTCGACAAAAAACTAACCTTAACAGCTGCCGCCATCTATAAGCGACGGCGGCAAGCACACAACCAGTATGGTTTCCGCCGTTGCTCGTAGATGGCGGCAACCTTTCCAGCTATAATAGAAGAATGGATAGTTGGGCCTGTTGGTGGGAAAACAGATGACAATGAAGAAGCACAGTGTATCGAGTACAGCTCTGCGGGTCTTCCTTCTTCACGAGAGTGGAAAGGCTGAATTTTTTTTTCTTCATCCTGCTTTGGATTAGTGTTTTCTCTCTAGTACACGGCTGCGCTGCAGCCAAGCAACGAACGCAAAATCGCGATGCCTACTTTGCGGTTCTCTCTTCACTGCAGCGCACCAGTGCATGGTGAGAAGCGCACTCAACGAAGCTACCTACCAAAACAGACCTCAAACACAAGAAATATTGCGTGACTTCCGGGTACTATCAGTGTTTGATACAGATACCAAATCGAGTAGTATGTTATTTAAGGTGATAATCTAAAGTTCTGAAAGCTTGGACAAGCCTAGCGTAACGATGCAGCCGTGTAGTGAGGCATCAGCTATTTTATTTTCAATATTAACAAAGTATAATTAAAAGAAATGTTGGCGAAAATTCATCACATTTGGGCGAAATGTAGTAGGGTTAGCAGTTTGGCGCAAATGGTGCAGCAATCACATCACAGAGTTATTCTAGACTTGACAGGCTCTTGGTCACACAGTTGGGCCTTGGTGCTACGCTATTGCAAATTCAGGAGTTCAGAAAAAAAAGTGGATATTCACGGAATGCCCAACTTTGGGGGCCAATTTTTAGAAAAGTTTCACTGCCTTTATTCATAATTTAGGGGATATGATTGAAACTATACAAACCCTCTCGCCGTATCGAAAATGGGACAGACATTTCTGTCGGCTAGAGGCTGTCAACATAGCCACTTAAAGATGCCTCGAAATGTAGTACTCTGGGAAATTTTAGTGGCTCTCATTGTACCTGGCTGGAGATAAAAGCCTTGGTCAGTCAGTAGTCCAGTTGATAGAACTGGAGTTAATAATGGTTCAGGATTGTTCATGAAAGGTTGATCGACAAGTTTGTTCTCAGAACTGTTGAAGCAAGCTGGCATCTTGTTTCTGGGCTACCGAGCTTTGCCATTAGACTTAAAGTGCATTGCTCAGCTCGCTAATGAATTGTGTAACCCAAGATTGTTTAGTGTTTAAAACACTTTTCTTAAACGACACTAAAACGGCGACATCGACCAATTTGCCACATATGCAGAGCATCCAGGAAAAAGTGCACGAGCATCGTTACGTTTGTGCGTTGGACATCCTCCAGCACTTCCCGTCTTCCCTGATTGCCGAGCCAGTCGTCTGTCTGCCGGCCCCCTCGTTCCGGCTTCATGCGAAGCCCAGCATCTACCTCCCACCTGGTCCCCGGCTGCCCCCGGAAACTACAGCCAAGGTCACTACACCACCGGCTTCTCTAGTACCCACACGGGCCAGCATCGAGAGCAATGGAGGCTTAGAGTCGCAAGAAGCTGCAGTTAAGCAACCGGTCGGTGTCGACGAAAATTGCAACCTTCCAATGGAGAGCGACAATGGTCCACTATCGTTCGTGGACGACTTCTCCGGCATGCTGGCATGGGAACAGGGGCGTGCAGACTACCTTGGCGAGCACAGGTCGGACAACATCATGGCAAGGCTCGATGAGCTCATTGGATCTACCGGTGTGGCTAAAGCTAAGGGTACTCCAGAGAGCGAGGTTTAAGTGGTACCATGCAAGCAATGGTACAAAGTGGGTTGCACGTCTTGGTGAAGAGTTGCCAAAAGTTGAATCTGGTTTTTCCCTCACTACCCTTGTCTCTATGTTTAGAAAGGGACTCTTCTATAGCATTCTTTCTGGCAAATACTCCAGTGAAATCACAAAAACAAATCTAGGTCATGCTTTCAAGTAGGGGTAGGGTTGAGGTCGTTCCTATTGATAATGTAATTTTGTACTGTTACTTTTTATGTTATCATTTATATAATCATTCTTAGGCAACCTTAGGTAACCTTTTTCTATTAGTTTGCATATCACGTTCTACCACTGATCTGGATGTAGCCTACCCTTCTGGTAGATGCACTTAACATTGCCTGAACCTTTTACACTGTGGTATAGGGTTGGTAGAGGTGACAGCATTCATATGCTTTCGACTTGAACTTGCCATATTTTGAAGAAATGTACCACGCATAACTTTACGGCTGTTCCACTGACTGTTGGATGGATTAAAGACCAAATTCAAGTTGCCATGAAGATGATTTATTTCACTTTCAACCACCAGCTTGTGCAAAGAGTCAATGTTTTATTTACAGGACACACCCACCCTTACAACTCCTCAAAAGCGGTCCACAAGTTGCAGTATCCGCTGTTGCTCTGCTTCTTTCAGAGTTTCATCTTTTGCATCCCCAAGGTTTCCGGCATACTCTGAAAGATGCCAACGGCTGTTAGATTTCACCAATACAAGTGCGAAACGTATCGTACGCTGCGCAGCACAGAAAAAGAAAAAAAAACTTTACCCCTCATAATGTTTCGAATGGTCTTGATGGATCCACCTCGTAAATTCAGGATTTGCTGGACCCTCTGCTTAATCTGCAACAAATTTTGAACAGTAATGAGTGAACAAGTCTGCCACACGCATTCTGCAATGGAGTCTCACAGATGGTGGTCCCGAACTGCAGATGTCGAGCATGATGTAATCCACAAGTTGCAACGTAAAAAGCCCCGCATCCAGCCTGCGCAAGTAAAATTTTTCCTCCAGGTCCGCTCCAGTCTCGTCTTCGTCAGGAGTGGGATTCTGAAAGTTGTAAATGAGAGAGGGTCTATTGTTCCGAGATCCTTCACCTCATGCTTTCTATCAACTAGCCCTAGTCCACTAGCATTCCGCAGAATTTGTTTTACAGTGTTTGAATTGCCCGTTTCTCGGAAATCTCGCGGATCCAAACTCACAAATGCTGAAAAACCAGCAACTATACACTAATGCCACCATGCTTCAACTCTCATGAGAAAGGGCAAGTAGACTATTTTTCTAAGAGTATTGTATGCAACTGTTGTACATAGGAAATATATCAATGTAAGCAGCTTCAGCTGCAAAAACCAACCTCCTTCTCTCTTTCTATCTGGTTGTCAATTGCATGTACTTTTTCTAAGTACTTAAAGTGCAATTCCATCAATCTGTCAACCTGAAAAGAAGTAATCCAATTAGCAGTATTGTTTGGCACACCCCTGTGCTCACGTTGTCCAAACTCTGTGCTCACCTTCTCATGATCGTTTTCAGTGAACTTGTTGAGCAGCCGCTGCCGCTGAGTTGCCTTGCAGTTCTTGAGCATTGATGCAATTACAGAACAGACATGCTCTGTAGAGGAAAGTTTTGGCAGTTTTCAATAACACTACTGCACACGCTCTAAAACAAAGCTCTTGCTGTACACTGCCACACACCTGTGGTGTACAGCATGTCATATTCTTGAGAAATTTGAAAACTACCAGGCGGAAGACAAGAATGAAATTGAAATGTATTTATATGCAATAATCGAGAGGACGTTGGAAAGGAATTTAAATGTATCTTAATCCTGCGCACATAGTCAGCAGACCCACAGTGTGCAGCAACACGAGTACATTTAGTATACCATCGACAACCATGGTAACCAGAGCCGCTCCACTAGTGCAGGGGATGCCAACATGCACCGCTCAAAGTATGCAAAGCAAAGTGGAACTGACCCTCGTGTTCCTCTGGGGAAGCTCCCTTTTTCTTGTACTTTCTGGGGGTTTGCATAAACAGAGGAAACACAGTCCGAAGCCCGAGGATGTCCACAAATTTGTTGCAGTTGTCGACTCCTTCCACATTGGATGTGGCGAAGTCCAGGACTTTCAGGGCCCCACTTCGCGATACTTTCTTCTCCCTGAAAGGTAAGAATGGACAACACTGTCACAGCTTGTCAACAGACAGAAAACATGGCTGACATGACCATACAGGTGCAGCGGTTGGAAGCAATGCTGGTATTGCCTCCTTAGTTCTTGCGAATGGCAGATGTTGCAACATAGTCCTGCTGCACATCTGCCTGGTGGTGCCATCAAAGAAGCAACACTATGTGGCTGGGAACCATGAACCACATTAGTAAAAACTAGAAAGCAACAGCAGTTCTCTGTTCCCATGACAAAGGGGAATATGCATGCAGGCGTGCCCTCGCACTCATGTCACCGCTGTCCCCTTTCTCCTGCTAATGTTCAGGGGCAGCACCATTTAATCGACATGGGGCGAGAAATTGATCATCTATTGTCCTGAACACCTCAGGTTGGTGTTTCAACCATAACATTTTTCAAATTTACATTAGTGCCCCCTTCAAAACAGAAGGGAAGGTGGTTTACCATGCCATCGGTCAATAGTGGTGCAGTTTGTCGCAAAAATGCTGCACAGGGTTGCAGAAGGGACTGCTAAGGAGGCATTGACCATATGGTTCCTTGGCGGTCACCAGTGCTCCTTTTTCTCATGCATTTCAAAGTACACAAACCTATGGTTTATACCCCAGAGCCCTTCCCAGGAATTTGTAACACCCCCAGAATGTTAATCCTGGATAAACCCCTGGTGGGCCAAAGACGTGCTAGGGTAAGATGAGCACCAATGTCCAAAGGAGCAGAGAACTTTCCAACCTGAGCATGAGGTTCATGAGCTGGAGTCCCTCCCCCTTGAGGAAACGTTCTCTGTTTGGAGCACACATGAGGCTTGAGCAGAGGGCCCCAAAGAGGTTCTCCATCATTTCCATCTCGTCGGAACTGTTTGGGTCATGGCGTTTGAAGTACTGAAAAAACGAGATGATGCATTTGCCCGACTACGAGGAAGGTACCATTCACAACACCTGGGATTCCGGGCTACCAGAGTTTATTGCATCTCTGACACGAAATGGAATCCAGATTCGTTTGGGCAGCTATTTTCTTAGTGCTACACTTTTAAAGCTGTAGAGTTCACTAAAAAATATGCCCCATCCGAACGGACCGCAGCAAGATGCCAGGCCTGCTTACAACCTCTGTCTTCTGCAGGGAAGATACCCTAAGCGCCCTCCTCTCCCGAGTGGCGAGGGGAGCCGTGTTAGGGGACAGGATGGGAGAAACGATGGAGTAAGAAAAAGTGGAAAGCACAAACTGTACATCGGCCTTTAAATGCAAAACCACCAGGAGCAAGCTGCTCGACAAGATGACCCTGGTTCTTGCTGGAGATTCTTAAACTTCACAAAAATTGCAATCATTGATGCTGTCAAATCAGCTCATTCATAATTATTCACAAAGATGCAGATAGCAGCTACGAAAAATACCACAACTTTTGCAAATGGCAGCTTTGAGGGTAACATACCGAGAGCTGTTGCAGCAGGGTGTCAATCCCATCAATTTCACCAAGCAGCTTCTTGTTTTCTGTATGAATTTCAGAGGACATCCAATATATGCACTGCAATTTCCAGTCATACTACAAAAACAGTTTAATTGCAAGATCTTACCCTCATGATTCTGTAGCAGAATGGAGAGAATCTCGCTGCAGTATAGCTTATTAGCATCAAACGGCATTTTGGCCTGCAAAAAATATGAAGAGACTATGCTCAACGTATCCATGTCTGAAGTATTCCTATGTTGCATACCTTCAGCCGCTTCAGGATCCAGGCCAACAGTCCCTGTTCAGCTGCTTGAACACTAAGTTCTGGTCGAAACTCTGCCAGATTCTCGATGATCGCTGCCAAGGTAATTGAGGTACTCAATATTTTAATATGCTTGCATTAAATGGTTTTAATTTCAATCCTGCAATACCCCTGCCAAGTTCTATACATGGCTTGCACCTGACGTCACCATACCAATGGTTATTCCTACTTGTTCTTGACGAAAACAAATTTGGTAGTGTGAAATATATGCTGCAGAAGGTACGTGCACAGTAGCAAGGTTCTTCACCATGGCCACTGATGTGATGGTGCAAGGCATGTATAGGGTAGCAGCACTGGCCTCTATGTGAACTATATTGTCATGGCATGATGAAAGCATGAAAAACTGCCTGCATCACAATATGGTTAATCTGAATCGAAAATAGACTTAAAAGGACCATGGAAAATTTTCTCACTGACAAATTAAAGCTAGACAAGCACTGGGTATCTGTTTTTGTTCACATGTGCCGATTGTTTTGTAAACGAGTATTTAGGATGCTCACATTTCTCGACCTAACTTTCGCTTGAGCATCCATTGACAAAGCCTCCGTAGAGAAACCAAAGGATTATTTTATCTCTTGCAATCAACTGGGCTAAACCCCCTGTGCAAAGGGAGCTCTTGTGAACTCGCATAACCTAGAATAGCCTGTTCACATCTTGCCCATATTTCTTTCCTTATTTGTTTGCATTTAAATAATGCATCTCTCCAGGCCTGAAGAAAAGAAAAAGATAACAAATGGGAGCTGACCCAGAGTGTTGTGAACTCCTTCCGATTCCTCCTTGATGGTTTCATCTAGGCGGTCCAAGTTTTGCACAAGTTGGGCTACGATTTGCCCATCAATCTAGAAAAAGATGTGGCTTTTTTAGGCAATACTGCCCAATTGGACAAGTGGTATGGCAGAATATCCAAGGCGAACACTCACCAATGCGTCAATCAACACGTCGGCTCCCTCCTGGCTTTCGTGCAGAGAGTCCACATCTGTCAGTTCTTGCACAAGGTCGACAACCGCAATGGAAATGTCTGAAGGAACCACACACGAAGCTGTCACGACTCGCTGAACAAAAAAAGCTTCATTGCACGTTTTAAAGTTCGCCAGCATACCATGGTCCGTAATATCAGACAGGTTGGGAAGGATTGACGTCTGCTGGACACAGTGTTAACCTTTCAGGTGATAAAACAATGCGTCAACGATAAAAAACCAAGTGTGCAATAGCACTCTCCATTCAGATGTAATTCTGCAGAGACATTGCTAGGATTGAGTTGCTGCTTGCATTCCAGACCATTCCATGCTGTATAGCCAGGTGTTTAATAAAATGCTGCCTGTCAAAAAAGTCTAGGTAAAAGAGAACACTTTCTCAGAGCTGGGGCAATGCAGCCACTAAATAAGCTACGCTTTCAGAGTACCTCATTCCTTTTCTTTGGCATTTTGCCAACAAAACAGTCACTCTATCCAACAATCTTCTGGTTTGCTGCTGCATCATTAGACAGCGGCAGTCACGTAAGTCGCTATCATCATCATCATCGCGTTTTCTCAATGCCACCATCTTGGGTCCAGCGGTCCTCTGCTTGCTGCTGTTCACTGTGAGCGCACGCTGAAGTCCGTTGCTCAGCACTCCCGTTTTCCGTGTTACGTCGAGATACGAACAACTCGACCTTGATTCACTGCCACGGCTGCGGCAGCTGACGACGGCTACAGCTCGGCTTGGCTCGGCTAGAGTCGCTCCTCCGTCTTCGCGTGGACCCAAGATGGCGGCGCCCGACGCGTTTCAGGCGCATAGTTTTGGAGTTTCAATACTCTGAAAGCGTAGCTTTATTTAGTGACTCTAGGGCAATGTAGACAAAAACGACCATACTTCCATGACCAGAACATGTAAAACATCTATGGCCTGGGATAGAACTATATATGAAGGACTTTCAAAATAATCCCAGCAGCAAAAAAGAGAACAGAATGGTTCCTTCCGAGATTTGAGAGTGCTTTCACGCAAGTGGAAATGTCACAATCTCAAAGCAACAAAAGCACTAGTTCTTTGAGAAGTGTTGACGACTAGTACTTTATTACTTAGGCTTTAGGGTAAAGTGACCACTTGAACATTAAAATTACAAAAAAAAAAAAAAAAAATGGACGCATCTTTATGTGGTGAATGATGTTGATTGGGGCGAAGCTCTGGTGGTGCTGATGATACTGATTTTATTGTTCATAGGTAGTGCTAATGGTGCTGATTCTTTTTCATTGCTCATAAATAGTGCTGAGTTCCGGGTTGCGTTTCGACTTCATTATTACTGCTTTATGGTCGGTGAAATGCAGAGCCAGTGGTTCTTCTAGCGGATCAGCCTGGATTCGCTAGAAGCCGTGGGAACGCATCTCCACCGCTTAAGTCAACGGTCCATGTCAGAAAGAGAATGTGTGGTATGGATTGTGGTTATATACGCAGTTGAGCATTTGACCGCAGCGCCCTCTCGTCTATAAACGTTGAGCAAATGCATGCAAAGTTTAACGCGGTTATATATGCATTTGACCGCAGCGCCCTCTCCTGTATAGGCGCTGAGCGGCTACATGCAACGTTGGAGTGTAGTGTAGTGGTTAAGACGTCTGCCTAGTGAGCAAGCGGTCCTGAGTTCAAACCCTCGTGCGGGCATACTTTTTTTCTTAAAGTGAGCCGATCCCGGAGGCAGTGCAATCGATGTGAGCACGGACGCCGGACGGACAAGGCTAGACCCTAAGGAGCTTCGCCCCTAAAAATGGTACCAATCTTGTCAATAAAGAAGTAGAATTTCAATACTTTGAGCACACTTCAGCCTTATTTGAACTTTTATGTCGGTGTCGTGCAGGTACAGTCATTCGGGTTGCAATGAGACGCCTTACAAAACCTACATGTTAATGCTAAATTAGTCTCTTTATTTTTTAAATAAAATTATGTCAATGTCAATGGTAGTGGGAAGAGCTGAGTGGAATAAGAAGTCACCTGTGTTTTCGTGAGAAAGAAGTCCCAGTATGCTCTGGACAGCATTAAGTTCGACCAGAATGGGGTAGAGTTCTGGCTGAGTGGCCACAATGTGCATCTCCTGGAGGATGTCATTGAGCTCCACCTCAGAGTCCATGAACCTGCAAATGTTTGCTTTCGCTAAATACAGCAACACGCCTAGAGCATGGCGATGGTCCAAGCTTTGCCGCTAACTTTGCCTCTTATTTCTCAACAATTCCTCATAGTACCGGCGTTTTAACCTTGGTTAATGACACAACTTGGCATTTGATTGGCTTCCCGATTTCTCGGCGTATGAAACATACTATGTTGAACGGCGCAAAAGCCTGACTTGGGTCAGCCCAACAGAAACATGCAGGCAACTGAGTTTGTACTTTACCTCCCGGTATAGACCATTCCATTAATTGCCTTCTGCGCGCTGCCATCGTCGTCTGTGGAGCGCATTCTAAGCACGTGCGTCGGCTCTCTTTGCAGAATATCAAACACAATAAGAGGTGGAATGGTCTACAAACACCCAAAGAAATCTAGATAATTTCACAATTGCATTGTGGATTGCCACAAATCATATATATTGCATTGCATTCGTCATATATTGCATTTGAAGGAATTAACCGCTCATTCACACTGGAAGCGGATCTGCGTTCGCAAAGCAGTTGCGAAAGCGGTTGTATAAAGGTCCAGTACAATTGCACGCGCACTTGATGTCATCGAGTGCGCGTGAAATTGTACTGGATCTTTATACAACTGCGTTCGCAACCGCTTTGTGAATGCGGATCCGCTTCCGGTGTGAATGAGCGGTCAGTGTGGCTTTCTTTGTTACTGCCGCGGACTGTGAATATTTTCCCAAAGAAATGCTGTCATAACACTATTTCTCCAGCCCCACTGCAGCTGTTATTGTACAGGTGTACAGGCCGAGTTTGCACATCAGAAAATTTGCTGAAGGTTTTGTTTTTTTTAAAGTTTGGCAAATGCTAAATTGGACAAAACTTTAGGTGACTGGTCCAGTCACATTTTCAGAAACTTGTACAGGATGAAAAGGAGGTGAGATGGGGGAAATAATTCATATGCACACAGCTCGCACATCTAATATAGGAATCCCTCTGGCTTGTCTCAGATACCTCTTGAAATAAGGAGACACAAAAAAAGACGAAGAAATTGTTACTTACTTTTCTGGCAAGTCTGGATACTTGATCCTTAGCTCCTGATTCTTCAGTACTCTTTTCTCAAAATTCAAGATGAGCTTTTTCAGGGAGGTGTCATCCAACATGTCAATCTTTAACCAAAAGAGACAAAAAATCAAAGCTTGAAAGTTATTTCACATAATTCAATCCATTGCTCACTGTAAAAAGCAATGACAAAAAAAATTAAACACAAAAATAAATTTAACGCGAAAAAAAAAAATTTTTCAGAGCAATATTGACGGCGAGATTCATTCTGCGCGCAAAGTCCTCGACGTCACGGAATGGCCATACCCTTTCCACTTCAACGAGATGGTCATACAATCTCTCCACCTCAACGTGATGGCCAAGTTGATCCACCCCTCCTCCACGCGCCCGAAATGCCGAAAGAAAACAAGCTGCGCACCGTCAATATTGCTCTAAAAAAAATTTTTTTTCCGGGTAAACATTTTTTTTTGACCCACCCACCAGTCCCAACCACAGTTTAAAAAAGTTTTTCCTTTTCAGTGGTCCTTTAAAGGGACACTATCCATTATGATGTTAGAAGACTACCCAATCAATATTTTGCTACAGCGTCATGTATATTTCTAATAAAGTCAAAATATGAAACTGCTCGAAACTGAACTGGGGAGGAAAAAGAAATATTGAGGAGGAGAAAGTTACCGAAAGTCACGTGGCTGTGCAACTTTTTTTTTTTTTCAATCAATGTATTTGCAGTTTTTTAGATGCCACAAAAAAATGGGTATCATATTTGTTGTCTATATTTTGTACTGCGTGTGTGCCTTCGATGACCCACGACTCTAATTATCTTTGCTGGCTGTGTCTAAACCATAGAAAATGGCCCGTGACCACGGAGAAGAAAGTGAGCGCAACTCAAACCGGCCAGTTCTTGATCGGCGGTTTTCGGGTGGAAAGAAAACGAATTTTGAGCCGCAAATTGTGTTCTTTGGTAATTGGGCTCTTATATGTCATATACAAATAAAAACCTTGGCAAGCATAAATGCACTGTCAGTGTCCCTTTAGGTGCACCATTTGTGTACAGCCCGTTACACGGAATAGAAATAGTTACTACCTAGCTGTTTCCTGGCCAGGGAGGCACCTAATCGCATAGAGGCTGATTGTAGACGTGACTTGGGCAAAACTGTCAATTCGTGTATCTTCTCTCCCACCACCCCTTACCCCAAACCATTCAATGATACTGATTCTGCAACAGAATCAACAATCCATACTTATGCCGCATAAAACAAAGTGCATTTTTTTATGCATGACCAATGCCACCCAACTACTCAAAATGTAAATGTTGGACACCTGACTGGATGAAAACAAAGATGGCCTTTGCGACAAGAATCCGGTACGAAGCAGCCAAAGATACCAGGCGAGACAGACGTGGGAGCAGTGCGCAGCGCTTTGAAGTGTTCGTATGCTCCCGAACCTAGGCGGCCAATCTGAGATCTCCGATATTCGGGGAAATGCAGAAAGAGTTGTTCCGAAAGTCGCGTACATCGGGCTCCGGTTCGGGCGGCTCCACACGTTCCACTTCTTTGGCGGGAGCCTCGGGTTCCTCCCGTAACGGCGCTGCAACAAGGTAGTGTTCAGTCTGGAATCCTTCCAAGGCAACACTCAAAAGTACAGAGTGGAAAGGCTAGAAGGACCTCACCAAATCTCGAAATTCGCATGGTTCCTCCCGTGATCGCATTGTGCTGCAAACGCTTGCGAGGCCGGGTGTCTGCTGCTTCATCGTCGTCACCAAGACCTCGTTTCGGTTCTTTGGCAGGCTGCAATCGATGAGAACTCAAATTAGAAGCGTTATTTTCTGTCCCATCTCTGTTAATAGGGTAGACAAAGCACGGCTATAGTAAATTTTACGGAAACGTCCAAACATTACTTTGTAACTTAGCAGTTCTCCGACGTCCATGTTTACGTTCTGTGTGGTGTTCGGAAGCGCGGAAGAGAAATTCCAAGGGAGAAATATCTATGCTATTATAAACATGATATAATCTACGATGCGTGAGAAATCAGTTTGATGACTGGTTTTTAAAAAATACTCGTGTCTGCTCACGTCTACGCTCCCGTAAACGTTGCTCCTGCTTCCGTTCTTCCGTCAGTAAAAATATGCTATAGTTGCTGTAGCGCTGTCTGTAGTCTGTCGTGTCAGTTCTGGATAGATAAAAGCGTCATTTTTTCTGTATAGGGTGACAGCTCGCGCCATCTCTAGCGCTACCTTTGGGCAGAAAATGTGTAATTAGTTTTTTTTTTTTTTTTTTTTTGCGTACTAAAAGGTACTTTAAGTAAAGTACAAAGTAAATGAGACGTGAAGTACTTTAAGTAAAGTAGTAAGTTCATTAAAACTTGGGTTTGAGCTAGTTGGTCCATTACTGAATCAAACGAGGACAATAAACACGGACGACAGGACAGGCGCTTGTCCTGTCGTCCGTGTTTCTTTATTGTTTTATTGTCCTCGTTTGTTCGCGCTTTTTAATTATTTATTTAGTAAGTACACTGGGTGCAATGTACTTGAAGTAAAGTACTATAAATACAATGTACTTTCAAAGTAAACTACACGTATTTTACCACAATCATTCATGATGCCCTTTTATTCCCCTATAGTGATTTTTTAACTGGTATGCATTGCCCAAGGGTAATCAGGGGTGCATGACCTATTTTCAAAAACAGTGGCGAATATTTGATAAAGTCCAGTGGCCACAGAGTAGTTAATTTCAGGACTGGAGCCAAACTCAGAAGTCCCTCTTCTGAATCTGGCATAGAGTTATTATAATGTACATATAATAACTCTATGGAATCTGGCGCCGCTTGCACTGGATTGTTGCACCCAAGGAAGAGAGCATGACGTCATCCTCGTAGCTTCCGCAAGCAATATCCTCTCATAGGACCTTTCTTTAATTAAAAAAAAAAAAAAAAGAAACTGCGTGTGCAAGCGAGCTGGTGATAATTAATCATAATGTGACACCTGAGATTGGGTTGCGAAAAAATAGACTACTTCCATAAAGCCCCGCATGCAACACGGCGCGCGTTGCACTCTGGGAACTAGTTGGCCAGGGAGGAGGGTGGCATGGTTTCGGTTTCGATCGATACGTCGACAAGAGATTGTTTTCTGGTCCCGAGAGCGTCATTTGTGGTCTCTAAACTAACCTAAATGGTCAGGCCTCGAAGCTTTAGCACAAGCCCGAGACGTATAGCTTGTCTTTACACATGCTTGTTGTATTTTTGTACTTGAGCCTTCCTGTTAGCGTTCCAATCGAGGTATGTGGACGAGCCAGTGCTGGGAGTCTCGACGCTGCGAAGCTCGGGTGCTCGGGGATCTTGCTTGTGTACGAAACAACAAGCTGTAGCAAACAATAAGTATGCATACATCGAGCTCGCGCCTTTACATTAGTGTTTTTGATCAGGAAGTTTGCTTCGTGCGTCCATAGACTAAATATTACTTTTTGCAATTACTGTTTTTCTTAATGTGCCTGAGTATGCGAGGTAAAACTCGGAGGTGCCATTGAAAAGCTCAATTTTAACACACCTATCTCTTATCTGTACTGACCCGCAGCACTGCACGAAGTGAAGTCCCCACCCGCTTGCATACTAATATTCAACATCGCGTATGCGCATAAAGTTATCCTGCAATCATATAGGCTAATTCGCGCATACAGACCGTTTTAAGAATGCAAAAGTCGAGTACTTGTGTGAAGAATCTCGCACCGTTCGCCGGAAGTGCTTCAGACGGGCATGAACCCCTATGCGCACCGCATTGGGGTTCATGCCCGTCCGGCGCACGGTGCGACACTCATCACACAAGAGCTCGAAAAAATTCAAAGCGCATTTTACGGTTGCTAATGGCCATAATATTTGTTATGTGTTTGCTTTCTTTCTGCCTGAGTATGCCGAGATAATTTCAGACACACCGTTCCCGGCACAGATCTCGGGCGTCAGTAAAAGCTCGTCCAAAAAGGCTTAGCGAGGAGTAGGGGGGACGCTTGTTAGGGCCTAAGTCGTAGCTGGCCGATCTCAGCGTTTGCGGAAAGTTAATCTTCTATCAGCATAAAATTTGAGTGGGGGATATATGATGACACGAGGAAGACATCGTAGTAACTTTTGTGCAGTAGTGAGGTCGAATTTATTGCGTTTCCTTAAAAGTTCATGCGTAAACGCTGGCCTCAACTTCGATACCCCGTGAGAATGCTGCTTGCTTTTCGCCCAATGAAGTAACAAGAAGCAGACGTTTGGCAAACAAAATGTGTGTAAGGCTCCAGACGAACAAATTTCAGTTGTAGTTCACTGGTACTAGACGGGATTACTGACATTGAGGTCGAAGATGCACTCGTCGGGTGAGGTGACTAAGCCACGACTTACTACGTTCGCATACGCACGCACAATATCCGGTGTTTCGGGAACCAAGGAAAGTGCCCCGGTCTTCGTTTTGTATCGCTCGAGAATGAGTGTATTGTACGTTCGTGAAAAGTCAGATAATCGAAAACGCAAGCAGCGCGTTCGGTCGCGGCGTGATAGCATGAGGTGAAGCTGCTCAGTCGAAACCGAAACTGAGTGGCCAACTAGTTCCCAGAGTGCACTGCGTGGCATTTCGCCGCGATGGGGCGCGTCGGTTTTGGAAGAAGTCCATTAGGGAACTCTACCACTGTACCCCCTCTTGGTACCGCCATAACCGACCTTCAGTTTTTAACCATTTCGTCGTTTACCCTGAGACTGGGTTTTTTTTTTTTTTTTTGAAGAGCAGAAGTAACAGAAAAAACAGACAGGTCTTTTTCTGTTACTTCTGCTCTTCAAAAAAAAAAAAAAACCCAGTCTCAGGGTAAACGACGAAATGGTTGACTTCCACCATCTAGCCTGTACTTTGACTCTTTTCTTTAGTTTTTTTCCCCTCTTATTCCGTCCGCTCCACTTCATCGTTACCACAGCAGGACAAGTTATTGTCGTGGAGACTCGTCAATGCTTGCTTCAATGCCTCGGCATAGGGTGCCTTCATGTCCCGCTTCATGAAGGCACTCTACCTCGGCATCTTGGTAAGACAAGAGAAGGTCGGCAATGTCGGCTCAATCTGGCGCGCGCTGAAAGCATCTATAAGTGTAGCGATGATTTTATTTCAGTTATTCTGGCACTAAAATAACAATTCCCTGTAACGAACCAATATGACGACACGATGCTTTATATTTTCTATCAGATCATTTGGCTTTTCGACTTTGACCTTAGTCGAGCTACGCGTGGGACAGCAAAGGCTACAAGCGCAAGCTTGCTCGCTCTCTTTGTTTTGAGACGTCTTTCAAGCACGAGTGCTCGTTCCACGGAAGAACGTTTCTCAAAACTGCAACTGCAATCACATGTTGAGCGTTCGCTGCCCTATGGCAGGCAAGAAGCGCAGGGCGCATGGCGTCTCTCTCGGATGCTCAGGGCCAGGCTTCAGCACGCGCTCGTTGCCTTCTGCCGTGCTTCCGCGGAAGAACGTTTCTCAAAACTGCGATCTCATGTTGAGCGTTCGCTGCCCTACGGCAGGCAAGAAGCGCATGGTCTCTCTCGAGGGTCCCTATCATTTCGTCGAAATACGTTTCGTAGACTTTTCATGCACACACGCTTCGTCGACACGATCGTTGTTCCCGGAGGCATGCGGTTTAGAGAAGCTCGTTTTAGCGAACGCCGTTTTACCGACCCCGGTTTTTCGAATGCCGTTAGAGAGAACCTAGTTGAGAGAAAATGGCGATGAGCCTCCTTCTGGCGAATTCAGCCGCCGCGAAGCAGCGTGTACGGGCAAATCAGGTGAGTTTACATTTTTGTAACATTTTTGTAACGCGTAGCACCCCCTCTTCCGCCTGCGTTCACGCCGCTTCGCGACGTTAGTCTGCGGCGGCTAAAGCTTATTCAAACAGTGCTTATTCTTATTCAAACAAAAAGCGACTTTTGAGCTGTCGATGAAATGCCATTCGATGAACTGATTGCCACCTATCTCTCCGAGGCTGGGTACGAAATATTCAAACAGTGGAAGAAACTGTCCCCAGGTCCCAACTTTCCACAACGACACGCCTAGACTCGCGCAGACACGCAAGCGCAGGACCCCGGAACTTGAAGCGCTTGAAGTACTTCAACTGCTTCTACAGCTTCAACCCGGTTGAACCGCTTGAAGTTTGTAGTGTTTGAAGCTCCGAAGCCTGAAGACCTACTGAAAAGGACAAAAATGATCCAGGTTCCCGCCAATACTTTTACCGTTATCACTCCCAATGGAACGGTTCAAACAGTTCAACCAGTTCAACTGTCAAAACATGCTGAACTATTATTGTATGTACGATACTTTGTAAAGCCGATTGATAACGTTATTCAAATCGAACTGTTTATTATGCTGTGATTACAATACAAAAGGGACGCCTCATAGCCATCGCATTTTTTGGGAAAATGTGCAAAGGGTGTAATCGCCATATATTCAACAGCGCTCAGCATGCGCATGTATTGACCGATAAGTGGCGCTGCCGGTATCGCGCGGTCGACGCTCGCGCGTTCTTTCATAACCTGCAATGTTAGTAGTTTTCTCTCTTTCTATGTGCGTTATCGTTGTGAATTCAGTTTTTATTTCCCTGTGGTAAGGTATTCAGCGTTGAGTTTGTGCTTGTAAATGTGATCCCGTTTTAGTTTTCATGAACCTAGTGAAACCGGCTCGTAAGACTTCGCATCATGTTAGGCCTAAGAGCCGTGAAGTGTGCCCGCGAGAGTGAAATGCGTTCGCAAAGAATATGCTTTACGAACTTGTGGTTAAGTGAAAAGAGAGCGAAATGTAATTCGCGGATTCTTGGGAAGCGGTAAGTGTGAACATTGTCCTAAGATGCGCAGAGGTAAGACTACTCGTAGCCGGCCATTCGCCCTGCCTATCAACTACGTATCTCGTTTAAAGGGATTGAATGTATTGCCTAAGATTTTGCGGAGAAAGTACTCGTCGTTCCGAACAAAGCTAGTCATGTAAATGTTCTTTCTTTCTTTCCCCCCACCCCCCTTTTATCTCGAGAGGCATTGACTCGGTGATGTTCTGCTTGCAGTATGCGTGTCTCGGACATGCCAGGGAGCTAGGGCTTTGTCCCACGACTTTAATCCTTTAGTAAACAAAAAATATACCTAGTAAAAAAAAAGAAAAAAAAAAGTTTTTTGCACGAAAGGTAGAGTTTGTTTGGAAGTTGTGTTTAATAATGGGATTGCGGCGCCCCGAGCTCAATTCACAGAGGCGTTTAAATACGTTCGTTAACGTACGCGATATGTTTTCGCTGCGAGTGCCAAAATTGACCTACCAGCTCGATTTTGCAGTCGACTGAGAACTGCGTGCTGAGTATCCATGGGAATACCCAGGCAAGGTTAGGGATCTGCTGCGTTTGCAGGTTTACCAGTACTGCCAATCCTTTTGTAAGTGTTGAAGGCCATTTTTTTGCCGTCTTTTCCTCGTGGATGTGAGCTCATAACTGTCTTGACTGGTGACTATCTGTTATGACATTCATGTCTGTGTTAAACTCCGGTGCAGGTGTCGATTTGCAAGCCCAGGCAGTGTTTTCCTTTGTGTGTGTGTGTTTTCTCTCTCACTGGGTTGAGCAGGGTTATTTCGCTGCCATCTACTTGTATTTGGATGGGCACTACTCAAAAATGCTTTCTACTGGTCTTGGATAAACTGAAAGATTCTGAAAATATCTACTAGGCACTCTAAAAGAATATTGGTTGCGTGTAATACTCATCTCCCATATTTTTGTCTGCAGTCCTCTCAAATTCTGCATTGGTGCTAAAAAGATGCATGAATGGAGTTGTGCAAATGTCATTAGAACAACAGACTTTCCTCTCTCTTTCTAATGTCAGTCCAAGAGGAATGAAGAGTCCAACGAGCCTGTTGACATTCTCAGGAGTGTAGACTATAACCTGAATCTTCTTTGTAGCACTGCCTGCTGTCTTCTCTGGCCATAGGCTGCTTTTGCAGGATTTTTTACGACACTGGTATTAATTGGGCACCAAAGATTGTTCATCATGTCTGCTCAGCATGTGTGGTGAACATCACAGTGTGATAACTTGGAAGTGGAGGCTGTGGGCTTTGTCAGTACACGCTTGGCACCAACAGATTTTGCTATGGTGGCCAGGGGTGCTATGTTGCGCTTTTTGCACTCCCAGGAGACTTGGAAGAGGGAAGTGACGTCAACGACACAGCAAATGCAGATTGGATGTTGACAGATGAAAACGAAATCAACACCCAATCTGCGTTTGCTGTGTCATTGACGTCACTTCCCTCTCCCTAGTCTCCTGGGAGTGCAAAAAGCGCAACATAGCCCCCCAGTAAACACCACCTGTTGTGTTTACACTGTACTGATTAGGTTCTCTGGAAGTCTTCTCCATCCTGATAATTAACATCTTGCCCATTGGAATTTGGTACTTGTCAAGGTTCTTCCTGTTTTTCTTCCAAAACATTCTTAAGATGCCATTTTTTGTGGAGGCTGCATTTTTAAACTGTAACCCATTTGCTACTCTGCTCCGAGTTTATGCATCCTAAGTATAATTTCTTTTAAAGTTTGTATGACAGGTGCCCATTACCTCCCCATTACTGTCAGAAAAGTTTTTTTTTTTTTTTTTAAGATTTGTTAGAATGATAAAATTAATTGGAAGATATGGTACATATTTTTCCTTGCTCAAAGTTCTTAAGAACTGGTGGTTATGTGGTGAGATATCATCTCTAACATTTTATCTCGAGTTGATACTATGGAATTTTAGAGTTCTGCAGGGGTGTATTTTTTGTATATTACTTTCTCTGGGCCCAATTGTCTAATATAAGCATTTTGTCACTGCTTCAGTTGCAGTTTTGAATGGCCGTGCTTTGACCATTCAGCAATGTCGGTTTTGCTTGAGTAGCCATTATGTGATATGCGCAACATTAGAATGAATTGCGATGGTTCTTTCAAGATTTATAAGAGAAGTGTGTATGTTCCTGTATACCTTAAAAAAAAAACAGTGGAAAAAAGTTTTAACATTATAATGCACAGTTTCACACTGAGCCCGTGGTGTTTAGCTTGTGCACATTTTTGCACAATTTGCATTATCTTTCTTCATAATGCGGCATTTTTGAATTTGTTGATTTTGTTTAGTACGGCTGTTTTTCCTCTGGCAGTACAGCATAACAACTTTGTGCTCGAGCTGCTGGGACTCTCTATATGCGTTAGACAGATGGGTTTTTGTCCCTTTGGCGTGGGCTCTTGTCCGGCCAGCCGCAGAGGCTCTCTGCGGGGGGGCTTCTCCCCAGGGGCTCCCCTGGAGCTTTCGTGCCTCTGGTCCCTTTGCCTTGTGCACTTATTCCGCGTCTTCGCCGTTGCCCTTGCAGCACACCTGGAGTCGCGTTTCCCCAGGTCGCCTCGACAGAGTGTGTAAACCTGTGGGTTTAGCTGGTGCCAGGCGTAGTTGAGAGGTTTCCTACGGCTTGGCTGGTGGGTGTTTGGGGTTGGACTGCCTCCCCGAGGCATGGAAGCTGCCAATGAGGAGCCGCTCGCCGGCAGCGACGTGAGCGACGACGAGGGCTCCGCTGCCAGTTCGGTTGTATCCGGTTCTCCCGAGGAGGAGGGGCAGCAGGCTCCGGAGGCACCCAGCTCGCCTCCCACACACGGTACGGTTCGGAGAAGTTTTGCTGTACTTCGTTTCGCCAAAAGTGCGAGCCAAAGAGAAGCTACAGGAGCAAGCGCAACGCTTCCAACTGGCTCGCTCTGCACACACACTTGTGAAGCACTGGAGTTGGTCAAGGCAATGTACTTTAAGCATCCTCTTCCCTCGCACTTGTGGTAAAGCAGTATAGAACTGCCAGCATTCTATGGGGCGTTTCTAAATTATTGTTAATGTTTCCGTGGTGTGTTCTTTTAGAAAATGAGAGAACAAAATATAAAAGTAACTCTGAATGTTTGGTTGACCATGTCCTCTGAGATCCTATCTGAGGTCCTCTGGTCTCTCCAAGCGCTCGTTTGCCCAGCAGAAAGGGAGTGTATAGCATAGTTTTCCAGTTTATCAGCAAGGTGGTGCTGATAGAGAGCTGGCATCAGCATCTCAAAAGTTGAATGAGTGCACGCGGTATAGAGCTGATATTTTCGTTAACACTGCGGAAGCTGAGGTGCACGAGCGCGTTAAGACGCTATTCAGGTGCCTCTCGGTATGTGCGTCTCATGCAATGCTTTGTTTCACCCAGCTTTTGCTAAGATGAGACTTCTAGCAAGCCGACTTTGATTATCAGTAGAGTGGGAGAGATTGTCACAGAAAATTTCACTGCGGCGAAGCCGTCAAAGCCCTGCCAGTAGCAAAGTCAGGGTGAGACAGTATTCGAGGAACACTTGAAAGAAATGCGAAAAACAACAGAATAGAAAAGATAAGTAAAATTAAACAAAGATCACAAAAGAAACAACATAATTTGAAGTCCCAAGCGAATGATGCGACTAAAGAGCCCTTCTTACCTCCTACTCAGTAATACGATCTGCGAGGGAATATGACATTATGATCTCTCCTGCTCAGTCTCGAAAAAAAAATGCAATTTTTGGGTCAGAAACTTAATTGAGACTTATTATTGACTCCCCACTATTTCTTTGACCAAAAATGATTGGACGCGCAGTTCATCTGAAAGCAATCGGGCGTGCATTTATCCTACGTCTTTCCCGATTATGAAGGAGCAATACCTAACCCTTCCTTGAAAAACTGGGCGCTGTGGTAAGCCTTGCCTTGTATTTAGCACCGACCTTGTACCTAGCACCATTGGCGGCAGAAACAGCCACGAGCTTTCCATTTTTTTCTGGCAGTCTCTCCTGGCAAATGGAATGGCCGAAGGAGAGCTTTGCGCGCCAAGAATCTTGGAGGCTATAGTTTGACAGTGTTGTACTCGCTGGTTTGACGTCTGGGTGAAAACGTGATATCATACCTCCAAATGACAGCTCTTGAAGAGAAAGCAGTGTGCCTGCCTTGATTTCCTTAAACGAGGTTTGTTGTCAAAATACAGCATTATTTCAAAACTTATTATGGTGAAAACGCACCTTCTGGTACTACTATTCAATGAAAAAACAATTGCAGGCGAGCTGGTGTATTGGTGGCGTGTAAGCCATAGAAGAAATAAAAACTTGTCTAATCACTGATAAAATGAGAATGTTGGGGAGGAATAGATCTATATATTTTTAGTGCCACCTATTGGCACATTCTTGAGAAGATTATGCTGCAAGCCTCAAAGATGGCGGTCTCTTCGTCCGAGTTTTGACCAAACTCTGAGGAGTTACAAAATCGCGGTGACCGTTGGTTTTAAAAAAACAATTTTTTGCACGCTGACATTTTACACAATCCGTTATCAATCGCACTATACAATCATGAAGCACTCGTTGAATCTCTTACTTCCAAACTAGCGAAAAGTATTTTCAAACAAAAAAGAAGCTAAAAGGAGGCATTCCTTAAATTTCGGAGCTCATTATCCAAACACGCTGCTTCACGTTTCACCGTTGGGGTTCTCCCCAGAAATTTTGAGAGGTGGACATCTGACAATCTGGTTAAAAGCCGACCAACAAGCAAAAGAAGGAAACTCTCCCTCAATTCTTCCGTTCCTTTTGAGAAAGAGGGAGACCTTCCTCCTCTCTACCAGGAGTAGTTCAGAGATTTGCTCCTGTGTGGAGAGGAGGGGAAAAGTGGGCGAATGGGAATGGAGAGAAGGAAACTGGGAACCGGTTTTTTCCCCGGTTGAAGACGATTCTGTAGGTCGGACTTTAAGGTGGGAGGTGGAAGGGGAGAGAAAGAGAGAGGGGGGAGAGGGAGGAGAAGGGAAGGAAGAAGGGTGGGGGCATGGCACGGCGCGAGGTGACGCTAGGCATTTACGACTACAAACATCCAGTCACTCAAAACTTCCAAAATTTTATTTTGTCAGGCTGGATCTTCTGCATGTAAAGCCACAGCCTACACGTTGTTGCGACCGAGGGGTCTCCCAGGCAGCCTCAGGCAGGGCCAGGCCAGGACAGGCCCCGCAGGTCGACTCCCGGCAGGAACGTTACGAGACGGGAGGGTCTCTCGCAACAAACTTTGTTTAATACATATATACAAAGTCTCTACATCATCTGAGAGCACACATGCGACCCCCTGTTTTCTCCTTTCGTCGGGTCGCGGTTCGGTGCTCTCTCGGCTGGCAGCCAATGGTGGCCGAGCTGCCAGCAAACGTCATGTCCAGGCCCCGCCCCCACTCATCCCCCGAGCACGCATGCACACACACGCACACCCTGCAGCGGCGGCCAGGCTTCACCTTCCGGCGCCGAGGTACTCTCTCCCTAGATAAGCCGTGCCGAGAAGGCCACGACAAAGGGTCCATTGTCTGCTTGGGAGATGACGTTGGCCGAGAGAAGTGACGATTCCTGGTTTAGGCGGCGAAGTGGCTCAGGAAAGGGGTTTGGCCGGATTATCAGTCAGTAGCGTCGGAGGCTAATCCGAACCGAGCACACCCACGAAGGTCCCGCAGCTGGCGCACCGTCACCCGGAAACTTCGCCTGGTAGTCCCCCGGGTTCCTGTGTCGAGTGACCCCGTTTCGGGCCAACGTAATCCCAGCCAGCAAGAAGGGTCCGGCTCAGCTTCGCGTTTGGGCGTGGCGACGTCAACACGGTGGTCCTCCGTAGAAAGCCCCGGCATCCCCGAGTCACCTCGTTTCCGGGCACAGCTGACCGGAGCCGCGTGGCGACGATACCCAAGGCGTTCACCGGTGCCGGTCGGCTTAGATAGGGAAGGTCTGGTTCGGGGGCCTTTCACAACAACGTTCAGCCTCCTGTTCTTCAGCTTTGCCCACTTTTCCACTACTTTGTCGTACGGGTAGTCTATCACGTCGGGTCCTTCACAAACAATGCGGATAAGGCAATCCAGCGACGACTCCTTCAGGCGGTTTCTTAGCTGTGTTTTGATCAGCTTCAGTGCAGAGATGTCTCTTTCACATTCTGCTGTGTGTGGTGGGAGGACAAGGTATGCACCAGTTTTGTGTGCCACAAGAGGATACAAATCCTTCATGTCTGTTGCCACACACAGCAAAAACTGATGCAGTCAACTTCTGCAGCTTCTCTGATTTGAGCACAAAGTTGGCAAAGCCAGTCCACTCTTCTAGCATACCGTGGCTATAGGGTCTGCCTGGCATGGGGCGGAGCGTTTCCAGAGCCTCAGCGATTTCAACTCCATTGCCAGTCACCATCTTTTGGTAGTTGCCCCTGGCAAACAAATAGAAAACCTAACCAGTATAGATGGTCCTCAAACCTGTCTTTCATGTTGTCAACAACCTCTTTGACAAATGCCCTTTTTGTGGTTTGTAGACACTTTTCGGCTTGCTACGTGACTGTCAGTGGGATGTAATGGGTAGTGCAAAAGTCCCAACGATTCATCTGGAGGTTTTCCTGTGCCTCCAAGGTCTTGATGGTCGATTTCATCATTCCTTCAAGAAGATTCACGTGCAGTGTTACTTGTCTGTAGTGCTCTGGAGAGCCTGTCGATAGATGGCAGAACTTTACACATCATTAGCAGTGTGCCCACAAACTTCTCATTCAAGATGAGCTTGAGCAGTCCTACTGCCTTTATGTCATTTTGCTTCTCTGCTTCTCGAGACAAACTGGCTGTAATGGCTTCAAGATTATTCCAAGCAGCTGCGCAAGATCCTCCAACGCTTAGCCAGCGTTTTGCAGGAGGTCCTTGAATTTGTCTACATACGGAGCTGCCTTTGCAGCCTGGTTTGCTGCTAGGTTGAGCCCTGTGTGCTCCACAGTGAATTCCTACAGCTTGCAAGCTCTGGGGTGCTGTCACAGCCTTCTGCTTGTCAGTAAGCAACTTCACAGCTCCCCCTTTCTTGTCATAACAGGTGCACCGTCGGTTACAATGCCCCAAAGGGTCTCGAAGACCAGGCCTTTCTTTGTCATAAAACCTTCCACGGCGCTTGCAATGTTGGGGGCATTAAGAGCTACTGCTCTTTCCTCACTCAACTGTGGATCGGGGCTCCCCAGCACATCAATCATGGACAAGAACTTCATTTCCAAGCTTCCATTGAAGATGTATCTACAGTGGATGACCAGCTGCTCTACAGTCCTGCAATCTGTTGTCTCATCAAACATCAGAGCATAGTGCTCACTCTGTCGTAGTTCATACAGGATTTCATCCTCCATGACACCTGAGAAGCAAGCTATCATCTCCTGGATGGACCTCTGACTGCAGTAGGTAGCATTCTTTCCAGATGCTATTCGTGCTTCCACATCGAGTCCCAGGAAGAGAGAGTAGGTCGAGAAGAGGCTCATAGTTTGTTGTGTGCGCTATCCTACGCTTGCAGAGCAGGTACAAGCTTGTGAAAGCTTGCTTCATGGCACTACGGGAGGCTGGGCATTGCAGGGTCTCTAGAGGGGACAGAGCCACCTTGTTGTGCACCTCAAGCGCGACAGAGTCCCGGTGCGAGCGGCATGCTTCGTGTTTCCAAACATTTTCCAGCCGAATCCTCTTTCACGGTTCTTCGTTCCACAGAGACTTTGGGAAGTCTCTTGTCATATTTCATGCACAGATTGCAAAACACCCCACCTTTGGTTTCATCATCATCATAGAGAAGCCAGGGATAGTCGCGAAGCCAAGACTTGTTGAATGCTGATGCACGCTTGCTGTTGTTGTCACCAGTTTTACGCATACTTCACTTCGCTTCATGGCTTGCACTAGCATCGCCTGGCACGCCGAAAGATTCGGGTCGCTTTGACGTGGACGCTGTCATGATGTCCACTGCTTCAACGTCCGCTCCTGCTCCGTGCATTTCTGATTGCACATCGTTGCTGGACTGTTTTTCAACCACTGCGAAAGGGAAGAAAGACATTGCCAAGCTATTGCACAACTGCTGTTGTGCAATGGCTTGGCAGCCATTGCACGACAGTAGATCATCAGTGACCACGTTGAGACTTTGAGACTTGTGAGAGCCTCGCTCGGCTCACTCTAGAGTGACCAGCTCACTCTACCCTAGCTTACTCTAGCTCACTCCGGGGCCCCATGGCATCACGCCATGATGAAAGAGCGAAGGTTTTGAAATAGCAAATGAGCGAATATGCAAGTAAAGGAAAGCTACTCGTGCAGTCTGGAGTCGGAGGAGTGAAGGAAACATGAGCAGTGGCAAGAGGTAAGAAACAGAGAGAGAGAGAGAAAGAGGGGTTTGGTGAGGCAAGGCAGGCAAGAAAGTTGGGTTTTACGAGCGGAAGAGTGAGAGAAATGGCGGGTCTGCCACGTCACGTCGGTTGCGTTTGTGCAGATCTGTGTTTCGAGCCTCCTCTCCACACTCCCGGGTGCGCATGTGTCAAGGAACGTAAAGAAGGAATAAAAAGCCTCCGTGCCATTTGCTCTCTTTGCTGCTGCATGGCGGGCCTCTGGTGCGAGCGCGCAAACTTTTAATGCCACGACACATTTTTTAAGTGGTGGGCGGGAGATGGGCAGTTGGCCGGGCTTGTGGGCGGTCAACCGGAGTGGTGGGTGGCAAAACCACCGCCGCCCACCGTGGGGAGTACCCTGACCATACAAGGCGCTAGTGTTTGGTAGGAGTGCAGGGGTCAGAACTGACATAAGCCTGGTGACATCGGGAAACATTTCATATTAAGAAAAAAAACCAAAGGAGGGAATTCTTTTTAAGAGATTTCTGCAGATCAGCGAATTTGGGAATCCGAATGAGGGTGCTGCATCGGAGGAGCTCAGATCGACGATCAACGCTTTATTAAGTTGATGCGTCGCTGCTATCTAGATGCATCACATTCCGAGCGGTCTCTTACTGCGTCCCAAAACAAGGATGGCATGCTGCCCTTGTTTTGAGGCAGTTTGAACCATGTTTTCGATATTTCCAATAGATAGCGCCACAATTATGAGGAAGGTCTATCTTAGTTGTCCCGTCTCCTACCTCCGATAACGCTTCAGCGTGCACGCGCAGACAAAGCACGGCGGAAGGCAACGAGCGCATGCTGGAGGCTTTCCAGAGAGACCTCCTGCCATTCTCACCTTGTCGATGACCATAGGCGAGTTTGAGAAGTCGTCTGTCCCCTTTTTTTTTCCCGCCCCTTCCACCGTGAATTGCTCTTTTTCCACCCCAGTCTCGGGCCTCAATGTTGCGGCGCTTTTCGCCGTTCTTAAAGGCCGCCATACACTTTGCACTTTCCACTTTTCCTCACTTCCTCCCTTCCCATATCCTCTTCACCTTCCAACTTGCCCAAACCGCGACTTCCCTCACAGTTTAAGAGGAGAGGGTGCCAAGCGGATTATCTTCCTTGCAGAAAACTGAGATTGTATGTTGGCCTTTAAAGTAATTTCGAGAGACTGGTGGCGTTCGGTACCGAAAAGAAGCAGGAAGGCCGGGCTTTTCACGGTAAAACAACCCATACTGTTGTTCAGGTGCTAGCTTTACCAAGCAGCACCCATGGAGAGAGTTGTGTCTTTACATTTTTATCCCGAGCAAAACCCTCGAGGGTGGCTCGCACATTTGAGTTAGAGTGCAATCAACTGCATTCTGACCGCTTGAGACAGCTTACGACAATAGAATACGCTGGCACCATCTGTCGGGTAGCCCTGAAACATTACCGATTTGCATATATTTTATGCTTCAGTCTTTTACCATGTGCTCGAAATAATTCCTACAATGTTAGAAGTGACCATTTCCCCTAGATAGTGTGTAGTTGGATATGACCTGAATTAGTATCGACCCTAAGTGCCATAGCCAAGATGATCGAGTTTTTGTTTGTCATTTTAATTCCGTATTTTGACCAACGAAGTTTTAATTCCCTACTTAAATTAGATCTTGACAGAACTCTCGGAGAAAGTGGAAGTTAGATTTGGTAGAATGTTTGCCGTTACCTTTTTAATTGTGTCGCAAGAAAGGTTTGAAATAATAAAAAAAAAAAAAAATGGACACTGTTGGCGACAAAGAAACTGGGACGGCCACGGAGCACAAGTTAAACATTTGCAGGTGGTCAAGCTGCGATGCAGAGTGAAGACGAAGGACGTGAAGAGGCGGTCAATCCCGCGCAGAGTCGTTGTTCGGATGCCTCTCAGGACGGTGCCATCGAAAGTGAAGAGGAAGGAGCTGTCCATAGCCCAGAACCGACGCCCCAGCTTCACGTGAGCGTCCAGTTTGGCTGCGGTCTGAGCCCGCTCTATCCGCCTAATGACTTAATTTGTTGTTTCCAGCTGACTGAGGACATCAGCGAGGATGCGTTGGAGGCTGCTCCGGCCCCTGTGGCTAAAAAGCCCCTCAGCAGCCGATCCATGGAGCCGCTTGAGGGAGAGCTGGACTTCGAGGATGACGCCCCCTCTGAGTCCCCCAGCGTGTCCCTCAACAAAGGCCAGGAGGACAAGGACAAAGGAGGGGACAAGACAAAGGTGCCACTTGCATCTCATTTTGTCCGAGATGATGGGTTGAGGAACGTCCTGATAAAACCTGCGTTAATCCGAAGGGAATTCGGTTGATGGTGGCACGCCTTGTATTTTACGTTCGGCGGTATGGTGCTAGCTTGAATAATGTTGGCACAAGATCGACTGAAGTTTCTAATTCACAAGAACCTGATTTTTTTTTTGTATAAGTTGAGACGAGACAAATTTGCGTAATACATTTTTGCAATTGTTGTCGTAGAAAAAGTTGTTGAGTAAGGGAGCTATAAGTAAATGTTAATAGGTCTAAAATAAAAGCCAAAATCGGCTGGCTTTGTATAAGGAAGTCATTAGAGAGCATTTCTCCATGAAGTTACTAGTTGCTTCAGATGATTGTAGTGTTTACAAGTACACAGAGAGCTGGTTCTTATGGCAGTGGGTTGAGCATACTTTTGCAAGGAGACACCCAGCACTGACGTGTTCCTACCATTTCTCTTCAGTCAGTTCTGCAGCAGAAATGCGTCCTGGTGGCGAAGGTCTGAGTTACGAAGTGTTTTTTGTAGGATGGGAAAAAAATTATTTTTTTAAAGAACATTGGGATAAGAACACTGGGAACACATTACCTTGGGATGAGGTTATCCACCACGGTGAATGTCTGGTAGAGAGTGTAAAGTTATAGTTTGCAAATTATTTACCTAAAATTCGCTAATTAACCTTTTAACTGTAATTTGCCACATTCAAGTTAGAGATGTGTTGCTTGCCGTCAAAATAGTTCACAGCAGTTGTTAGAATTCAGACAACTGAATTCTGCTCTGCACTATTCTCTACCAAGTTTCAGCCGTGAGCAGACGAGATACGGAAGCTAGACGCAAAAACGAGCAGAAGTCCCACTAAAAGCAGCGCCAGCCTCTGCAGCCAGCATGGGTATCGTGTCACCATGAGCCGATAAGTCATATGGCCATAGAAAAGGCTGCCGTCTCCTTAAGCGCTCAGGTTTCAGCGGTTTTTTTATGCCAATATTGGCCTAGCAGACACTAGACAGCCTAACTTCACCAGAGAACAGCGCGGAGTAGATGCTAGTTGTCCGAATTTTTAAACTGCTGCTTTGGCATATTTTGACAGTGGGCAGCAGATTTCTAATTAGAATGTGCCAGCTGAAGCGAATATTTAAAAAGTTGTTTAGTGTATCTTAGGTAATTAATTTACTGATTATTACTTTGCACTCTGCCCGACGTTCGCCGCGGCGTAGGACGTAAACCCGAAGGAATAATTTCTTTATTTCCAGCGTCCTTTATCGTAAAATTATTTTCCCTCTTAAAAAAAACAAACAAACATTTAGTGTAGGTAAAAGTGTACCTCAACTCGAGAGCTAAAGTGGAATACATGCAACAATTGATGTCTTTCGGCTACCTTTCGTATCTGGCCCATCATTTGTAGCGAGGATCGTGGACGCCTGGTAGCCGGCAGGAAGTCTTGTGTGTTGTCGTCATTGTGCCGTCCGATTTACCCATTGTTTGCGTTTGTTTTCTGGTGTTCGGATCTCTCTCCTGCCACCACTTGTATCACAATAAGTGAGCCCCCTTGTTCGTTTCTTTGGCAAATCCAGGAAGACAATCTCGAAGAAGGTGAAGCCGAGGACGACGGTGAAGTGTCCGACGTCAGCGGCGTGAGTTTCTTTCTGCAAAGGCGCGGCCGAGCCTAGGTGTGCCCCAGTTGGATAACACCTCCTTTTGTCCCTCCCCTCCCCCCCGTCCCCGTTTTTTTGTTTTTTTTTTTGCCATCCACCCCCGTCCACGCCCCCGGTTTTGGGAACGGCGCGGAACACCCAGACGGAGCTGTCGGTGCAGGACGACGACTTGGAAGAAGGAGAGTTGCCAGATGGGGGCACGAGCACGGCCTCCGGGGTGCGCAAGGCCCAGGCACGGCCCATCTGTCGCTTTTTCAACAAGGGCCAGTGCACCTGGGGATCGCTGTGCCGCTTCATTCACCCGGGCATCAACGACCGGGGCAACTACAACATGTTTGCGCCCCCTCCACCCCTGCCCATGCCCATGCCCAAGCCCCACCACCACATGCCACCACTGGCGCCTCCCAGCAACGTTATGGTGAGTCCCTCGTTCCCTGGGAAAGTGTTGGCGCACGTTCAAGGGTGTTGTCTCAGATGAGCTCCGGAGCCCAGCGGGGGGGTCGAGGACGTTCGTAGAGCTTGGTTTGTTGGTGCTTTTATTAAGCTAAATACATACGACTGAGAGAAGCTTTGTTCAGAGTACTACTCTCTTTAACCCTTTCACCTCCGGGCTTTTGTTTTTGTAGCGTTAGCTACACTGGCCTAGGTTGAACAGTTCCGCGTGGCCCTCATAATGAGCCGTGCTCATTATGCGAGCCGTGCTAATTATGCGGAGCGCGCGGCGGCGGCGGAGCTTTGCATAATAAGCACGTCGCACGGCGCCGCGCGCTTCGCATAATGAGTATGGCTCGCATAATGAGCACGGCTCATTATGCGGACGAGCCGCCGCGCCCGCCTCGTCCGCCTCGCCGGACTGCGCATTCCAGAGGAGTGACTTCATAGTCGCGGCAGACCCACTGGCGCCGCCGCGTGCGCAGCTGTGCACCTCCGTTGCGCTGTAGTCCACTCTGACGCTGCACCGGAGCCACTTAATAGCACCTCTCATTTTGTGCACATAAGCTCATGCTACGTATATCCTGGCATAGCCGAGCTAAGCCACCGCAATTTTTTTTCCGACAGCTCCTCACCCCTGCCGGGTTATCGCTGCTTTATTGTTATCGCTTAAATCTGAGTGAGAATTTATCGAAAGTTTATAAATTGCTTCGTTCATCAAAGAGCAGATGTGCATGTGTGTGTGTGCGTGCTCGGGGGATGAGTGGGGGCGGGGCCTGGACATGACGTTTGCTGGCAGCTCGGCCACCACTGGCTGCCAACTCCTGGAGCACCGAAGAGCGACCCGATAAAAGGAGCGCACAAGGGGTCGCATGTGTGCTCTCGGACGATGTAGATACTTTGTATATATGTATTAAAGCAGAGTTTGTCGGGAGAGACCCTCTCGTCTCAAGAGGTTCCTGCCAGGAATCGTCCTGCGGATCCGGTCCTGGCCTGGCCCTGCCCCATGGGCCTCCCCCCGGCTTCGTGCCTGTGCCTGCCCCCCCCCCCCCCCCTTCCCCACCCCCCCCACGCCGCAGGCTGCGTGGCAGGACCATGCAAAGCGCCTTCATCTCACTTTGTACTGACATCGCGATTGATATGGTGGGGATATATGGGAAGCAACACAAGCAAAATTGCCTACAATTGTGCATCTGTTGCTTCTCGGTCAACAAGTATGGGGGGGTCTGGGGGGGAGGGGGGGGGGGGGGGAAGTGAGTGTTCCGCGGCAGTTTTTGAGGCTTCCTGGGGTTCCGTGTGAGACCAAAAAGTTTGAGAACCCCTGCTGTAAACTATTTTTCTTGGGCTGCCCTTTTCATCCTGCACTTGGAGTGGCAGCTTCCACGACCCCGCGGCAGGTACTTTAACGCAGCACCGGCACCACTTTCAGCTGCTTTGGGTCGCGAGGCATTTTTTCCCTGATGGTTCCAGATTCTGTCTGGTGTAGTGGTTCACTAACGAAGACACCAAAGGCTTAATAAATTCACCAGATTTCCAAAATTTTGTGGTGAATTTCACCATCTGGCATCACTGTCGCATTATTTCTGCACGTGCAAAAATGAAAATTTCTACAGTGTGCATTCTCTACCTGTTCTAGAACCTCCGTTACACGAAGCGCTTCACATATCGGTCCTCTCGCAGGCAGAGCTTCAACCTTTTTTTGCCTTTAAATGAAGAACTCCAAAACACCAGAATGTCGGAAGCTCTGATTCTTCGTAAAAGGGCTGGCTTGTCGCTCTACCGGCACCTAACTTGCTCGAGCAGCATTCTGGGCGGTTCAGACAAGCGTGGCACGGTCCCGTCCGAAGCAGTCCGACCAAAATGAGCCAGCTTTCATTTTTTTTAGAGCACAGCTCCTAGGCGCCTGTTTCCGGCTTGAGCGGCGTCGGCGTCGCCGTCGGCGTAACCGCGCGGTGCATTATGGGTAAATTTTCCCGAAGAAACCCGAGGTCCTTCGGGAGAACCTCGGGAGGACCTCGGGTTCCTTCGGGAGGACCTCGGGAGGACCTCGGGTTCCTCCGAAAGGACCTCGGGAGGACCTCGGGTTCCTCCGGGAGGACCTTGGGAGGACCTCGGGAGGACCTCGGGTTCCTCCGGGAAGACCTCGGGAGGACCTCGGGTTCCTTCGGGAGGCCCTCGGGAGGACCTCGGGCTCCTTCGGGAGGACCTCGGGAGGACCTCGGGTTCCTTCGGGAGGACCTGGGGGGGGGGGGGTCACGTGACGATGACGTCATGAGTGATGATGACGATGACGATGCGGATGCGGATGACGTCATCAGTGACGTCACTGATGACGTCATCAGTGATGATGACGATGACGATGCGGATTCCGATGACGTCACCGGCATCGTCATCGTCACGTGACCCCCCCCCCCCCCCCCGAGGTCACGTGATCTCCCAGGCCACTTGACCCCCCCCCCCCCCCTTCCGAGGTCAACTGACCCCCCCCAGTACCCTTCCCTCCTCCCTGCGCTCTAATTCGGCGTTACGAGGAGTTGTAAACGGCTTTCATTTTTTTTTCTTCATTGGCAGAGAGGATCGGGAGGGGTTCCCCCGTGCGAGTTCCTGCCACCGCCACCACCGCCTGAGGAGCTGGTACCCCTCGTGGAGTCTGCCTGGGAGCGAGGCCTGCGCCATGCCAAGGAGCTGATGAAGCGGGCATCACGACGCAAGGAGCAGGAGCCAGACTTTGAGGAGAAGCGGCTGAACCTTGGACCTGAGACCCACGAGCGGGCCCCCAGTCACCTCGAGGTGGACAAGGAGAATGAGTTCTACGCTCCAGCGGGCGCGCCCCCACCTGTCCCTGCGAGGGGCCCTGCCCTCAGTCCGCCTTACCTCGCAAGGCCGCAGCACCCACCGAGGGGACGCAGGACCACGGGTTCTCGGGACGACCTCTACGGGTCAGTGGCCCGGGGTCAGGTCTAGAAAAACTAAATGTCGGGGCCGGAGTATCCCATTCCTTTTCCTTTTGCTGCCAACTTCTCATTGGTTGAGAAGGGGTCACTTGCGGAGCACTGGGTTTGGGGGGAACATATTTCTTGCTTTACTTTCTCAAAATTTAGGACTTGCACCAAAATTTGACCAGCAGGAAGCTTCTTGAACGTCATGTGTGCAAGTTAGATAGTGTGCGACTGCATTCTTTTAATAATGCAAGCACTGTTTTAAAAGAGGCCGTGAACAAGCAGACGTTAACCGAAGCTCACGCGAGCGTGCTTCCTAGGGGTAGTCGCGGGTACGCCAGCGTCGACCAAGGTTGCATGCTGCACGCTATCGCGGCTCCTGCAAGAACAGCTGTCACTTCCTGGACTACTTGGAATAAAGTTGGAGACCATTGGGATACTCTGCTCGCAAGCAGTGCATGTACAGTTACTGTAGTCTGGTCTTGCTCGAAGCACCCACCGAGGGTGCTTACGCAAAGCCGACTTGCTTCATTCAGCTTAATTTTTCCGAAAGGGCTAGTATAGATGGTTGTTCCTGTGACGGTGGCATTCTTGCATAAAACTAAATCAAACTAAATCTTTGGCCCGTTTATACCTGTACTAGACCTGAGCTGCTGAGACTAGGTTTGCTTGGCTAAGTGTTGCGAGGCTTTCTCACTTTTTTTTTTTTAATCAACATTTTGCTTCATTTATTTCTAGTCTGCTGTGGCAGAGTAGTAGTACTGTAAAGTCTGAAATTGGAAAGGTATGTCGCCCTGTTTCTCTCAGGTTTGATGAGCCGGATCCACTGGAGCACTCGGAGCGGGAAGCTCGGGAGTACTGGCGCGGGGGTCGCTACGAGAACTTCCAAGTCCGCTGGAACAGTCGGCACGAGTTTGATCCCAGGGTGTGTACCGTGACTCGCCTCTACCCAAGTTTTCATTTCAAAGCTGTTGTCATATTTTAATTTCTTCTTGCGTAGCATTTTTATAGTTTAAAGATAACTCATCCTGGCAGCCCTCTCTCATATATGTCCTCGGCAGTCAAGGCGTGACATGGGTTTTAGCTTCCTTCGGCTGTCAAAACTAATGAATTCTCGGAGCTGTCCCCATAATGTAGAATCTACTACCGTTTGTCGTGATGTCTATTGAGCAGCTGCCATTCTATTTCTTGTCATTTGTTCCTTGTTTCACCCTAAATTAGATCCCAGCAAACTCTACCAATCAACTTGGCAGTAGGTGGTGCCATATTGCTTTGTGATATGCCTGGTGTTTTTACAAAGACTTTCAAACATCTCTAAGAATAGGGTGCTCAAAAGAAAAAGGAAAAAAGACTTGGAAATAAATTGCCAGCCACGGTGGACATCGGGAACTTCAAAAAACCTACTAATTATCAAAATAATTGCCTAAAATTTACTACCGTATTTACCCGAAAATAGGTCGACCCCTATTTATTGAACCCACCGATAATAAAAATAACTAAATAATTCAAATATAAGTCGACCTTTTTTTTTTTTTTTTTTTTTTTTCTCCTTTTTTTTAGGAACGGGGGAAAGTTGGGGCAAAAGAAAGGAGCAAACCTTTATTCACAACACTCTCGGCTAAATCGCAGGGCGATGCCAAAAACTTAATCATCGTCAGAACTTCCGGACATGTCATCGTCATCCGAAGCTTCGTCAGCTTGGTAGACATTCTTGCAAATTCGCAACAATATTTCACTGACATTGTCCATTGTAAATTGACGACGAGAAGAAACGAAAGAAGGTGGAGATTGGCGAAGCTGCAAAAGACCAAATACAAATACGTGAGCAACGCCCGAGTCGCCATGAGCAACAGCCGCCGCAAGCAATAAATAAGCTAAAGTAACCTTTGTAAAATCTATCCAAGTAAGGAGCACAAAGAAATTATTCTAACCCACGGTTCAAATTGCAGGATCGGCGTGAGAAAGACCGCAGATTTGGGAGAAACTATGACCGCGAAAAGTGAGTGAATTTTCTCGTCTTTCCTCGTACATCCCGACTTAGCCGGAGTGACTTGCAGTCAGAGTTCGCAGAATCCTTCCCTCTACGAGGGATTGCAATGCTTGCACTGTGCATTCACCTTGGCTTAACGAACATATGCAGTGGCATTGGCTCGTTCGTGGCATGCACTTTGCGTAGCCAGGCTTTTGACGTCGATTGGCTTTGCAGGAACTGACAGCTTTTTTCATCTTTTGCATCACAGCGTGTTTCCGGTTGGTGGTGGTGGCAATGGCGGAGGCTACTCGCACGGTGGCTCTTCCCGCATGGAGCGCCCTCATGTGATGGAGAGGGAGCCCCGCTGGAGGGAGGAACGTTTTACCGAAGCGCCGCCCCCTCCCTCGGCTCGCTCTCGTCCCGATGAATGGAGGGACCCCTGGAGAAGGTGCCCTACCTCATTGTTTGTCAAGCTCAGGCTTATGAAAAGTCATGTACACTGCATAGAACTACAGTGAAACCTCGATATAGCAAAACTTCGGTTTAAACAAAATTTTGCAATGTAACGAAATTTTTTTCGTCTTTCTATCTTTCATTAAAGACCATGTCTGTTTTTTGTTTTTTTTTGTCTTGAGTTAACAAAGTAGTTTGGTACCGCAGTTCTGATTTAAAGGGCAACTCCGCTCAATTCCGAAATTTTCGGAATAATTAGTTGATTTTTATATTAAAGGGGCCATGAAACGAATTTTGGGTTGGGATGAATGATTTTAAATTGGGAGTTTACTAATCGCATATCGTTTAGTTGGCCAAAAGAAAGAGGCTAGAAAGTCAAAAGCCAGCTTTTCGGTACGAACATTTGAAAATATAGCGGACTATTTTGTACCTTCTTGCCTTCGAAAGCTCTCCGCCTTTTCACTATGATACATCCGCGGTTCCAAAAGCGCGTCACCGGCGCCAAACTGACATCAGCAGAGCCCAGCTCACGCATTGGACACGAGAACTGCGTCACTCGGACGTATGCGCTCGTCAACAATCAATCCGTCGACGAATATTTGGATAGCGTTCGTGGCCAATGAGTGCCCATACGGAACTTATTGTCACTGGGGAATGACAAGTTTTATGGTGTGCATAAAAAGCACGGTGGAACCTAGGAGTCATCGCACCGGTGCCGAAGGAATGTCACGACCACGTGATTTCACAATTCGCATTTGAGTTGAGGATTAAAGCTAAGGAGGAAGAAGTAGGAAACTTGTTTCATGACCCCTTTAAGAAGCACTAATAAAAGGCACTAAGGCATTTGCTTCACGAAGCGTGGGATATATATTGTTAACTCTTACTTTAAACATTACCAGAAATCAAAAACCGAAACTTCGGCTCCATCCGGCAACATTAGCCTCATGCTGCCAAAAACACGGCAATCACATGGTACGAGATGTCACTTGATCCACTACGGGACGACGGGCGGGATTGGGGCGGGCGGGAGGGCCAATCTTGGGGCGGGCGTGCGCCAGGCGAACGTGTTTTCTGCACCCGCTCTTCACCATGTTTTGGTGTCTACGACATTTGATGACGTCTGCACAACTGTAGCATCAGTCTGCGCACATAGTTTGAACAAAGCTCTGAGAGACAGTAATTGCAAACGGTGAGACGACGACGGCGGTTGTGACGCGGGAGACTGTGGGATGGCCAGACGGCTCTCAAGAAGCGCGCTGTACAGGTGCGTTATGCCAATCACGTAGACACAGCTGAGCACAGAGAGGAAACATTGCTAACATCACCTCTTACCCTTGCCTGGAGAAGTAAAAACAAACAAAAGGAACAATGGTGATGACATTTAGCTCAATGTTGGCTATGCCAATGTCTTACTTAGCCTTGACTGCACTGTTGGTTGTGCCTCAGTTTGCCCATTATAGTTAGCCGATTTCAACAACTTGGCACGTTGCGAAGTTTGCCGGACAGTTTAAAAACATTAAGACAGAACTAGGTTGTGATATTTGATGTGTGGTCTTCCTAGGTAATACTGAAGAGGACTGGATTTTTTTGATTTTTTTTTCAGACACAAAAATGAAGCTGAGTTGCCCTTTATTGAACTCTTCACGCAAGAAGCAATAAAAATATATATATATATATACCGTAATATCCTTAGTCATCCATTGCCCACTCCCCCCCCCCTGCCACCTGAAATTCACGAAAATGGGGTGGGCCCTGTCTTCGTGGGTAAGCACAAAACGTTTAGAAAAAGCTAAATAAACGCCCATTTTTCTGTACGTTTCTAGCATAACTGCACAAGAGATACACTAAACTCAAAACTCAAATTAGTTTCATTGTTTATGCAAGAAATGCTTACGAAAGGTCATACTATCGCAAAGTTCGTTGCTTGCATACGTGCGATAACCACTGCCGACCGGCATACAGTGTGAACCTTTGTTCTGCAAAAGCATGTTTCCAACGCCGCTATGTTCTATTCGCTAAAAAAAAAACAAAAAAAAAAGAAACGGCAACACGAAACAGAAAAACTAACCAGGCGCAACGAGTGAGCGAGCGAGGAGACTAAAGACGCAACGAAGAGCGATGCTAGGGAAGCGGAAGAGCCGGTGATCTCGTTGGCAAATATTTTGGCGTCGGGCCAAGTCGGGTGCCTTGTCAATCGCAATGGCGAGGCTCTTGTGCTACTTCCTTGTTTGGTGCATACATGCATGCATCCATCGTTTGTAGCGTGCTATCAAGGCGGGTTGAGGCGGCGAATCTGCATGGCGTGGACAGCAGCACGAACACGGAGCTCAAAATGGGACGCCCTACTAGCGCCTGTGTGCAGCGTTCCAGCAAATCTTCATTTAACCGTTGGCTTTGTCTTAAGCATTGCACAACCTTACCAAAAGCAGTCGCGGTGTTCCAGGAGAAGGAGCGGGTTTGCAGTGGATCTTACTTCGGTGGAGACAGACTTTGATTTCACACTCCGTGGTTACATTCCAGGTTATGGGGCGTTCACTGACCTCGCAATCCCTGAATGGGTTACTGCTTTTAATATCTTTCGGAGTTTGTTTCTCTTTGTCCAAACAAACTATTTTTGTAGGCCATCGTTTTCCTCTTGCACGCATGTACTACGACTTCGGGGTCGCATAAATCGGGGAGGAATTGCATAAACGAAGAGAAGTGTCTTTCCCTCCTTCGTTTTACTTTGTCACGGACGTCCTCTAGCTGTAAGGTCCGCGGCCGCGTCATTCGGGTAGGATGAACGTTCGTAGATCATGGAGTCTGCGTGGGGGTATTAGGGGACGGGCGATCACTCTGTGTTTTTGTAGCGTAAGCTGCACTGGCCGAGGTTGAGCAGTTTCGCGTGGCTCCCAGAAAGCCGTGCTGCTCATGCGCGAGGAGCAGTGACGGAACGGGCAGGACTGGTATGGCGCCTAGGTCAGTCCCCGATGCACGTGCCGTGCACATGCACCCGCTCGAGGTCATGGCTCGCACTGTCCGGTTGTTCTGGGCGGCAGCTTGGTTGCTTGATACATAACAACACGGCGCACAGCTGGCCAAACCAACGATGGGCATCTGGCACGCCCCAGCGGGGGACTGAGGATTAATTTGGACCACCTGGGGATCTTTTGACGTGCAACTGAAAGCTCGATTACACGGCGCCTCCTCCGCAATAAGAAGAGCGGAGAAGCTTAACTCGTCGGATCCCGAAGTAGTCACATAATTTGTATACCGTGTGTGTGTCATTGAAGCAGCAGTAAGCATATTAATCAATCTAATCTTAGACAACCAGGAAAGCTAAGAATAGCCAGCTGAACCTAAGCTTATGCTACGTATATCCTAATATAGCCGAGCTAAGCCACTGCAATTTTTTTCGGAAATCGATATTCGCCCCAAAAATGGGGTGGGCGATTGGGTTGGGCGGTGACTCGGGATGTTACGGTATAGTCGAACCCCGCAATAATGAAATCGCAGGGGAAGAAAAGTTTTTTCGTTCGCACAAGAATTTTGTTGTTGAAAAAATGTACAAATAAGCACACCTATCACCTTCCAGAACCAAAATTTAATGCTGTCCTTGGATTTCAGAATCGTAGAAAGTGAGCTGCACGGGATACTGAACTCCTCCGCAATATCCGACTTCTTTCTGCCTTTCGCAGCTTCAACGATGATCGCAGACTTCTGAAGCGTCAAAAACTTGCGCTTTTTAACAGGAGGCGGCATCTTTCCGACAGGCCAAACAAAAGGTAGTAAACAAGGCGCGAGCGATCTCGGCATGCACGCGGCGAAAAGGCAGCGGGCGGCCGGCGGTGTCGTCACATGAAACGTCGCATACCTATGTAGTTGCCAACAGATGGGCTAGCAAAACGTTGTTTTCAGCGACCAAAAGTCTCGTTGCTATTATTATTATCCCACCAAATGTAAACAGCAATGGCCGCGCCGATGCTTGTCGGAAATATATGTACCCGACTTCTTGGATAAGTGTGCTGCTCCACTCTTCATACTTCTGGGTTCCCAACTGGCTCATGTGCCAAAAAAAAAAAATGTTGCAGACTACTACCTCAAACTTTTGTTAATGCGGGACTGCTCTTTAAAATCCCTTCGCTGTAGAGAGGGTGCAAATGCATTGAATTCTATGAACGTTCGCCAGGGCTGCCAAATTTCTTCGTTGCCGCGAGAATTTCGTTCTTGAGGGCTTTCGTTGTTGAGGGGTTCAGCTGTATGTCGACTGAAACAGTGATGATATCAAGCCCTCTATAAGGCCGCCTGTGAAGCTCGGTGGAAAAAAAAGAATCGAACAACTGACAAACTGCATCCATGATGCTAACAATCTTTTGCTGCCTAGTTTGTTGTGCTTTTTTTTTTTAATGTTGCACATTGTGTGTTAGGAAAGTGGATATGTGCACTAAAAATGTGACTTCAGTAAAGCGATGCGAGCAAAGGTCGAAGACTTTGCTTTCAAGCTGTGATGCAATGGCTCAAAGCCAGCAGCGATTGTTTACAATAATTGGCGCCCCACCATTGCTGGCGAGGTGGTGAGGGACGAGTCTGCGATTGCGAATGCAATCTGTGCTGCCGATTGGCCTTGTGATCATGTCCTGGAGGCATATTTTGACATGTTACATCGTGGCGAGCATCTACAGCGTTGATTCCTAACCAAGTCCTTCCGTGAGCTGACAGCTGTCTTAGTTTCGTTCATTTGGTTGACTTTCGTTTTTGCAAGGTTGGGAGGTCATACTCCTGCTGTATTTGCATGTTAATATATTTCCTAGCAAGGTCACAAGTGACTTAAAGGGACATAACAATTCTAATCGGGTGGTGGCTTGTGCCACACGACGGCTGCTACGAGCACTTTGCTGGCCCCATGCTGGAGTGGTGCTGCGGTTTCAGTTCACTGGCTTGACTGCGCACGCTTGTTTTTTAGGTATTATCAAAAAATGACATTCGGTGTGCACTTCATTCTCGTTATTATCGGTGCGGTTTGTTGTGAAATTTTATTTATAAATGTGTATTTCGAAGATGTGAGGCAACAGGAGGGTTTTAGGAACCTGGAAGGTTAAATGCAGTTAAAAAATAGAAGCCTCAGTCTAAAGAAATTCCCAATTTAATGAAGTCAACATGTTGACCAGCATAGTTTATAAATCCAAGTTGAGCATGGTGTGTGGTTTTTCTACTTGCCTTATGATTGGCACTGTCCTCGGCGGTAAAAATATTTCATTTCAAAACATTTCATGGCAGGTCGAAAACTCCTAAAGGTCGTCGAAGTCGCTCAGGTGGCCGCAACCGGAGATCCTTCTCAAACTGCTCTTCAAGGTCTTTCTCATCACGGTGAGTCTTCATTTTTTCTTTATAACCAAAAAAATACTTTTGACCTGTCATCTAGACTTGTCACAAACTGCTACTTCAATGTTGAAATTGCTGAAGTTTTGAGGAGTGTAGCACCATGTGTACTAGAGTCAACTACTGCATTTACGCGCATAGTGAACGCACCCCCTACAACGGGCATTAATATTTGACTGTTTTGTTTTTTCCCCTTCGGGTAATGAACGCACCTTTAATTTTCGGCTTTGTGAGGCTCGAACTGCGTCCAACTTAGCTAGCCACCAAGCCAATTTTCTTTTGCCGCCAAGCCAAGCCACTCTCGCAATGGCTGCAAGTGCGTAATTGCGGAAGTGATCAATTGTGGAACAAAGCGGTGCGCACACCTAATGAAGCTGGGGTCAAGAAATTGCCCAGCCCCAAACATGCTTCGTCCATCGGATGCATTGATGTCGTCAAACACGCCGTCGTCTGTGGTCCGCTTTCGGACAGTGAAACCGTGAAAGTGGTTAGTCCTAAGAACGGTTGTGTCGCCCTCTGTGCTGAGTGAGCTTCGTAAGGCGCTTTTTCTTAGGCAAAAGGCACGCCGAAAGTGCCCTAAAAAAAGGCTCGAGGTACACCTAAGCACTTCTTGCGAGTTGTGAATGCGAAAGCATGCACGCGCGCCCTTTAATATGCGGCGTGCAACGCGCTGACCTTGGGGCGTGGAACGGTGGAGCCGCTGTTTCGTGGACCCACAGCGCCATCGGGTGAGCGATGGTTCAAACTGTCACGTGCCTTGCGGCGCAAGGAAGGAACAGACAGCAACATAGTTCCCAGCAGAACGAACCCCTTGGTTTATTCCATACGCCGTATATATTGCCACGCGCCATACAACCGATGAGAGGCGAGCGAACGCGGTGATCAGTGATAATCAGGATGACGCCACACAAACTGACGCGCAGCGGCCAATGGGACCGAAGTGTAAAAGTAATGAACGCACCCCCCAAATATGTGTCTCAATTTTTCGGGGAAAAAAGTGTGTTCATTATGCGAGTAAATATGGTAAAACAAAAACAGCAATTTTGCTTTGTAAAAAACAAAAAAAACTGGAGAGTCTAAGTGTCATACTTCATGGTTTTGTTGGCTAGCTTTGCAGCTTTGCACATTTTTTCATTAAGGTGCCGTTTTGCATGGTTTCAAAGCTGATGACGTCGGCTCACTCCATGAGACAGTTAATGCTTTCACATTAAAAGGTTTGCAATTTATAAAGCATGTTTACTGTGCCGCACCTGGGTGAGCATCCGTCAATGAGGGACGTGCCTCATCACCCTGTCGTGTCATATTGGCACCTAAATTGACATTTGCACGAAGTGTGTAAATGCAAAAATTTTACCCTGCGTAATGAATGCACCCCCTAAATATGTCTCAATTTTTCAGGGAAAAAAGTGTGTTCATTATGTGAGTAAATATGGTAAAACAAAAACAGAAATTTTACTTTGTAAAAAAAAAAAAAAAAGAACTGGAGAGTGTAAGTGTCATACTTCATAGTTTTGTTTGGTCTTGTGGTAGTATTGGAGTATCAGTAGAACTTGGCTGTGGTACCTAAAAACTCTTTCATTGCTACAAGCTTGTGATTGGTGTCTAAGCTGAAATGCAGTGACTTCCAAGAACGCCCATCATTTAGGTGTCTTTTGCTATCACCCAGTGAAGAAACGACTTGGTAGGGTGTTTATTGCCCTCTTTTTTGTTGGTCAATGAACTCTACAGCTTTTGATTGACTGTCTCGAGCTCACTTCTGCCCTTTCATGTTTCCTTTGTTTTAGGTTGGTTTTCTCGACCATGTGGGCTATATGTCCACATGACCAAAGACTGCATATGGACCTATGTGGTCTTTGAGATGATTTTCACAGGGAAAGCTTGTAGATTCGTTACTGCAGAGGTTGAAAAAATGCTGTCCAGTACAAAACCTGAAAATTCTTTGTAGTATTTTCATGCTAGTACCATCATGTATGAACTCTTGCAATGAAGAGCGAATTTCTTATTATTCTTAACTTTAGTAAATAAGTGCTGAGTGTTGAAGGTACATCTCTGAGGCAATAGAAACTTGAATAATGAAATGGTTTTCCTTCTGAATTTTTATCTAAACTTAACTTGGTTTGGCTCATATTCTTCTAACCCATTGTCATAAATGGGATTTCTTTTTCGCAGGTCATCTAGGTCGTCTTACAGTTATTCCCGCAGCTCTTCATCTCGAAGTTCATTCTACAGTTCTGAAAGGTGATCATGCCGGTGCTTTTCGCATCACTACATCTTTGGTGTTTGTGTATTCATGTTTGTGTGCATCTCCAGTAGTCTCATACATAAAACTGTTTGTTCTATAACCTAATTATACCTGGATTGCAGCTTGCTTACCATCAATTTTCATATTAGGAAAGCTATATTTCAACTGGTTTTACTAATACAAGTTTGATTTTTGGTTGCCTTCGGCTAAAATTTTATGAATGATGTTCCATCCAACATGACTTTGTTGTTGGGACAATATTTGATAAAGTTGAAGGCTTTGTAATAAGAACCTTAATTTCTTTTGGGGGGGGGGGGGGGGGCATGTATAAATGGTAGTTAAGTAATAACATATTTTGACCCAGTTCTTGCGTGAAGTGTTTCCATTGCAGTGAAATTTTTCTGGTATCCCTGCTGGCAGCAGATAATGCTCCTTGCATTTTTATTTAGTTTGAGGGTATTATTAAGGAAGTGTTTCTTGCTGTGTCTAGTTCCACCTTAAAAAGACAAAGCCATTAAAACTTGTTGGGACGACTGGAGCAGTTCTAGAAAGCTTCTTCTTGATGCAGTCGGTCGCGGTCGCGATCTCCTGTGGCACCAGCGCCCCCTGGAAGGTTCCGTGGCGGTCAGGCACCATCTCGGGGGCCCCCTTGCTATGGTCCTCCAAGGTACGTCGCTGGGTCTGTGCATTGCTGCAGTGCTGTAAAGAAACCAGTATGCTACACTTTTGTCATGCATAGATTTGTTGCACCTGGAAATAGATTTGTATGACAGCATGCCAAGCATGGGCTGTGACAAAGTAAAAGCTTGTGAGACTTTGTTGTTTCTTTCTTTGTTCTCCCTACTTTACTTTTAAGGTAACTACTGTGTGTATGTGTGGTTTGTTTGCACTAATATTTGAAGTGTTGGATGTGATAGTCAAGTTGAAATAGGGCAGGGTAGTTTGTATGTTTGTAGTGGTGCGATTGCTACACAATTTTTGCATGCTACTTCCTGCTATATTTCACCAAAACGTGAGGGAATAATGTCCTAGCATTGTGCCAAATGCAGTGATGGAAGTGCTGCGCCAATTGCGCCAAATTGCGCCAAGGACGCAATCCTGCTACATGTAGCGCCAAATTGTCATTTTACCGAAGAATTGCGCCATGCCTGCGCCGAGATGAAATGTAGCAATAAAAAATACAAATTGAAGTCTTATCAGAGCGCGTGGCGGTACCGCGGTATTTTCCGCGCCGTAACTGTTACGCAAACCGAAACTGCGAGGGCGCATTATCATCATCATCACTGAAAGGAACAACGTTAGCAACATCTGAGACCGAAGCCGCAGAGGCTAAGCGAATAACCATCCCACTGAGCAGCCTAAGGCCGAGCTGTGGATGTTTTTAATGTTGTCCCGCCCTGTTCCCGTGCGTACTTCGTCTCACCCTAACATGGACTAAACGCGAAGGCTGTGCTAGCGCGAGCGGCCAGCCTTGACTGCCTTGACTAGACCACTTGCTGCACGAGCGCTCGCGCAGCCGCCGCGGCTTCATTTAAAGCGGCTAGCTTGCGCTTTTAGCACGCGCGGCTAACAATAGTCCATATTAAGGTGAGACGAAGTATACCAGCGAAGTCAAAGCTAGCGCGAGCCCAATGCTCTTTGCATTCCTGACCCGCGCGTGGGCTCGTACAGTGTGGGCACAGTTACGGGCTCCTTGCGCGCGCTTATAGCTTCGGCTGCGCTCGCACCGAAGCTGAAACGAAGTATAGTTGAGTTGCACCTAACTCTGGATGTAGTGCTGGTAAAGCCTCACCGTCCTTTTCGGAGCACAAAGCACTGCGCGACTCGCGCGACTGCGGTGTCTGCTCCGCGGGTGTCGCTTCTCTGCAGCGCTTCGGTGCATGCCAAGGAGCGCACTCAACGGGTTAACTCGCCGTGATCCGATCGTGACTTCGCCAGCACATCGAAAATGCATCGGAATTTTTGAAGCCAATATCAGATACCGCAATATTTGAAGCTGCTGCCCGAAAGACAACTCTAATCTGAGCTAAAACATTCCACAACTGTGAGGGTCGTTAGATGCTGCTGCAGATACCTTAAAAGAAGTGCAGGCTGATAAAACTAAATATCCTGTACCATCAGACCTCAGTGTGACATATTTAATTGTATATTTTTTTATCTGACGAGAAGATAAACTATTTAAAAAAATGTTTTTTTTGTGTGTGTTTGCTTTGTTGAATTTTATATATCCTGTCTTAAAAAGGCGACAGGCGCTGTGTTCCAATAATAGAGAAGGGCTTCATATAGCAATGCAGCATTATTTCATTTTCGAGTAATATGGCAATATGCCGGACCCTGCTCCAAAAGGGCCACTACCTGCTCCAAAATAACATTTTGCCTGCTACAAGGCCTGCTCCAAAAGGTCAAATGGCACTTCCATCACTGCAAATGGTAATCTCACTTTCTCAGTCCTCAGTGATGTGATTGCTCCGCCGATTGCGCCAAACTGCGCCAAGTGGCTAACCCTGCTACATCTTGCTACATTTTGCCAAAATATGGGTAACCTGTGGCAAGCCTGTGCCAAAAAAAACAATTAATGTCGCCTTTCGAAACCGAAACTAAACTGAGTACCGTAATTGAGCATGCGTGTGTTATGTGGCGCAAACGGCCGCCCGACACAATAGTACCTTGCATCAATCATCCATCCGGTCTTGCATGGTTTTCCCGCCCTCACGTTTTGCGCGCTCGTCGGCTCATCTCATAAGTCGTAGGACTCGCGTCTTTTTTTTTTTTTTTTTTCACCGATAGACGCAGGTGTGTGCGGATGCTCCGACGCTAGCGTGCCGGGTACCAGCCATGCTGTCATGCTGTTAAAGGAACCACATGTTTTTGCGCGGCTTGTGAGCTGAAGCACTCGCTCCTTAAAGCAATGGCCGTGGGAAGACTATATGAGGGTCTGCCTTTCAGTCACCGTGGTCGCGCGACGTCGGGTGTTTCTGTCCCCATGTCGCTGCAGATATGGCGCTTTCTAAAATGAAACTAAGTACCGCCGCATGTTCATCAACATTCCTGTTCTTGTGTAAATCATACGTTACTACAAAAACCCCTCTTTAACTCAAAGACTGCTGTGTTGAAGTGCTGATTATTTAGGTTTCTCTCGGTGGGCTTTCTTTCGAGAGGGACCCCAGTACGTGAAAAATCTGCCGTGAAAGAAAGTTGAAAAGAAGTGAGCTAAAGCAAAGAAGGCAATGTCTGCATGCTGAACCCAGACAGTGCACTTGTTTGTTTCGAGCTCAGTCGTTGCACAAAGCGCTCCAAAAGCTTTTAGACCCTGGCCCGCGATGTGTTGCATCGATGCGCTCAAGTTATTTTTAGCTTGTACCTTGTTTGCCGGCCTGGCAAGCACTCACCGCCGGGCCGTTTTTTGTCGTATGCTCGACAGTTACATTTTGTATACAATTTTAGAAGTCAGTTGGTGACGGAGCAGAGTGGCATGGTTTTGGTTTCGATAGAACAGCCATGGCACATCCATGAAACGCAAAAACAGTTTATTCAATTTGGTTTATCAATCTTACCCACACACAAAAAAAGAAACAAGTTGCTTTTTTTAAGCGATTCAAACAATATCTCCGTAAAGTTTGAAGGACAGATAGGTGTAGTAGGCACAATTTTTAAACGACTTCTAGCATTCACTTGAGTATGCTCTTTGGAGGGCAGGTTCTACAAGAACCCTGCTATTTTTCTAGATAAAATTAAAAAAAAAAATATATATATATATTTTTTGTTGATTTTATTTTTAGTGACTAAATTGTTTTTTTAGCTGAATTGGAAATTACAGTTTTATTGCTATCTTCAGAATCCAAGCATCCAGTTTCATGCTCAGCATTTTTTGATTCCAACATTTATTTGAGTGTAATGCAATTAGGTTTGCCTTTGATTCTATACCTACAAAATGGTCATTCACAGATATTTGTGCTATTTCCTTTGTCCTTCAGCTTGCATTTCAGAAGTAGAATCCCCTTTCTAGTCAAAGGGTGGCTCTTGCCACAACATCCTGTTGCCGTTTTGAGTACTTTTAAGCATCTAAGTATTTATGTGAGTTTGAGGGAATCTAGAATGACTGGGGCACTGTTACATCACTGCATTTGCAACATGTATGATGGTAATATTTGTGAAGAAAATGCATCTGACTTTTTTTTATTTGACTTACAAAATGCACTTGCACATGGAATGCATGTCTCCTTCGCAAAAAATGTAACATATGCTTCCTGAAAGATGTGTGATCATTGATCTAAGGATAGTGGCCAATGATTTTTCTGGACTTGCCTGTTTCTCAGGAGCTTTCGTTTAGTTTTAGTTGCCTTTGCCCTCGTTCTCATCATTTTTTGGAAGTGCCACATTTATGTGCGTCCAGTCTCTCTTCTATACTCTATTTCACCTTATGATGTACCACAGGGAAGGCTACAAGCGCGAGCTCCTTGCTCTGGGGCAGATCTCGGCAGCACAAGCTCTCGTGCATTAAGAGCAGCTGTCAACGCTATGAGCTCGTGCTTCTAGCCTTCGCCGCGGTACAACGTGAGGTGAAACGGAGTATAGTACCTCGTAACTTATGTGATTGTATATGCCGCACAACTTCCAGGACCTATTTGACTTTCTTCTCGACTGTACCTTAACTCCAGCTTTCTGTGATGTGTTATGGAAGACACTGGCACGAAGCTTAGATGAGCGCTTTACTTGCAAGGGGTTTGTGCATTCCAAATAACTTTCCATAGCTACGTGCTTGCTTGTTTTCCAGCGCTGCACACTGCGGATGAGAGGAATCAACAGTGTGCAGTGTCATAATGATTGGACAGGGTGGTTCACCTCATTCGTGATTATGGTGGTACAAGTAAATGCTTGCTTATGCGGTACCACCAAGCACGAAAACTCTTGCGGTTTGGCCATCTAGTTTGCATGCAATGTCGATCCCGAGTAGGCCGTGCAGTCCAAAGACCAATGCCTTGCAGTCAGTCTCCTGTGGGCAAGCCAGGGAGCCGTCAAGGTACAACCAGGACGTCTCCTGTGCTGGACCGCAGGAAAGCACATGATCCCTCACCACCTCCCATCACGGCACCCCTGGGGGCCCCCCGGGGGAAGCCCCGTAGGAAGGTGCCCAGTCCCCCATCCGGGTGAGTGGCATTCGCCAGTGCCCACTCTTGTTTCCGGCTGAGCTTTGCTTTCGGGAAGTTAACCCCGCGCAACCCTTGAGCAACCCTTGAAAACCTCATCCTCTGTTTTATGATGAGGGTGTCTTTCAAAAATCTTTTTTGTAACAACTTCCAGTGTATGTTATGGTCTGATTTGTGCAGTTTCATATTTGGTAGGCTGATGACTAGCAAATGACTGACCGATTACTAGGGCAAGGTTCCTTCGGGTTGAAGTGATGCTGTTGCGGATATTTGGTGCAAAATACATTTGCGTAAGGCACTCGAGACACAATTCATTTGGAACAACGGATGTCTTTCTTTTTTTCTCCTGATTTTGTGTACTAGTATCTAGGCTACGGTCATGTCTGCACACTACCGTAAATCAATAAATGAATAAATCATTGTTGGCATTTTTTTTCAACCTGCAGCAAGCTGAAGAAGTCGCGAAGTGGCAGTTTCTCGGGCAGTTCAACACGGTCTCACAGCCGGTAAGTGCAGTAACACCGTGCTCTGAAAGTAGCTGGTGGAAGGTGGCGCTCTGCTGTCGATCTGAACATTTGAAACAAAACATTTTCTGAAGGGCAATCGTAAACTGTTTGGTGACACGAGTTAATTTTTGCTGAAATATAGTTACAGATTTTTATTTTATTCTAAACTTAAGTTCAGATGAAACAGAAATCATTTTGTATTTTAACACATCCGCCATTTTGAACACTTCCGGTATGTGGGCACGGTTGCCGCACCAAAACCGAATAATATTTAAAAAAAAAAAAAATTATTTTTAGGCTGTGAACAAATTTATTTCTCGTTGGCTTAGTATTTTTCTTGAACCTGAAATCATTGTTTCCTGGGGCATCTCAAATCCACACTAGGGGAGGCGTTAACAGAGCACTGCAATGTGGCTGCATTTCACCGTCTCCTAATGTTTGCACGCTGCTCAGTAAAGTCAAACTCTCCCTCCCCCAAAACCCCATGCATGCAGTAGCTATAAACAAATGGAGCAAATTGATATAAGTTGATTGCTCATGAGCCACAGTCACCTACTGATTAGTGATGTGTCGTTTGTCAAAAGGGTGAAATATTGCCCATCTCTTTGTCTTTGTTGCGTTACGGCCCCCCCACAGCATGGCACTAAATCCTCCCACCCCATCATGTAGCTGTCACCTGACTCAAAAGACTGGCACAAACAAGCGCATCATCATGTAGCGTTCACAAAATATCTCGGGTACAATACGTTGCGTCGTGCTGCTCCTGCTCAGTGGTGCAAGTAAGGTAGCTAGCTACCAGTTGGAGCATAACTGCATCAACTTAAAAGTTTATTATTTCTCCAGAAAATAAGAAATTTGGGGAGACATTTTATAAATATGCTGAGGGGAGTATTTTTGATAAGTGGTGCAACTTTTACAAAAATGAGTGACCATCAGAATTTCAGCGGAGCTCCCTTTTAGCGTTGTGTCAATGGGCTTTTTCCGGAGTTTCCACGGCGCATGCGCAGCAGCAGCAGACAGAAGTTCGCCATTTTTGGTGGCGTGGTGCGTCTGGCTCGAGACTGCGGGAGGCAGAGGTGGTCATGCGTTTCGAAGTTCTCCAATGTGTACCCAACGCTGTTCTGCTGTCGGCTGCAGCAACGAGCGCAAGCGTTGTCGGGGTTTATGTTTCTTTAGGTTTCCTTCTACTATATTTAGTTTCAGCTTAAATACAAATGCAGCCGATGCTACAAATGCGAGCATGTGGCCCTGAACAGTGCTTGCACTGCACGAGCGCGCGTGCCTGGCAGGGATGCTGAAAGCCCGGAGGTCGCGATTGTAGCATCAGCTGCGTTTGAACTTAAGATTATGTGCCACGCAGAGCGAGCGCCTCTGAGTTCGCGTTTCCGTGATCGTACGTTTGACTGGCGCACGTCTTTTTGCTTGCTAAAGTAACAGTTTCGTGTTGCTACGCTAACTGCCTGTCTGCTTTTTGGTTGTTGTAAGCATTAGAATTGCCCGCAGTTTCCAAATATTTATAAAGCATTGAGGTAAAGTGGCTATGCTGCACAGTTTGTTGCTACGCACACACCCGGAAAAAGAAACGAGACCACTCGCATTTGCTGGTCCTGTGGTTAAATAAGAAAGAGGAAACAATTGACTTGATGGGTTGTCCACAGGCGCAAGACTCAAAACCGACAGGTGTGGCCGATTTCGTGTTTTTTTTACAGCGGAACTGTTGAGGGCTAGGTTCCCCAGGATCGTGTCCGGTACCAAACAAATGTCGACACAAAACTCTGGACAGCTACAGCTATCTATGAGCAATGGCAGCAACCAGACAGCTGGCTTGCCGGCCTCGCACATAGATGGCGGCAACCTTTCCAGCCTTTCCACTCTGGTTTTCACCAGAGTGGAAAGGCTGAATTTCTCTAGGCGTCATCCTAGAAGTCGTCCTAGACGTCGTCCTTGAGGTTGCCCAAGAGGTTGTCCTCGAGATCACCCTAGAAGTCATCCTGGAGGTTGTCCTAGAGGTCGTCCCAGAAGTCGTCCTTGAGGTCGTCCTAGACGTCCTTGAGGTCTTCCTAGAAGCTAGAAGTTGTCCTTGAGGCCGTTCTTAACATCGTTCTTGAGGCCGTCCTTAATGTCGTCCTTGAGGTCGTCCTAGACGTCGTCATCTAGGTGTCGTCCTAGAGGTCATCCGAGAAGTCGTCCTTGAGGTATTCCCATCAAAGTATGACTTCGCTTGTCTTCCTTCTTCACCAGAGTGGAAAGGCTGAAAGTTTTTCTTCAGGACCTACAGTTGCACCCAGCTGTAGCCAAAAGAGGAGTGAGATCAATGCCGGGGCTCGCTCAGAAATCTGTGGCTACAGGATGCATCTCATATATTTATTAAAGATATTCGCGTCTCCAGCTCGTCGCTTGCCCTCCCACGGCGGAAACGGGAAGCGCTCTAGTGAGGGTCCCCCGATTCTCCTGCTCAGCGGGCATGGCGGAACTGCTCGCGATCATGGCTCGCGAAATGTTTTTTCAGAATGCAAACAACACACTTCACTGTCCCAACGTGGTGCTGCAGCCGGTATGAGATTGTACCTTATTAGAGAGTTTGAGTATTGCGTACAGAAGCATAGAAGGTGGCTGCTCCACGTTGCGCGTGCGCATCGTTGCCATGCTCCGATCCAAGACCGCAATTTTGGGTTTCGCATGCGTGCAGCGTGGAACATGCAAAGCTAACGCAAACACAGAGCGCTTGCGTTCGCTCGTATATGCAATACTGAAACTTGCTACTGTTTCACCGTTTTCCAACACCAACAAAACGTGCTGCAGTGAGCAGACTCGCAAGCAGATAGGCGTTTCTTCGAACTGGAAAGGCTGAGGATGGCAAAACGACGACGAACAAATACGAAAGGAAATGAATGTTAAAAAAAGAGTAACAATTAAAAATAATAATCCTTTTTTTTTTTTCTCTCTCTCCTGGGAAGGGGATTTGGTTTGGAAGGTTATTGACGGCGACTTGGGAAGTTTTGCCGATTGTCAAAAGTCGCTACTTTGATAGCATCCTCAATTAATCTAATTTTACATGAATTTCTCACATTAGCTAGAACGTTGTCATTGATTTTAGACTTTATTTATTTTATAACTTGGTAATTAAAAATGCTGCAATTGGCACCAGTGGTGATAATTAGCGCACTTTAGATTGTCATACTTGTTCGTGCATTTGAAATTAGATCATAAGCAACTAATTATTTTAGAGCTTAAAAATTGCATATTAAAATATCTTAATATTAATATTTATATTATGAATTATCAATTCTCCCAATTAACGCTACGATCACAGAAATCCGCCATTTAACCATAATCGTTTTTTTTTTTTCTGAAAGGTGTCGTTTTGTTTTCTTTTTAGCACATGAAGACCTCCCACTTTGTTATCAAGATAGACCAACAGTCAAACACTGGATGCAATATAAACTCATATGCGTCACGAGTTGCTTTTAAAAACACACACACTTCAGCTGCCTGACCCGGATTCCGTCTTTGAATTTTTCTAGTGAGAACAGCGTTTCTTAATTCATATGGTTTGTGAACATATTGTATAAATTGGATTTATTCTGTTATTCTTGTTCTGGGAAAGATATTAAAGCAATTAATCTTCTAAATACCCAGAAAGCCATTGAAAGGCCTGCAGTTCATTGTTTCATATGACAATTATGTGAGCGAGAAGAGGCAGCAAGATTGCACAAATATCAGCTCTGGATATTTCAACAACTACAACATTCTATGTTGCCTCTAAGGTGTATGAAAGACCCAGTCTTTAAAAGGACCATGAAGGCAATTTAATTTTTTTTTTTTAAAAAGAAGGTGTTTTCGGAAGCATTGGGGTCCTGGCATGCCACGCACTATTTTCTAGAACGTTGTGACTCTTATTTCTGTACCTGCAAATAAATTTTGCGAAACCGGAACAAACATTCAGATTTCTTCCCTTTTTCGCCTCTGGGAAAAGAAGTGACGTCAAGGAGCACTGTCGGCATCGGTAGGATTTAGTGCACACTCAGAGTGGTTCCCGTGGTTTGCTCTAGTGCACGGCGGTCTGTGAAGAAAACCTGGAAGAAATGGACGACAACGCCGCGCTCGCAAACGAGTTTGAGCTCCCGTTCAGCGACCTCACGCCGCCTGAACGGGAGATGCTGCTAAGGACGCGGAACTCTGGATTGGCGCTTTACGAGGGCGCCCCAGACCTACCACCAACTCCTCGGTCGCCGCCTCAGAGCGACTCCCCGCCCCACTCGCCGACGCTGACGCGATGCCCCGGGTGCAGCGGTCGGGGGTAGCGGGCTACTGCTTTGGGTGCCGCAGAGCCTAGTGACGCCACTGCTGTAACCGCCTTATTTTTCGCATGCTCAATATTTCGCGATTTCGGTCAAAGCTCTCAGTTTTAAAGCAATTCGCGGGTTCTCATTTTTGCGACGCGGTGGGATTTTGATAAAGATATTGCACTGTGTTTATATTTTACCAGAATTGTTTGCAGGATCTATTTTTCGCGAATTGCAGACGATTCGCGAAACTTATGTCCTCTCGGAAATTAAATCGTTTACTGTATATAGAGCTTACCGTGCTTCGTTGCCGCTGTGGTGTGGGCTCCTTGCGCAAGGAAAGTGAGGGAATAGCGTCTTTCCTCAGACGCGGGAACTTCATGTTTTTATCCAGACTCCGGCACTCTGACGTGAGGGTGCTGCTCAAAGTCTTCTGGTCGGAAATGCAACGAACAAATCCTGACGCCGCTGTCCACAGCTCTACGCAAGACGACGGCGCGCAACCAAATGCTGCGCATTGCTGCATCGGTCGGCAGTTTATGCAAACTAACGTCGCCCGATCGACCGCATGCCTTTAGCCGACCTTTCGCGCAACCTACTACTGCACATAAACGCGGCATGATCGGTGAGACACCAGTTCGCAAAGCGAACACGAGACGATGCACGAAACCAAAACCAAAAGTTTGCCGCCCCCGGCGCTCGTACCTTCTTCTTTTTTTTTTGTCCATGGTTGCTCTATGCTTTTTACACGCCCGAGGTAGCAGTGCGGGATGCGTTCAACCAGTGACAAACGGAGGGATCGCTTCAGATTATGCTTTTATACACGGTATGAAACCTATTAATTCCCAACTACAACTTCAAAAGATTATCCAACGTTCAAATAAAAATTTTTCATCACATCTCACCACCGAAATCGAAACCGAGAGCGCGTCTATCGTTTGAACCAGTCGCCAGACGAGGTGCCCGTTGTCGTCACGCTTCGGCGCACCTTACTTCACCTTTCTGCCGCCGCCTCGCTGGGGTCTCAGGCATCGTTCCCGGCGCTATTATTACCGCGCCTGTTTGCTCGATTGGTGCGGCACCCAAACTTCTGTTCGGGCTAGAACTTGGTCAACAGTATCTGAGACGTGCCTGACATCCATTTCAATTGTCGAATAAAACTTCGAAACTGCCTTCATGGTCCCTTTAAAGGGACGAAGGTTTCCGCGAACAACTTCTTCAACTAAATAATTGCGGTGTGAGACACTTTTTGAGTTATGAAAGAATCTGAAATTAAAACTGATACCGAGAAATTAAATCCAAAATAAAGATAAGTTTCGGTTTGGCTCTGGAATTAAAAGGTACCTCCTGGCCTAAATAGTATGCTGAATACCGTTTTTGTTTTCAGGATAAAGATGTGACCTTCGCTTATAAAACCCTAGCCAGAAATAATTTGAAATAATTACCAGTAAACTAGACAGGCTCAGCAGCGGCACGCATCTCCAACCCTAACTAAACCGGCCATTTTGGAAAACGGGTGGCGCCACCTATAGTAAATTGGAGCCGCGAATATTTTAGTGGTGAATTTGACCTTGTGAAATTTTCAAGTCTTACTCTCTTCCAGTAAAAAATGAGACCAACAAACTTGCCAGGGTCAGCGGCGCTAGCAAATGACTTGGTTGTCCCGAACGTGTCTGCTGTTGACCCAGGCAAGTTTGTTCGTCTCATTTTTCACAGGAATGGAGCTACGCTTTGCGATTTGACAAAGTGAGATCCACCACTAAAATACACCTTTGATGAAAATTTGACATTGGTACGTGCAGGTGCAGAGTTTTTGGGACAATTTTAGAGTGAGCCTTCACATTTATGAGACTACATCTTGTCAATTGAAATTTTCGAGCAGATTAAATAAATAGCTTGCCATTTCAACAAAGCTTGCCTTCACTGTAACTTGGTCTCGAATATTTTCTGAATCTACTGCCGGTACTGCATAAAACATAAATCCTAGTTTAATGGAATCGATTCTACTTTCTGATTGGTCAGAGAGCTTTATCTGTGCCGTCAGTCAATGGGCGGTACGGCGAAGTCCACTGTTCCTTCATTCAGAAAAATGTACAAATGGACAAAGTTGTCCATAGTCATTGCATTCATTGAAAAGAAATGTACTCGTCGATCCCGTTGGATAGAGGAAGAACAAACGCTGAGCGCATTTATTGACCGCGTTCAGACAGCCAATATAGCTTGGAGCGGGCAGAATTGGAAGCAAGGCAGGCCATCAAAAACGTTTCACTTGCTTGCGATAATGGTGTCCAACATTTGGAAAAAAGGCCCATGTCAATTGCAGGACTAGCTCATCGAGAACACCGTCACGGTCAAGGTCGCGGAGCTATTCACGCAGTCTGAGCATCAACAGTGTCTCGTCGGCATCGAGCTCTCCAGGGCGGCCACCAAACCCCGTTCCTCCTACCAACCCTGTGGGCGTAGCTGTTGCCAGAAATCCATCGCCCCCAAAGAAAGGTTTGTGTCCTTCCATTCCTATTTGCCAACCTCCCGCATGCAGACATTTCCCGCACTATGTTTTTCTGGTATTGATGTTTTGTATGTGCACTCGTTAAAGGGAAACTGAAGCAGTTATGTATTTGAGGAAAAACACTTCAGTCGTCCTCATTTGGCGTCCAGTATCACGAAGATCGAGATTATTTTTTTAATTTGGTGCATGGAGGCTGCAAAAAATAATTTTCAAAATACTACTCTAGCCCCTCCTTCCCGGAGCATGACGTCATATCCAAAGTTTTCAGAATCTCCGCTCTCGCGCATCTTCAGTGCCATCAAATCTATGCATGAGCACTCTAGCTATTTTCAGAAAGGTCAGAAAAAGATGTTGCAACTGGTGTCGGTGCGGAGGGATATACCTGTCAAGCTTGCAACTGCACATGCTGCCCACACGAGTGACATGCACTTGGCAGCCGAAAGATCTGGGTATGACGTAATGACTGGTCGGAGGTTTTTCGTGTTTTCTCTCATTTAGTTACATCTTCGGGGAAAACGAACGTGATATTAAGATTCACGGGATAAAAATAAATAAATAAGAACCTCTTCAGCTTCCTTTTAACACTAAAATTATTTTTCAGTCGGCTGAAAACATGTTTTTGTGGAAATGTGGTGCCTAAAAGGGCCATGAAATGATTTTTCAACTTTCTTTTTAGCTTTCCTCCTCAACTCAATGAGAAATGACGCGGTCGTGAAGTGCTTGGGCACCGGTACGATGACTCCTAGCTTCCACAGTCGTTCTTAAAGGGGCACTGACACCCCCAAAAATTTTGTTTCATTTTTTGTCAGGCGATTCATTATGGTGTCAGAAGACTACCCAATCAATATTTTACTAGAGCGTCACGTATATTTCTAATAAAGTCACAAAACGCAACTGCTCGGAACCGAAACCGAAACTGGTCTGGAGAGGAAGAAGAAATATAGAGCAGGAGAGAGTTGGCGGAAGTAACGGAGGCTGTGGAGCTTTTTTTCTTCAATCGGTGTATTTGCGGCTCTGGGTATCATACTTTTTTTTTTTATTTAATATTGAGTGTGGGCTTTCGATGATCCACGACTTTGAATATATTTGGTGGTTCTGTCTACCCCATAGAAAACGTCACGTGACCACGGAGAAAAGAGTGAGCGCGACTCAAACCGGACAGTTCTCAATCGGCGGTTTTCGGGCGAAAGAAAACGAATTTCAAGCCTCAAATTGTGTTTTTTGGGTAGTTTGGCTCCCATATCTCATGTACAAAGAAAAACCTTGGCGAGCCTAAGTACCCTGTCAGCGTTTCTTTAAAAGCACACCATGAAACTTGTCATTCACAAGCGACAATAAGTGCCGTCGCGGCACTCGCTGGTTGCAAACGCGAATTCACATATTCGCCGACGTTTCGATTGTTGATGTGTGCATACGTCCATGTGACGCAGTACTCATGGTTAGTTTTGTTTGCCTGATAAGGCGTTAAAAATGTCTAGTTCGTGCGTGGCACAGGAAGCTATCTTGCTCTCTGCTTCGAGTACTTGCACAACCGCACCGCTAGTACGCTGCTACAAGCGACGCCGCCTATACCTGCCCCAAATCCCCATGCACTGCAGCAGGAACAGAAAACCGCTGACAAATTGCGATCGGTACACGGCACCAGCACAAGTGACTGTAGCAGCCTTTTATAGAACCTGCCTTAAAACGTAAACTTTTACGGTTGCTGTACAATTCTTGCAATTTCTCAACATATTTAATCCAATTCTTTATTTGTATTCCACGCAAACTCTATCAAATATCGGCTGGGTTAAAAGTAGGGAGTTGAACCGGTCATTTTTTCTGTGCGATTCGGGTTCAGTCGCATTGAATTGTGTTCTGGTTTAGTGATGCGTTTGAAAACAATTCGGTTACCGGTTCCACCAAGTGCAAACCAGTTTATACCGGCTCTTAAAAAAGAATAGTCCACAGCTCCCAGTTGTTACGAAGAAAGGGTTAGTTAAACACGGAATCATCTGCACTAAAAAAAAAGTTAGGTCATCAGAATCACAAGTACCAAAGTAGAGTACTCAATGTGAAGTTAATCAGTCAGCACACACAGTGACACCGTGATGGTAGCACACACCATACTTGCAAACTATCCACAAAAAACAAATTAGTCAAAAATTTTTTAGACGGCAGGAGTTCAGTGTGCCAGAGTATGGCAACATTGTTACCCACTGTAGATGAGAAATTTATCCTGTGCAGTATGACTGCTAGCGTGGGGTCTCTAACGGATATCGAGCAGTACTGATACACGACCGCACGCCAGTACGATGCTCATCCAGATCGAAATGGTACCCGCACCGTATGCCCGAACGAGTTGCACCGTTCTACAGTAGTGACTTAGATGCACGTGTGCGTGTCCAACTCTAAGTCCACTTATGGAGCTAAGCACTTGAAAGCCAAGCCTGCACCTTTTCTTGCATTGTGCTGAAATCATGGCCAACAAAGGGCCAAGAATGCTTTTGGTTACTAGTTTTGGCAGAAATCTCAAAGGTGTCAATTTCGGGTCTTTAGCTGTGGCAGCAGTGGCTCCGGAGGTGGCTAAGAAGCGTGTGGAAAAGGAGGTGCCCAAGCCTGTGGCACCCCCCCCTGCGGTGATGTACCGGGAGCCGCCTCTGCCCCCCACCCTGGACCTTGGGAGCCTGGAGGAAGAGTTGGCCCACCGGCAAGCCAAGGAGCCTCCCAAGCAAACCTCCCAGAAGCCCCAGATTAAGCTCACTCTGATCAAGAAGGTGGGTGCATTCCAAACCTTGCGCAAATTGAATGAGCTTAGTTCAATGGATAATGGATCAGCAGCTCTCAAGTTTTTTTTGTTTTTTTAGCAGCACCACTAGCAGTCAAAGGTGGTCGTTCTTAGGTCGCTCCACAGTTGTGCGTCCTTGCGCTTGCTCATGTAAGAGTCAAAACAAAGGATTTTCAGTGCTCTGATAGGACGCCGGAGGTACCTGCTGCATTTTTTACAGTGCAGCTGATAAAAACTAGTTTCCCCAGTTTCGTGTCCGGTACCAAACAAATGTCTACACAGAACTCTGGACAGCTACCGCCATTATGAGTGATGGTGGAAACCAGACAACTAGTCTGGTTGCCGCCGTTGCTCATTATTGGTGGCAACCTTTTCAGCTATAATAGAAGAATAGATAGTTGGGCGAGTTGTTGGGAATTCATCGTAGGTAGGGGACGCCGGAGGTACCTGCTGCATTTTTTTACTGCGGAGCTGTTAAAAACTAGTTTCCCCAGTTTCGTGTCCGGTACCAAACAAATGTCTACACAGAACTCTGGACAGCTACCGCCATTATGAGCGATGGTGGAAACCAGACAACCAGTCTGGTTGCCGCCGTTGCTCATTATTGGCGGAAACCTTTCCAGCTATAATAGAAGAATAGATAGTTGGGCGAGTTGTTGGGAATTCATCGTAGGTAGGGATGCCGCAAACTTTTTTCGAACCCAAGGTTCGATGATCGAATCAAGCGGTTCGAAAGATTTTGAACTTTCTATATCGAAAAATTCGACGGAAATCGAATTTTCGAATGTTGTAAACTAAGAAGTGCGACCCTTTTCGAAATTTCGAACTTCGCACGTTCAGAAATGCAATGTTTTTTTTTAACCTTCAAACTTATTATACTAAAAAGTTTGATCCTTTTCGAACTTATTACGCTGCAAAATTCAATGCTTGTCAAACTTTCGATCTTGATAGACTAAAAAATTGGATGGTTTTCGAACTTCTTGCACTAAAAAGGTTGAAGCTTTTCAGACTTTCGAACTTCTTATGCTAAGAAATTCAATAATTTCTAACTTTCGAATTCTGAAAAGTCAGAAGTTCGACGAACTTCGAAAGACCGGTGGGCGGTTTCATTTGAATTCAAAGAGTAAGGTACATTCATAATTTCTTTTTTCGAATTTTTACATTCGGTGCCGCGTTCCTTGCGAAAGGCAATGCCGTTTATTTCAATGTTTTGGCATGCTTATTTTTAAAGAAATAAATTCCCAAAGGAGTGAGGAAGGACAACGGGTTTTTGACAATTGTTGTTTGTGCCACATTTGAAGCGCGCTATAGCTGAAGTTATTTATGGTAGAGATGTTAAACTTCTTAAGGATGATCTATGTATAGCCTAGGTCAGTATCGTCTTAAGATTATTGTTATTCAAGATGAGTTTCGAAGAAATGTCGAAACATATATCTACGGGCAATTATGCCCTAAACTTGGTAATTTTTTTTTGTCTAATTGTTTGAGGTATCGCATTTAAATTAACACCACAGACAGTACATATCATTGTCATCTGCAGAATACAATATAATATATTGTTTTTTTGCGTTGAGGAATAAATTAACTCATGGGGAAAGATAAGTTCAGCACGTAATTAAAAAAAAAAAAGCCATTTTAAATTTTGTTTTTCTCGCTTTACATTTTAGGGACATGTTTCTTCTAGCCTGTACACATTTTGGTAGGAGAAACTTGTTTCAAAGTTCTGAGCCTCTGAATATGCAAGAATACAACACTTCCAACGGGTTCTTGATAGGTTTTTTTTTTTTTTTTTCATCTTTGCAAGTAATGTTATGTTTAATTTTTTTTTTTTTTTTTTAACCAATTGCACACTTTTTTAGGTTAAAAAGACGTAGCTTTGAACTTCCGAACCACTAAGCATGTGACGAATAGTGCCTTCTGACGAGTTTCCAACAATGGACCATCTACGCGATCTTCTATGGCCAGGGGTTCTCAAACTGGGTTCCGGGGAACACGGGTTCCACGAGCTGGTCTCATGGGTTCCGCGAACACCCAAATTGCAACCCTCCCCCTTGCCGCAGGCTGCGCGGCAGGACCATGTAAAGCGCCTTCATCTCACTTTGTACTGACATCGCGATTGATATGGTGGGGATATATCGGAAGCAACACAAGCAAAATTGCCTACAATTGTGCATCTGTTGCTTCTCGGTCGGCAAATATGGAGGGCGGGGAGGTTTCCGCGGCAGTCTTTGAGGCTTCCTGGGGTTCCGTGAGACCAAAAAGTTTGAGAACCCCTGTTCTACGCAGTGAAGAGCGACAGTAGCTATACTTATGCATAAATAATTTCAGATCAAAATAAGCTGGACCACGCCCTTTTTTCCCGGATTGTTTTCTCTAACAGTCAAAAGATCTGGGGAAAAAGGGGAAGGACTGGAGCCCCCCCCTTCCCCCCCCCCCCCGTTTTTCCTCTTCCGACACCACTGGTATGGTAGAACGCTCCTCGACCTCAAGTTGCGTCGGCTTCTATGCTTTTTGCCTGGTGTTTCTTTCGTCCCGGAAAATAAACCTCCAGAGCAATTACAGACTAAACTTACTATATGCCAGCGTCACTCGGGTGGCGTTCAATCGGATTACTACCAGCGTGCAAAGGGGTAGGGAGGCAGTTTGCCAGATCGCTTCAAGGGTTTTCTGAGCCTCAACCACCTGCCTGCCCCTGGCCGTTTCAAACTGGAATGAGCATCGTTAAACAGTGCGTTCGTGTGATCATTACTTCATGATGCACGTTAATGACCCCCCGTGCTGGCGGTCACAATTACGGATCTATGGTCACACGTCACTCTGCACTGGCAAATATTCCAGCACATCCGGGGCACTTGTCGTCTCGTTTAATTGCCTGACCAACTTCATGCGGTCTAAATATCACACTCAAACTTTTCTTAAAGAGGGGGGTCAAAAATTTGTGGAAGTTGCCCTCTGATACTTCTGAAGTAAAGAACAGACAACCGATTTCGCCTGCGTGTCCTAGTTGTTGTGTAAAAAAAAGATAAATATTGGCATTCCTGGCACCTTCGAACTCACTCCCAGCCTTCAGGGTCACACCTGGTCACACTCCTAGTGACGTAATTCGGGGTGCCGTGTAGGTTCCCGTGTGCTGTCTCTCGGACGCTTCCTGTTGCTCTCCCTGCTGGCATTAGCAGGCGTTATGCTGCAGCTTAGAGCCGAGCGAGGTCACTTAAGCTTCTCGCCGTAGTTCGCTTCGGCTGCCACTCGTAGCTGCAGGTGAGGGAAAAAAGCTCTACTTTTGCTTTGCGATTATGCAGCAGAATCGCAACATTTTTTAATGAAGGTGATCTTTTCTCTATCCTCCGGGTCACGATAAACAACGTAAAAATGACGAGATGCAAATTCTTTTAATTTTAAAATCATTGCACCCCCCTCCCTTCCATTTAACCTGATTTCATGAAAACGAGTGAGGCGTGAAAACATTATTTGAAACTGAAACTGTGGAGGAACATGAAAACCGGACTTTGAACTTTGCGCACTTGGACTTGAAAGAAATTCAAAATCTTCCAAGTTTTTTTTTTTTTTTTTGGAATTTAGCTTTAAAAGAAAATCGAAACCTTTAAACTCGTCGAACTTTATGTAGAAATGAATTCGAGATCTTCGAATTTTTCTAACTTCAGATCCCAAGAAATTCAAAATTTTCGAATCTCTCGAATTTCAAGTTAAGAAAGTTCGAAATCTTTGAATTTCTCGAACCTCAAGTAAAAAAATATTCGAAATAATCAAACCCAAACTTTTACAAACCGTCTTCGAACTTTCGAATTCGAAACTTCACAATGTGCGAAAGTTGCAAACTTTTCGAATTCGAACCTCGCTGCAGTCGAAAATATCTAAATATTTCGTATTCGAACCTCACTTCGGTTCAAAAATATTGAAATTTTTCGAATTCGAACCTAGGATGGTTCGCGACATCCCTAATCGTAGGAAAGAGCATAGAAAACAGACGAGGACGAAGAAGAAACACACGGATGAGCGTACAGCTTCGCTGGTCTTTTTTTTCCTCTCCAGAGTGGAAAGGCTGAAATTTTTTTTTCTTTTGTTGATTTCAAATGCTATTTTTAGTTCACTCAAATGCTATGTTGGCATACATACCGAAATTCTAGGAGGAGTTCGTGTAGGACTGTGGCTCTTGCATTATTGGATGCAACAGCACCACTTCATGCTCTATCTAGACAAGAATTACATGGTCACATATTGCTGAATTGTTTACACCCCTGGCCCAGAAACACAATCTATCATGAATTTTGTTCTTCTGGGTTGTTTCATGATACCGTACTACATACCGTACATAATTTTCTATCGTTTAAAAATGTTAGGATGCAAATCTTTTCCATTTCACGCTTTGTGTCTGCATTGAGGCAGTTGTGTGGTGGGCTATGGTTGTTTGCAGGTAAATTTTGTTATAAGTGTAAGTTTTTTGTACTGGTAAAACAATTAATTGTTGAAAAAATGTTAACTACAATCATACCTACTATGACAATGTCACCTTTTAGTGAACTACATATCTTTAAAGGAAGTCTGAAAGAATAAACAAGTTTCCAGATAAAACTGTGCAGAAAAATGATGGGTGCTGTGTCAGTCACTGCTGAGGGACCACTTTAGTCTTGTACATAGCGTTTTGGATAATTAGGTACTTAATTAGTTTTGCATAATTATTTCTTTGATTAGTAAAACTAAACATATGCTTACAATTCGAAACATGCCAAGGGTCATTGAAAACCACTAACGTGGTAAAGTGTACCAAGACTTGGAACAGATGGGAAACGTGGTGCACCAAAGGTACCGCTTGTGTTATAGGTGCCAGGCTGGTGGAGCAAAAATGGGGATGATAAACAGAAAACTCACACAGGCGATATGGTTTTGGGATTCAGAAAAACAAAACACGTGCTTCATATTTGTCCAAAATTAGCCGATTTAATGGTTTTCTATATAACCCAACAAATTTCTAATTATAACTTATATTTGTTAATTAAAAAGTTCACTATGCAAAACTAATTTAAAACTTTGTTGTCCTAAACACTATGTAGCTCATTAAATAGGCCCCTTGAGAGTGATTAATACAGTATACTGACCTTGTTTCTCTCCGATATGTAGTTTTTACACAAAACTTTTGGCCGATGCTCGGTGAAATGCCCTGCGTAACACTTGTAGCCTTCGCTTAATTACGCGAAAGGATTGTCGCGAACTATGACCTGAAATGTAGCTCGTAATGCATGCCTTCTACAGTTCTCCAGGGAATTGTGCCAGCTTGTGTGGAGGAACACTTTGATGGGTTTGAGACTTTCCACAGCAAGAGTGGCACGAGCCTTTTAGCTGTCATTTGGTGCAAGGCAATCTCTATGGGGGAGTAGGTTATGCCCTCAGTGCAAGTCCTCTAACAATCTTGTAGTGTGGTAGTGTCACACTTTTGTTTTGCTTATATGTAGTTGTTTAATGTGTCTACTTGGGTCTTGAGTCTCATAGTACTCAGCAGCATTGTTTATAAGTGGTTGGATATGCAGTGTTTGCAGCCATGGCAACCTTAAAACATGTTATGTTCTGTTTTATTTCTCTACTCATTAAAAAAAACAGGCACTCCCACTTTCCTTAGTGAAGAAAGAAGAACCAGCGCCTAAAAATAATGCGGACAAAGGTGAGTTTGTCTAATTCCTTTCAATATTTTGATTCGGGATAAAGAAAAAAGTGCAGCATTCCAATGTAAATTTTGTGACAGGACCCAAGAAACGACCGGCATCTCCGAAGGCCAACTCCCCGTCTCCCCCACCCGGAGGCCGCAAGTCGACCACCCTCCGTCGCGAGGAGCTTCTGAAGCAGTTGAAGGCTGTTGAAGACGCTATAGCTCGGAAACGAGCCAAGTTTAGCTAGCCCTGGCTCTTGCCTCATCATCTCCCGTCGTCCTTTATGTAAATAACCTTCCTCTTGATCACGGAACCAACATCCCACACACTTCCATTGTGGTGTGTTGCATAGCATTATTGTGTGCTGAGCTACCGTCGTCATTGCTGTGGTAACTGCAAAGGTGGTACTAGCCGAGTGGTATTGCAGTAAATAAACCAGGGTTGATCAAATTGAAGTCGGTCTAAATTAATTGCTAGCTCTTAAACAAAATTCTGTAGTGAAGTTGGCTTCAGTTGCAATCTTAATTGTCCTAGCAGCTGAGGCAGTATGTTCATTTTCAAATTGTAATACTAGCAGTCTTGGCAGAAATTTGTAATTGTAGTCTTTCATAATAAACAAAACAGGATCATGCACCCTGCCCTAAATAGTGAATGCTAAATGTTCGTGCAACAGAGTTGGTTCCATGTTGTGAATTATTTTTATTGCATCAAGAGTTCCACAGTGCTGTTCAAGCGACATTTGGTTCCCACTGTGACTTATTTGCTTTTGATAACGAGTACCACAAGTTAATATTTGATTCTTTGTCTCCTCTCAACATGTCTACGAAACTTATTTTTGTTTTTGTTTCTTGTGCATACCACATGGCAGAGGTGTCGGAACCGGGGGAAGAAGGAGGGAAGGGGCAGGAGGAGGAGGTGGGGGGGAGGGAGGGAGGGAGGGAGGGAGGGAAGGGAAGGATCATTTGTGCCCCCCCACTGCCCATTACCGTCACTCCCCCATCTACCGAGCCTCTGCCACATGGCCACAAAGAAAGTTGCTGTAATGGATTTGTCAATACAGCTTTTCAAAGCGAGATGGTGTACTTGGCATGACTAGACTGCGGTGTGCACACATAGCTTCTCTGTGCACTTCCGCATAATTCATTAACACTTCAGTGATCACATTTCCCTGTGGTGCAGACTTCATGGTAGATGTGATGGGCTTCGTGTACTCCATTCTCAGCTGCATATTTGATCAGCTTCTTGGCTTCCCTGTGAACAGAAAAGAACAAACACATTTCTTCTGACAGTGAAAGTGAAATATTGAAGAGTTTAAAATAAGCTCTGTGTAAAGTAACTCCAGCCTGACGGTCAGTTCAGCTCATGCTTTTTAGTTGCTTTTCTATGAGTAAATGTGCTGTAACATTATTTATTGCCAGAGGCATAGCCATGGGGGAGGGGGCTTATGGGGCTGACCCCCCCCCCCCCCATTACCCAGATTAATAATCGACCTTATATTACGCATGGCACCATTCTTTGCACCTAGCTCCTTCACCCTTGCTACCCAAGTTGTAGAGACACCAGACCCGTCCAGGAGATGCACACACAGGCACAAAAACAATAAAGAGGCTAGACCGAATTTGAAATGTACCTTTTGCTTTTTTAAGAGTATGATGTGCCTCAACATTATTCATATCCTCTCTAAGTGCAAAGCCTCTCTACTTACTCTTTACAAAGGGTTGAAGATTGAATTTTGAGACATTCATATGCATGGTGATTCTCATGTTAAAAACCAATTCGTCGCCAATCAACCGACAACACTCTTCCAAACACATGAAAATCAAGTATACTTCGAAACTAAGAGCACTATAAATGCTAGCAGGATAAGAATGGCAGGGAGTTCTTTCAGTTGTCCCCCTCCAGTGTGATCTTGCTACCTTATATAACACTTCGACATAGTGTAAACTTTGTGCATGCATGCACAGCCAGAGCACCACAGAAGGCATTGAGGCTGGGCATCCAAATGAGACTGCTTGCGCTTGTCTTGTCGGTGACTGTGAGCATTGATAGGCACTGTGCATAGGCAGCTACAAGGAAACCATGCATAGATGTTTGGTGCTGACAACTGTTTCTCGCTACCTGACATCCTGCATAGCCTTTCAAGAAGGATATATATGCACAAACCCTTTTTGGACGTCTGTTGGAAACCCTTGCATATGACCGACAGCCAGGTTGTAGGCGGAATGTGCGTGGCCTTGATCGGCTGCTTTCCTGCATTTGTATAAAATGTGTAAACTCTGAGCATGCAAGGTACGCTTCCATATAAGAGAGAGAATTTCGCCGGACATTTCTTAACCATATCCAGTGATGCCTTTCGGTAGATGCCCAGATGCAAACTGCCATGCAAAAGTGTGAAACGTTTGAGATGCCAGATGAAATTTCCGTGACTATCTAGGAAATGTTTCTTGTCGATTTCACTGGCACATTGATCTCGAGCTAGGGAGTAGTCTGACTGTGTTGTCTGTACTCACCTAAACCAATAGAAGGCCATGGTGCTATTCTTTGGAATGCCACTCCCTAGAACAAAATCTGCAGGTCACATTGGAATGAACAGGCCCAGTGTTGAATGATGAGGGTTCTGTCTCACCTTGGAGATACTTGTGAGCTACTACATGTTGAGCATGGGCATGTCCCATATTTGCATAAGCGTGGTTCAGGTGGAAGTGAACTGTGTCATGGTGGTAATACCCCATGTAGATCAAGGACACCACAACTACTATTGCAGACACCTGAAACAACATGCACATCATACATAGTCCGTTGACAACACCAGATGGGCTTTTCATTTATTAAATCCGACTGCCAAGGTCCATTGTGGCTCGTCCAGCTATGTATACTTTGTCAGTGATGCTTTTAAATTCAAAATAAGTTCAAAAACTAATTTTTACACATGCTCTTTGTAGATAGCTTAAAAAAGAAGAGAAACAGAACCTGGCATTTTTTCCTTTTAATCTGGACATTTGTAAATCTGCCGCTATGATGTAAAAGTAAAAAAATTGTGGAATAATTAGCTTGGCAGCAACGAGTGAGATAGTCCGCGCCTTAGGTGTGATTACATGTGCATAGATCACACTTCAAGCTACAAAGCTTGTCTGTGCTTTGTCAAAATTGGGCACAATACTGTAATGCTCTTTTGAAATGTGGTCAACTGGAAAAATTGGATGGCCAACAACTTCACTTATCCTCGAGTAAGACAATGACAGTCATCAGTGATGTGATTGCTGTGCCAAAGTGCTCATCGCTCTACATTCTGCTAAATGTCACCAAAATGTGAGGCAAAGGCAAAGTAGACGAGTGTTTAGACGGCGTCAGGGCCAGTCTAGGTAAGATGACACTGGCTCGCGCTGGAGATTAGCAATTTACCTAATACAATATAGTAGTTTTTCTTGCATCACGAAGTAATAGTTACACCAAAGCTGGCCAATACGGCGCTTTTGTATAATCCCTAGTGCAGCGGCGTAGACTTTCCATTTTCCCGGAAGGGGCAGGCTGAGAAGTTCTCCAAGGGGGGCGGGGGGCGGGACGGGGTGGTTGCTGCGCATTACCTTTTCGCCAGAACTGGAGATTGAAGCTAACGAAAGCACCCTGGAATTTCATTTCCCATGTATTTTGTCAATAAAGGCAACGTGGGCGTTATTTTGTTTACCTGCCACTACTAGAAGCTCGTTACATGGCACGTAAACAGCGTCCCGGTAAGGTCTCACCAGGGGCGGCACGAGCCCCGATGCCCCCCCCGAAGTCTACGCCTATGCCCTAGTGCACAATTCACGTTGAAGACCGCAGGAATTTGCACCAACATTGTGTCAAACATAAATTTTTTTTCTTTCTGCCGAAACCTTGGCCACGCTACTCGCTACTCAGTGCCTGGAACGCATCTCGCAGGCAGTCTCACTGCCGGATTGTCACGGTGGACCTGCGCAAATTTTGGCAAGTTTTGATCATCGATAGGAATGACCATAGCCTGAATAACATACCTTTCGATTTGACCTTCGTATCGAATGCTGGTGCTACTCTGAAGTTTTGCGATATTTCTCATTGTTCAAAGTTCGGTGGGAAAGTTTGCTCCATTTAAGGGATACTTCAACGAAATTTGAAATATACCCGTTGCATTCAAAAATAGGTTGAATATGATCCACAATATCCATAAATGACAATCGCACGTTTCTATTTTGAGCCTGGTGGCTGTATTTTTTGTTATAAACGGCCCACTCTGGCAAGCGCTTCGAGAACAGCCAGCGGAGAGCATGGGACATTAATGCAATCGTGACGTAGTTCGTCTCGGGACGAGCAAAGCTACGGCGAGACTGACATCGAGAGGATGGCCTAGTCGTTCCAGCCACCGAAGCTTTTGTAGGAATTTCGAGTGACTGGTTAATCTTTTATAATCTTGTAGGGGGACAATAGCAACTTCTGGGACACAGAAAAGGGATTCTGGAGAGTTCCTCTTTCCTCTCTTTTCTCGTCGCGGCCGGAGGCGAGACAGTTACCATCGCTAGCTGTCAAGGGTCCTAGACGGGCATTACAAACGAGGCATTAGCAACATCCACCAGGTGCTCTTTGCTAATCGTTTAATTCGTTTTAAAATTCCTTTTTGTGACTTTTTTTTTTTAACAAGATAGTGGTGTGTTCGATGTGATACCGCTCCTTTGAGCACATATAGACCAAAAAAATGAGCGCTGAAATTTCGTTGTAGTATCCCTTTAAGCATGCTTCACACCGGGGTCTAACGCACTGCGGAGAAGCAACACTGGCTGTGTGGACGCTAATCTTTTGAATCTCGCTTTGGTACAGTGTATCTGTGTGCTTAGGGGGAACACTCCTGTCTCGATTAGCGTGCTAATGGAGATTTATTGCAGGGTGCAAATGATCGAAAGAGGCTGCAGCGAATTCGGCGTTTGTGGTCCGCAAATCTGAGGGTATTCTTTCGTTTTGTTTGTTCCACCCAATCTTGTATTACATTGTATTTATTGAGTTGCTGCCTTTTACACTTTCTTTGCATTTTTCCTTTGGTGTGAGTGTTTTTTTTTTTTTTGTTCTTTTTTTTAGAAACATCACTTTTTTTTTTCTAGTCAATTTTTGGCAAATTTTACCAGTAGTCCTGTTCTTAGTCAGTATTCCGTCAAATTTTTGTTTTAGTTTTGCCCAAACCCAAGTAAACGCCAATAAAAAGTTTTTTTTTTTTTTTCTTGCATTAGACAGTGAGAGTTTTAAATCCAAGAGTAAAACCGGCGATCGCTTGTTCCCGCTGATACTGTCGCGCTGCGTACCTCGTTTTCTCGTGCTTATGCTGACCTGTAACGTACGTGGATGGAATCAAAACTGCGTGGTATTCTGAACTCGTAGGACGCGCATCACAGGCCATCGCCATGACAACGTTAGCCGAAATGTCAACACAGTGTGTGTGTGCGTCTCACTACCCCCCACCCCGTCTCCCTTCTTTTTTTCTTTTTTTTTTTGGGGGGGGGGGGGGGGGGGGACATGTACAAGAAATAATTTGCTACACATAGTATATGATTCCTAAATAAAAAATAGTGCCCTTATCAAACTGCCCCCGACGAATAGACCGAGATTCAATCAGCTTGAAGGCAGGCGTTTTAAAGTCGTAGTATATTATCAATTTCTCCAAGGCTAGAGAAGGTTTAAAAGTGCCAAAAGCAGTTAGAAACGGGTAATGTTCAGCCATTCATAGTGCATGAGGGGGGGGGGGGGGGGGGGGGGGGGGGCGGGGCGGGGCTCTCTCTTTACATCTCTGCTGCCTGTCTTTTCACTGGGAAAGCTACCAGCACTATACAGCATACGTATTTTTTTTAAAGCTTTTTTTATACGATGTGTCAAATCGGCAAAAGTAAAAAAAGTTCGCAGCAGCGTCATTTTAGCTTCGAAACGCGCGCGAGTGGGATGAAATGGATCAAAGCACAAGTGTCGTTACGCACCTGGAGCACGACGACTAGCCAGCCGTCCGGCTTTCTGCGGCGAGCGAGTTGCACTTTTCCCCCGAAAGGCAAAGCCTGCGGTTCGCCCTGTTTCGGCGCAATCCGTTTCGCCTGTTTCGACCTCCGCCTTGCCCCTGACATGCTGCTTCCACAGCAAAGCAGGATGCCGCGCTTCTCTCGCTCCCTTTCGGACACGGACCGCACGGACACTGGAGTACGACGTCAGCGGGGGATACCGCGTGCACCACCACGTGACGTGTTAACGGCAGAGGGGGAAATGGTAAGTGGATCACCGAAGCGGCCGAAGCCCCCGAGGCGCGCCTGCCGATGCTGAGGCCGAGGGGCCGAGCGGCCGAGGCACCGAACGGTGCGGCCGGTGCGCTCGACAACGTCGCCGAAAAAGAAGAAAAATAAACAACAACAAAACTTCTTTTAGTCAGATTTGGGCAGAGAAACACTAAATATATTCGGAAATACAAATACTGGGATACATAACAGCTAAAATACTGATACTGAACTACAGTTTTACAAAAGTATTGCGTTATGTATCAACAATACCTTTGCAAAAAAAAAAAAAAAAGGGGGGGGGGGGGGTTAGAAATGCTCAAATGCATACCTTCCTTTTCTAAAAAAAAAAAAAAATCCAGTTGTCAACTTTCGTGTTACCGGTAACAATAAAACATGGAAGTTGCAATAAAATGCCCTTCATATTTTAAAACGTATTATTTGTTCCTAGACTCATTTACATTTGAGGATGAGTAGCTTTTCAAATAGCTTGTCGGTCCACCGCTGCCGATTTGGACAAAGCGTCATGTCAGCCAACGAGATAAAATGCAATGGTGCCGACTAATACAGGCTTGTATTAAAATAAACGAAAACCGCTTTCATACTGGGAAAGTTTTGAAGCATGCAAAGGTAATTTCTTTAGTCTTGTAGGTATGGGTGATTTCATCTCAAATCGTGCAAGAAAAAATTATGGGTCCTCAAAAAATTGGGGAAAAAAAATATATGTTGGTGGAAAATATGTGACTAGAACAAACCTGCAAGTTAAAACTACGGAACATTTTGTTCTTGAGTTATGGGCTTTGAAAATGGGAAGGTAGGTCTTGCCATTTTTGCAGTTTTCACGAGTGACACATTTTGGAATCTTGCAACTTTTTTTTTTTTTTTTCACAATTGTAATTTTTTTACTGCCTTATAACTTTGCATAGAAGGCTCTAAGTTATCTAGAAGCGTGCGTACGTGTGTGCGTGTATGTGTGTGTTGTAATTATATATTTCATAAAAAATGATTGAATATTACACTTTTGACAATTATGGGCCAAGATTGAATCGAGCTAGCTTTCGATGTACAATTATTTAAGGCAGAAGAAACGTATCAAATAAAAGCCTGTATCTAAGCCTGTTTAAAATTTGCAATATTGTTACTTTAAATATGGTTTCATAGAAGAAACAACACAGTAAATTTAAGAAAATGTAAAAGTACTAAATTCAACATCATAAAAAAAAGTTTTATACGAAAAGCTTTCTCTGTGTTCCTAAATAAGAAATAAAATCTCTGGTATATATATATATGGTTTCGTCATATTACGCAGTGCGCTGGAAAAAGATGTATTTGTCCCTCCATTCTAAGGTGAAAAGGTACGGGCTGTTGCCAAATCTTTTACGAAATTATACTATGTACAAGGTATTCCACGTAATTTGAGCCAAGGTTTAAAAATATTTTGGGAAAACTAAACCAAACGAATAAGGCGGCTATTGTATGGAGCAAGTCAGGCTATTTTTGTATTTTGCCAAATTAATGAACTTTTGAAATATTCCATTTAAGGCAAAAGTAAACCCCCCCCCCCCCCCCCTTTTTTTTCCCTCGTCACACGCACTTTGCCGTGCCCCGTAGCTGAAAAAAAATCTATTTGGTCACCTCTTTTCTCTTCGCCATCTCGTACAATTGAAGCCTATTTTTGAAATGACTAGCCGCCCCGTCGGAGATGTAAACAAATTTTGTAAATATATATATATATATATTTTTTTCAGTGTTTTTTTCGCTCCGCGCAGAGCGAACAGTGCGTGTGCTGTATCTTGCACGATGTCCTCGCTGCCGACTCCGAAGCTGTACATTTTGCGCTCCGTTGTAGCGATACAGGTGAAGATAGACACCATTCGGTTCGTCCAATGAAAGCACTGTACCGCTCGCGGAAGAACGACGCCCCGGTTTTCCGCAAAATAAAAATGCAATACGATGGTACGAGCAATTGAGGTGCGACTTTTCTGAGATTATAGCAAGCCGCTGAGCATGCGGGATAAATTAATGTGGTGACCCTCTCTGTACCAAATGAGCAATCACGACAGCTATCTGAAAAGGATCGAGATGCGACACCCACAAAGTCAAAAAAGAGTGGCGGCTCGGCTCGTCATTGCCCTTTCATTCCTACTTTCCGACGAAGAAAAAGAGCCAGTGCAGCTGGCTCTTTTTCTTCGTCGGAAAGGGAAATGTAAACACTGCAGAAAAGCGAAAGCAAGTGCCGAAGCGGCGCGATGATAGCAGAACTGATAGTTTCACCACATGACGAGGTTTGGAACGTACGTTTGGTTTCGCAAACATAGAGGTTTCAACAAAGCTATCGTGTAAAAGCATTTGTTTAAAGAAAGAACAAAATCACGCACGCTTATTGACGTGCTCGGCGGGCCGGATCGCTTTGAAATATTTTTCGCCACAAGTGCTCTGTTATCGGCAGTTTCGATTTCTGTAGCTTACTAAGTAAGCAAACTGAACGCACAGAGAAACCCCTTACATATTATACTAGAAATACTATCAATGTATATATTAGTTTTACCGAACTATGTATGTACTCGAAAACAATAAAAAATTATGATCATGTTATAAAAATAACTAAAATTTAAGTAAAAAGTGAAAGCCGTTTACAAATCCCTGTAACGCCGAATTGGAGCGCAGCTCTTGAGGAGGAGGAGTGAAGGGTACTGAGGGGAGGGTAGACCCCTCCTCCTCCCCTCATTCTTTAATATGCTCCGGGGGGGCGGTCACGTGACCTCGGGGGGGGGGGGGTGTCACGTGACTTCGGGGAGGGGGGTCACGTGACCTCGGGGGGTCACGTGACCTCAGAGGGGTCACGTGACCTGGGGGTCACCTTGGGGTCACGTGACCTTGAGATGACCTCGGGGGTCACGTGACCTTGGGGAGGAGGTCACGTGACCTCAGAGGGGTCACGTGACGGGGGTCACGTGACCTTCAAAGGGTCACGTGGGGTCTTGGGGTCACGTGACCTTGAGATGACCTTGGGAGGGGTCACGTGACCTCGAGGGGTCACGTGACCTTGGGAGACGTGGGGTCACGTGACCTTGAGATGACCTTGGGAGTGGTCACGTGACCTGGAGGGGTCACGTGACCTTGGGGGTCACGTGACCTTGGGATGACCTTGGTTACGCCGACGGCGACGGCGACGCCGCTCAAGCCGGGAACGGGCCCCTAAGAGCTGCGCTCTAAAAAGAAGTAAAAGCCGCTTACAACTCCCTGTAACGCCGAATTAGAGCGCAGCTCTTGAGGAGGAGGAGGGAAGGGTACGGGGGGGGGGGTCAACTAACCAAGGGGGGTCACGTGACCCCCCAATGCCGATGACGTCATCACTGACGTCACTGATGACGTAATCAGTGACGATGACGATGCGGATACCGATGACGTCATTAGTGACGTCACTGATGACTTCACCAGTGATGATGACGATGCGAATTTCGGTGACGTCATCAGTGACATCACTGATGACGTCATCAGTGATGGTGACGATGCGGATGCCGGTGACGACATCAGTGACGTCACTGATGACGTCATCAGTGATGATGACGGTGCGGATGTCGGTAACGTCATCAGTGATAATGCCGATGCGGATGCCGGTGATGTCATCAGTGATGATGACGATGTGGATGCCGGTGACGTCATCAGTGACGTCACTAATGACGTCCTCAGTGATGATGACGATGTGGATGCCGGTGACGTCATCGGGGGGTCACGCGACATCGGCGGGGGTCACGTGACCTAGAGGAGGGGGTCACGTGACCTCGGGGGGTCACGTGCCCCCCCCCCCCACGAGGTCACGTGACCCCGGTGGGGGGCTCGCGCGGTGCATTATGGGACATTTCCCATAATGCACCGCGCGGTTACGCCGACGGCGACACCGACGCCGCTGAAGCCGGAAACGGGCCCCTAAGAGCTGCGCTCTAAAAGGAAATGACAGAGATATATGCGTCGTAAAATGGAGGTACAAATGTGTCTTCTTTTCAAACGCACTGCTTAATATGACGAAACCATATATGCCAAACAAATTTTATTGCATATTTAAAGATACCTAAAAGCTTTTTGTATGAAAAAAAAAAGAATTAGGGAACAAAATACTTTTTTTTTTTTTGAATAACGTTGAATTTTGGACTTTTACCTTATCTTCTCAAGTTTAGTGTTTTCTGGGTGAAACAAGGAGACGGCAGGCTCTTTAAATCGACCGCAAAATTCTGTTTCTTAACCTATCACGCTACGACTTTGTGCAGCGTTGCCCACAGATGGTGCTTTTTTTTTTTTTTTTTAAAGTTTGCAAAGAGCGAACTTACCTGAGTAAAAAGTAAAGAAAGTAAAAGGCTTAGCTCCTATGGAAACGCAGCGACGCCACCGGACTTCAAACAACACGGCGCCGTTGCGCACGGGAGAGAAGAGATGGCGCAAGCGGGTCGCGATGCCTGGCGATGCCAACTGCCGCCAACGAACGAGCAGACGACGCCGAGAGCCGGCCCTTCAGCAGACAAGGAACTGCAGTTTCTTGTTGTTACCGCGCCTGTTTTGGTTTCTGCGACTGTCGCCGCCTGCGGGACGCGCGCCGCTTTTGAGTCGAAAAGATTGTCTGCTAAAGACGCTGGCTCTCGGCGCCGTACCATGCTCGTTCGTTGGTGGCGTTCGTTGCGCCATCTCTTGTGTCCCGTGCGAAACGGCGCCGTGTTGTTTGAAGACCGGTGGCGTCGCTGCGTTTCCATAGGAGCTAAGCCTTTTTCTTTCTTTACTTTTTCCTCAGGTAAGTTCGCTCTTTGCAAATTTTACAAAAAAAAAAAAAAAATGCACCATCTGAGGGCAACGCTGCACAAAGTCGTAGCGTGATAGGTTAAGAAATCGAATTTTGCGGTCGATTTAAAGAGCATGCCGT